TGTATCAATCACAATTAATTTTGATTGGTACATTAATTGTGATTGGTGATCAGTACATTAATTGTTTGTGATACTATTGTTATAAATTCGAACGATGTTTGTGAGAGATAAAATATGCCAAATGAGGTGTCATTGAGTAGGTCTCGAAAAATTATGTGAAATAAAATAAAAAATATCTGATTTGGATATCCGAATTAAAAGTTATGGCGATTTATACATAATTATGATTGATACAGTCAAAAGTTAATCCCATTGGTATGCTAATTGTGATTGGTGATTGATACATTAATTGTGATTGGTGATTAATACATTAATTTTGATTGGTACATTAATTAAATAGTCATTTTTCTTCGTTTTCTTTTTTTGATTGTGATTAGTACATTAATTCTGATCAGGCAACGAGATTGTGCCACGTGGCGCACCAAGTTCGCTACCCCTAGTAGCAAACTTCGTCCAGTCAGTTTTTCCTACAAAAGTGTGCCACGTGTCACGAAATCATTGGCTACGTGGCAGTCAATTTTTCCTGCGAAAATGTGATACGTGTTTCCTCATCATTGGCTATCAAGTTCGCTAGGCACTATAGCGAACTTGCCCGTGTGACATATTGAGAAATAACACTGTTCGCATGGCATTTAGGTAAAAAACTTAATGAACAGTGACATTTTGGTCACTGTTCCGAACTTGTTTTACTCATTATCCAACCAGATTTAAAATGGGACAGACATATGTGTTCGTTAACCTTGATAATCGTCTCTTACCGCACATAGGGCCCGTTTGGATGAGTTTTTTTCTCCAAAAACTGTTTTTTTTTTTAAAAGCACTTCTCATTTTTAGTTCGTTTGGATGTCTGCTTTAAAAAAAAGCAGAAGTCAAAAAAAGTCAAAAACCTACTTTTTTCAGAAGCTAAAAATTTTAACTTCTAAAAAAAGCAGAAGTCAAAAGCCAAATATTTTTTTCAAAAACTAAATTTTTTTATAAAAATATAAATAGCTTTAACTTTTGTAAAAAGTAATTCTAAAATAAAAAAGAGATAAAAGTTACTTTTTTGATAAGGGAAAACAAACAGGCTCATAATGCTATTATCAAAATACAAGTTATGTCAGTATCATGTTGTGAAAGAAAATTTTATTTTTTATATGCACATAAAAGTGTGTGAGACTTTTTTTTCCCTTTTTTTCACATGGACCTATATAAGCCCCATACATTTTTATATATAGGAGATAAATTATCTCCTACAATATCAAAAATATTAATCTCAATTCTCAATAACAATATAACCAAATAATGCATTCTTTGTGTGAAATTTTTGTCGAGAGACATTTGGAACAAGGGCTGGCTCACATGGTCGGCATCTCCCAGAGACAAATGAATGACTTGGACTTGAGTTTAAGAATCTTTATTTATGTATTATTTATAAATTAATTTCATACAAGTGTTTATTAAATTTAGGAGTCTGATTCTCGCCAATCAATCTTAAAAAGGGTTTTCACCAAGTCTTTTTAAAGGAAGCCTCTATTTCTTTCCAAAAGGTTTTCTTTTGGAAGTGAGCTTATTGAACTGAATTTGCAAGGAAAAAGCATTGTGATTAAAAAGGGTGGTCCCCTATGAATAGTGGTATAAGAAGCAGGTTTGTGGCATTTGTCACCTTATGTGTGAGCTGGATTACAACGACAATGGTTCATCAGGACGTTGGAAATAGAACACACGTTATTGAACTTTTGGAGAATAAAAGGAAAAAGAATGTATCCAAAAAGAAAAAGAAAAAGAAGGACTGGCACAATAGCATGTACCGTAGTTGTTTTTGTAAGACAAACAAGTGCGAATTTATTCGGGGAGTTGGTTTAACTGATAAGAATTGAAGTTTTTGCTTACAAAGTTTAGGTTCAATTTTTACTCTTAAGTAAAATTTTATAGTGGATAATATATATATATACCTGCGACATGCTTTGTCTTCATAATCAATAACCAGGTTGGCTGTTGTTGACTGACCGACAAACTTTCTTTTAATCTAATATGTGTCCACTTCCGTTTCTCTAGTTTAGGACCGAATTTATTTTTATTTTTTAAAAAAAAAAGTTTAAGTAGAATTAGATACTGATATCTTATTAAGGTAGGGGAAAATCCCTCAACTTCTTTAAAAAATTTCAGAAGAAATTATATATCACTCACTAAACAGAATACTCTCGTTAACCAGCGAATTTTGGACCGAACTGTGCTCACAAGTCACAGCGGTATTACATTTATGACACAAGCTTCATTGGCTCTGTTTTTATTTTTGAATTATTTGGGTTAAAACTTGGTTAAAGCAAAACTCTACATAACTGTAAGACAAGTTAAATATGCCAACAAGACTTAAGTGATAGTAAGTAAACTACACCGTCAGAAAGAAAAGTACAAATTATATACTTAAAAAACTATTGTTGTGAGGATAATAAACGGGGGAACACTATACATGAAGACAAAAAAATATAAGTTAAACTTAGTATTAAAAAATATTACTCTAAGATGCTATTACATGAAAAAAAATCATTATAATACAATGTGTTTAAAGCATTTGTGATTATTAATTTAGGTATAATCTCTGGGTGACAATTTTATGTATTATTTTTTTTGGTTTTTTAATTAAATATGCACATAAGAGTTATTGAATTTTTATTAGTTATAAGGATGCGTTTGAATGAGTTAACTACCAATTCATCTCATATATTTTTTTAAAAATTTAGAAGTGGATGTTGACATTTTTTAATTAAAAAACTGAAAAAACCCTAACAAATTAATCTTAAGTAAAAAACGCCTTCGAGGTTTTAGATAATTCAACATCTAATATCATTTACCAAAAAAAAAAAAACAACTAACATCTTTTGGTAATGTCATGCAATAATAAGTACCAATCAGTTTTTGTTTCACAATTGCACCTACGTATAGGAATTTTGTTTAAAAAAATAACAAATATTTTTTTTTGGTGGGAAAAAGGAAAGTAATATTAAATCACTATAGATACCAAAAAATAAAAATAAATATTAAACCACTATGTACAACACAGGTCACACGATGTTAAACAATTATACATCATAGAAGAGGTGAACAGGGGACCATTCTCTCTTCTTGCTCATGAATGACTATATCAAAAGACAAGTTATGCTGATATCTGTCAATTGGCAAAAAAAAAATTCATATATATTTGCACCCATTATTATTAGGTATCATTGTTTGTGATATATACCACTATTATTAGGTATCATTGTTTGTGATATATATAGGTTTATCATTTCCTATAGACTTGATGGTTATAGATACTTTTATCCTAAATTGGTGGAGAAATGATAAATTCAATATATATATATATATATATATATATATATATATATATATATTTATTAAGTGTTTGTACTTTCTGGAATATATAGTATAGTTCGTAAAAGTTTGTAAATAAAAAATTTCGTTCGGTTTGATATATATAATGTCATTTTTTTGGGGTATATAACGTGGAAGTATCCCAACTCAACCTCCTCCGATTATCTTGTCTTCGGAGTATGGCCCTAAAGCTAGCTCTTCATTAAAACAAATGGTGCATTGGATCATTGTTACTCAAGGAAGGGTGAGATTAATCCCCCTTCGAAGGAGAGATGATTTTTCTCTGATCCCTAAAGAATTCCACATAATTGCTTTCGCCAAATTTTGAATCCTTGACCAAAGCAATTGGTTGGGCACTCACTTTTTAAGTGAGCTATCCTCGGGGATTTAGATACTGTCATTTTTACTAGAGAATAAAAGTTCATTCAAATTTCTGTATACAAATATTTACATATTTAAATTAGGGTTTAGTGAGTGTCTTTTAAAGGATACACGTTATGTTTTTTTAGCAGTTTTAACAATGCATTCCTGAAAATACATAATTATAATATTAAAGTTGTATTTTTTTCTCTTTCTTTAGAAGCTATTTGCTGATGTGAAAAGTGAAAAAATACAATTTTAATATTATAATTATGTATTCTTGAAAATTCATGGTTAAAAAAAATACTAAAAAGACATAAACTTATGTTTTTTAAAAGGAAAATCTTTTTACCTTTAAGTCAAGGGGTTTCTTTTTTTCGTGTTATTGGAGAATTCTTTCTCCTACTATAGATATAAGATACAACGGTTTCAACACCCATAAAAATTAAAATAAAAAATTATTACACATAAATTGATATCTTATTAATAGGAGAAAAAATTATACTATATATAACTTCATAATTCTTTTCCCCTGAAGTTAATTTTTGCAGTTATGCATTATATAAATATTTTATTCTAAAAGAAAACCTTTTGCATTGTACCAAATTGGGAAAAGCAAATACTAACGTAACATTGACTGATTAGCAGTTATTTCCATTTAAATTAAGGGGAATATCTTTCTTATGAATTAGATAATTTGTATTATACAACATATATAAAGTGGATGAATTTTTTTTTCTTTTATTGTGTTTTATCTACTTTTTTATATATTACATCAGATAAAATATTTTACGTAATATAAGAAACAAATTTCTCTTAAATTATAAAAAGTTTTAATGTCTTTTATATTACAAAAGATAAAATTATCTCCGATACATATGAGATTTATTTAATTTTTTATCTTTTCTCTTCACGTGGCATCATATGGACCCCACATAATTATATATATATATATATATAATAATTTTATCTTTTAAAACATAAAAAATTTAAATCTATTATTATTATTATTATTATTTTAAAAATATCTAGTCGATATTAATTCGATTTCAGCGGATACGAAATTAAAATTTTAATGTTTCCCAATAATGATACTGGAGTAGAATACATACTCTCAAGTCTCAACTGGTAAGTTTCCTCCGCCTTCTTTGGTACATTAATGAGACCCATTATAAAATACAGAGATTACTTATTAATTTGAGAAATATAGTAACAAAAGGAATACGTAAAGATACGTTGTTGTGCAGGGAGAGGGTGTTAGTGTTGTGGGGTGTGGCGACAGTCACATGTGTTTGGCTGGGGATCATGGCATGTGGTGGAAGGAAGCTGAATTCTCAAAATCTGAAGGGAAAGAAAAAACTGTAGAGTGAATTATACGAGAGGGATAGGGCGAAGAATGTGACGTCTACTTGACGAAACGCGGGAAGAACAAATGGAGTCCAGTAACCTGGCAGGCAGAGTGAAATCAGATTAGCAATACCACACAGGAACAAACGATTCTTTCTTTTCTTTTCTTTTTTTGTTTGAGAGAGAGAGAGAGAGAGAGAGACACGCAGCGTGTGTGCGAGTGGCCCACCCCCCACTCTGCGGGTGGGGATACTGTTCCCAATCCCACCACTACGTTCCTTCTCCTTACACATAATAATTGTTATAATTATTATTTTTGTGCGTACAGCACATCATGTCATTGTACTATACCATCCATTATCATTTCCATAACCCTTTCCTTTCCTTTCGTTTCCTTGTCGCTTATTCACATTCATCTTCTCTTTCACCTTCCACCGAACACGCACTTTCCCACATTCACTCACCGTCACCGTCGATCTGCTCTGCTCTTCGTCAACGCAACTCCAATTCTCACTTAAAACACTTCCCACCTACCTTTTGCTTCGCTTCATCAGGTTCACGTTGATCTTCTTCAACCTTAATTTCACACCGTTGTATTTTTATTTAATATAATTTATCTTTTTAAGATAGGAAGATAAAAAAGGAAGAGCATCTTTCGAGTTTAGTTGACTTCAATTTTATAATTAGCTAGCTATGTGGATTTCCCTTAATTGGAACCGTGGTTGCGTGGGTGTACTCTTTCTCGACTTTTGGGGAGGAACTGAGGCTGATTAATTTGGATTCCTTTCTGCTGTGACTGTTACTTGTGGTTATTGTTTTTGAATTCAATTTGTGATGATGGAAGCTTTTCATTTGTATGGTATGGGTGGTGGTGGTTCATCTGATGTGAGGCCTTTGGGGAAGAGGTCCGTGGAGTGGGATTTGAATGATTGGAAATGGGATGGTGATCTTTTCATAGCTAAGCAGCTGAGTCCGGTGCCAGAACATAGGCAATTTTTACCTATGCCTGGCGCTGGGGGTTCTTCCAACTCCAATACTTCATCTTCGTGCTCTGATGAGGTAGATCTTGGGAACAAGGAAGGTGACAAGAAGAGGAGGGTTATTGTGCTGGAGGATGAATTGGATTTGAATGAGGTTGCAGAAGCGGGTAGCCTTAGCTTGAAGCTTGGTGGTGGACGTGGTAGTGGTGGTACTCCAATTCCTGTTCCAAGCTGGGAAGGAACCAACGGCAAGAAAGGCAGGGTTGCTGCTGGAGGTACTTCTAATCGAGCTGTTTGTCAGGTGGAGGACTGTGGCGTAGATCTCACCAACGCTAAAGATTATCACAGACGTCATAAAGTTTGTGAGATGCACTCCAAGGCCACTAAGGCCCTTGTGGGAAATGCAATGCAGCGCTTCTGCCAACAATGTAGTAGGTAAGTTCATGTTCTTGGGTTTGTTTTCAATTTTTCTTTGTACCTAATCAGTTCCAAATTTAAAAGACTATAGTATAACAAATAGCTGAAAAGTATAACAATTATTGTTAATTTTGAAGTTTAGATCATTGTATTTCATGACATTCTTTTACTCCGTCAATAGGTTTCACATGCTTCAGGAGTTCGATGAAGGAAAGAGAAGCTGTCGTAGACGATTGGCGGGCCATAATAAACGAAGGAGGAAAACAAATCACGATGCTGTTCCCAATGGAAGTTCACTGAACGATGATCAGACTAGCAGTTACCTGTTGATAAGTTTATTGAAGATACTTTCTAAAATGCATTGTAAGTGTTTCTTTAATCTTATCTCTGTAAGTAGGGCCTAGAGTTGGGTTCATATAAAATCTGCTTTATTATTTTAAATGATGTTATTGATGTCCATTTCTGTTGTTTGAAATGATGAATGATGTAATATTAGTTTAAACTATTTTCTTTAATGGATGGCACCGGCAGTGGTAAAGTTGTTCCTTTGTGACTGAAAGATCCTCTTTACATATATGCAAAGGTAAGGTTGTGTACAAGGATTGCCCTCACCCCTACCCTTACTAGTCAGGTTTAATGGGAAGTGAATGGCATTGGCATCTATGTTAATAGCTTCAGAAAGGTAGTTTGTTTGTTTGCAAATTTGGTTTATGAAAACTATATTTTGTCAAAGATATAGGGAAAGACTTGTTTTGTACGGGGGAGAGGTTTCATACATAGTAACCCAAATTAAACATGTAAGTCCAGTTCTTGTTCTGGATTTTCACGAAGAATAGTATGTAACTACTTAGCCAACATATGTTACTTTCCCAAGATTCTGTTTCATTTCATGTTGAAGAATTGGTTCAAGCTTATTCACTTAATTTCTGTGGAAGAGAAAGGGTCAGATGGGATATAGGATGAGCACGAGATGAACAGATTGCTTGGTTTTTCATCCTTACTGCTAAATGATATCTGGGGACTGAATGTTGGGCCTTAAGGGCTGTAATGAGCAGAATGATTGAAAGTTAGACTCCTTCAGTTTTCTTGAGTGAGAAGCTGGACCTAACAAAGTAACAAGTTAGAACTTAGAAATGGGCAAGCAAAATAGATTGACCTTGGTTTTGTGTGTTAGTTGGCATTACTTAGTCAGCCTTGAGCTCATCACACAACTGGTTTCCATTCATAAGCATCTGTAGGTACCTTGAGGGACAGAGTATGGAGTAAAATATTATTTATGTTTGGCAATATCTGAATGACCAATAAATAAATTGCTTGATGAAAGACTGTCTGATCAATTGACCTTGAAAATGGCTCAGAAGAGATGGATTGAGGTGCTTCCAAATATGTCTTAGTACCTATTAATGGACAACTATAATTGAGAGGAGGCCACGAGGAGAAGACATTGTAATAATAGAATGATAGCAATTGGCTTTAAAATGTAGTACCTCTAAAGGCACAGCTACGACAAATTGAAGTACTCATGAACACTGGTAAGATCAAGTAATCTTGTAGCTAAATGATTTTGGTATAATATCTAATGGAGGAAATGGTGTGGTGGCAAAAAGTTCAGCTTGAAGACTCAAAAGGATCATGAGTGCGTTTATTCATATGTGTGCATCATGTGTTAATATTTGTTTCTAATTATTTTTGTTTCTTGAGAATCTTCTCTTATCTGTTTCTCTGATTGATATTTCTGCTATGACTGAGGTAATTTAGCAAAGGATAATGACATTTTTTGTGATCTGTAGCTGACAGGTCAGATCAGGCCACAGATCAGGATCTGCTGACACATCTTTTAAGGAGTCTTGCTAGTCAGAATGGTGAGCAAGGGCGCATGAACTTGTCTAACCTTTTGCAGGAACCGGAGAATTTGTTGAAAGAAGGGAGTTCCTCTGGGAAGTCTGAGATGGTTTCTACTTTATTATCAAATGGTTCTCATGGCTCTCCAACTGTTACAAGACACCATCAAACAGTTTCTATTAGTGAAATTCAGCATCAGGTGATGCATGCACATGATGCTAGGGCTGCTGATCAACAAACCATGTCTTCTACAAAGCCCAGCATTTCAAATAGTCCTCCTGCTTACTCAGAAGCCAGAGACAGTACTGCTGGACAGACCAAGATGAATAATTTTGATTTGAATGACATATATATTGACTCAGATGATGGCATAGAGGACATAGAAAGGTTGCCTGTCTCTGAAAATGTTGTTACAAGCTCTCTTGTTTACCAGTGGATGCAACAAGATTCTCATCAGTCAAGTCCACCTCAAACGAGTGGAAATTCAGATTCTGCATCTGCCCAGTCCCCTTCTAGTTCTAGTGGAGAAGCTCAGGTATGTTTGTCTTGCAGCATTTTTCTGGATTGGCTATTGTCCTTGTGCTCACTCAAGTGCAACTAATCATCACCCATGATTGGGATTTTGTGACATTCTATAAAAATTGAGGATATTTTGCAGAAATTACCTTTGTTTTTGGTTGTGGTTCTTAGACTTTTTGGTGCTGTCTTAATATGTCATGTGAGGAAAGTGGTATGACATTGAACTGTTTCTTTAGTCATACTCCACAAGAAGCCAAGAAGTCACATGGCTTAAGAATATCTGATGGGTGCATCTTTTTTAGGAATATCTGATGAGAGGTGCACGAGAGGGGAGTGGTAAGGATTTCCTGATGAAATTCTTTTGCTTCTTTTTGTAATAAGGGAGGTACCTAGTGAGGGGATGGGGGAAAGGTGGGCCAAGTGTGAGAACCGAGACTAACTGAACATGGCATTATATTTTTGTACTGAGGATGAAGTTTTAGAGATGAGTATTTTGATCATCCTTAGCAGTCCTGGTTTAAATAGCATGTCTGGATAAGGCTATGTATCTGATATGAAAGCATTCATCTAACATGAAGATGTCGTATGATGTTGAGCCCCCAATAGTTACGCTAGAATGACCATGCTGGACCTTCCTTAGGTGTCAGCAATTATGTTGCTTGTTTAAGCTTGCAGAAATTTGTGTTCAATTGCCAATTTAGTGCCTTCTTTTCATTTATGAAATTGCATTCTGATTTTAGCTACTCCTGTTTGATTTAACTCTCATATGCCCCTTCTTTGGCGGGTAAATACAAAAAGAATAAATCAGTAGATGTTGGTAATTATTTTCCTTTACTAGCTGAGCTTGAACGGTGCCTTTTTCTGTTAAATTTTGTAGGATCTTGAGATTGTCATTTTTAACAGCTAATTTGTTTGTTTCCGCCATTTAGAGTCGCACAGATCGAATTGTTTTCAAACTCTTTGGTAAAGAGCCGAATGATTTTCCTCATGTACTCAGAGCACAGGTACTTTAAGCTTTTTCAAAAGCATCTTTCAGTAACAGTTGTTAATTTCTTTCTTTCGAAATTGAGTCACTCTAAGGTTTTGGATTGCAGATTCTTGACTGGTTATCCCACAGTCCTACTGATATTGAGAGCTACATACGACCTGGTTGTATTGTTTTGACTATTTATCTGCGTCAGCCTGAGGCTTTGTGGGAGGAAGTAAGCATTATCCTTCTAAAACTGCTAGCATGTGTCCATGGGTGGTTATTTTTGCGATCAGGGGACAGTCTTGACCTTATTAGGCTTGGTTATTTTTTTTACAGCTTTGCTATGATATGACTTCCAGTTTGAATAAGCTTTTGGATGTCTCGGATGATGCTTTTTGGAGTACTGGATGGATTCACATCAGGGTGCAGCATCAGATAGCCTTCATTTTCAATGGTCTCTTGCCATGTTTCTATTGTCATTTTTGCTAGCTGTAAAGATAACAGGAGTTGAAATTTTATCACAGTATTCAATTAAGTCCATCAACCATTATTTTGCCCAATCGAGTATATTAACAGTTTAAAAGTTATAAGTCCTTTCTTTGACAAATTATCTAAATTAAGGACTTATTTGTATCCCTATCTAATTTAAGCCTTTCTCACTTATATACCTTTTTTTTATGGATTTGATTGAATGTTGATGTAATGTTAATGGGCTTATAACGTTGCCTATATTGTTGTCATTGTTATTATGTTGTGTATTGAGTAACTGTATGAACCAGAATTGGTAGTATTTATTTATATGACTGGGTATCTCACTGCAAATTTACTGCTGCAGGTCAGGTTGTCATAGATACATCCTTACCTTTCAGAAGTAATAATTACAGTAAGATTTTGAATGTTAGTCCAATTGCTGTACCAGCATCAAAGACAGTTCAATTTTCTGTTAAGGGTATCAACCTGATTCGCCCTGCCACTAGGTAGTGTCTACCTGTTGCTTTGTGAAATGCAAAAACTTTGCACGTTGAGAGTTAAATGCAAAATTTGAAATTGTCTTGGACACCTACTCTTTAGGTTCCATGATTTGATTTAAATATATTATATATTTAATTTTTTTTACTGTTATAGCATATGACCTTTAAACCTATTCCTTCAGGTTATTGTGTGCTTTAGAAGGGAATTATCTGGTCTGTGAAGATGCTCATGAGTTGATGGATCGATGCTCCAAGGATATTGATGAGCTTCAGTGCATTCAGTTTTCATGTTCTGTCCCTGTGATGAATGGAAGAGGATTTATAGAGGTGCCTCTTCTTTGCTCTCACAAATTATACATTTTATTTTTCAAGACTAACATGATTGCAACCTGCCAGTAATGGTAGACTCAACTGGTAGGATCAATCAACGTCAATGAAAAGTTCTTGTGTTCGATTCATACTGGTGAATTCTTCATTGATAGGCCATATGTAACTTGTTAGAGATATATAAAACCATTAATGCAATCTCACCCACCAGCTTAAGCTTTTGGGTTGAATTGGTTCTTTATATGGTATCAGTGCCTCGGTGTTCCGGGTTCAATCCTCGTTGCCCCTCATTTTCTTTGTGGAATTTCTTAGCACAGATAGACTGGGCCTGATGCATCATCCACCTTTCAAGCCCAATGAGTTCTCTTGTGAGAGGACGTGTTAGAGATATATAAAACCATTAATGCAGCCTTACCCACCAGTTTAAGCTTTTGGGTTGAATTGGTTCTTTACATAACTATCACTATAAGCCCTTGTGAGGCTTTTGGCATGCCTTGACTTTTGAATTGGGCAACCTCCTCTCCCCTTAAACTTTTTTGTAGCCCAAAAAAAAGTAATTGCAACCTATGAATTGTTGGTTATTAATACTGATGGTGATAATGTGATACATTAATCATAGTTTTAGTGAATTGGATCAAATTAGGTGGAATTTGTTGCTGCATACAAATATCTGCTATTACTTATTTTATGCTTTACAGTTTTTACTTTTATAAAATTTTATGCACACACTGATTCTTATCGACATTCATATGCATCCTTTCAAAAATTTGTCATATTCTTAATTAAAGACAACCACGCCTATGTCAATGTTATGTTATGTAGCTGAGCTTTATATTTTATGTTTTTCTTAAATATGCCAGATTGAGGACCAGGGTTTGAGCAGCAGCTTTTTTCCTTTCATAGTTGTGGAGGAGGATGTTTGCTCCGAAATCTGTGTACTTGAGCCTTTACTGGAATTAAGTGATACTGATCCAGATATTGAAGGGACTGGAAAAATTAAAGCCAAAAATCAAGCCATGGATTTCATTCATGAAATGGGTTGGCTTCTTCACAGATGCCAATTGAAATCTAGTGCAGATCTGTTTCCATTAAAACGATTCAAGTGGCTCATGGAGTTCTCTGTGGACCATGATTGGTGTGCTGTAGTTAAAAAACTATTGAACCTCCTGCTTGATGGAACTGTGAATACAGGAGATTCCCTGTACCTTGCACTTTCAGAGCTGGGTCTCCTTCACAGAGCTGTAAGGAGAAATAGCAGGCAGTTGGTGGAGCTGCTTTTGAGATTTGTTCCCGAGAATATTTCTGATAAACTAGGACCTGAAGGTAAGGCATTGGTTGATGGAGAAAATCGGAGCTTCTTGTTTAGACCTGATGTTGTTGGTCCTGCTGGTTTGACACCACTCCATATAGCAGCTGGGAAGGATGGTTCTGAGGATGTACTGGATGCTTTAACTAATGATCCTTGCATGGTAAAATTTCTGCTACCTTAAATTGAAAATAGAGTTATTTAGTAGGGGTAATATTTTCTTGTAAGTTCTATTTGGATCTTCACTGCATTTAATTCTTGCGCATATTGTGGTCCATTATATCCCAAATCCTGCATGATAACTGTTAATCGAATTGTTGTCATCCTTAGTTCTCCTTGAATCAAATTATTTGCAAATTTGGGTTTAATGTAATCTCTCAGCGTTATCCAGAGACAAGCAATCCTGTGTGCTGCTATTGTTTGACCTACCAAAGTACTTTCATCACTGTTAATATCTTGTGCTGCCTGAGTTATTTGATTTAGTACTAGGTATTGTTGAAAATGACCTACATGATGATCCCCCCCTTTTCAAAATCATTTCCTCTTGGCAAGTTGGAAACCAGTAGTATTGTGTTAGGTTAGTGTGATATTTAGTTTTGATGATAACTTGGGCTTTTTAATTCAGGTGGGAATTGAAGCATGGAAGAGTGCTTTTGACAGTACGGGCTCCACACCTGAGGAGTATGCACGTTTACGTGGCCATTATGCTTACATTCACTTGGTGCAAAAGAAAATCAACAAGAGACAAGGAGCAGCTCAAGTGGTGATTGAGATTCCAAGTAATCTGACAGGGTTCAATACAAACCTGAAGCAAGATGAGTCCTCGACTAGCTTTGAGATTGGAAAGGCTGAAGTTAGAAGTGTTCAAAAGCACTGCAAACTTTGTGATCGTAAGTTGTCTTGTAGAACTGCTGTAGGCAGGTCTTTGGTCTACAGACCTACAATGTTGTCAATGGTGGCCATAGCAGCAGTATGTGTCTGTGTGGCTCTTCTGTTTAAAAGCTCACCCGAAGTTCTGTATGTATTCCGACCCTTCAGGTGGGAATCATTGGAGTTCGGAACATGCTGAGGTTCATTAACTTATGACTTTAATTTTATAGGTAATGTAATTGGATGCGTTCATAGACCGTATGACCGATATTTCCTGTAGGACTGTTTCTTTATGTTGGCTAAATTGTGTAATGTTATTTACGTGTATATTATTGGCTTGCTTCCTTATGAGACACGTGTTGTTTTGCTTTTATTTTCTTCTTAAACACCATATGATAGAATCCTTTTACGACAGTGTAATACTTGTAACCTTCTGTCTTCTGTTTTTTATAATAATAACCCAAAAAAAGAAAAAAAGGATGATAATTAAATAAAATGACGACTGTCATTGTATTTGTCTTAAATATGTATTGCACTAGTTTCGTTAATTAGTGTGAAGCGTTTATGATCTTCACCAGTTTGGTTAGCAGGTAGGGATTTGCTTTCAACGCTCTAGTTCTTTAGCGGTTAGTTGAGCTACGTTCTATTAATACACCCGTAGAAACACGCTCGAATGTCGCTCGAAATCTCGAATGTTTCTGCCAATCCTTATACTTAAATGGATAACAAATCCACAAATACAAAGTGAATTGCATGTGTGAATTTGTATACAAAACTTTTTAATGTAGGTATAGATTTTTTATATTTATAAAATGTTGTTTATATAGTATCTTTTTCCTAATCTTCTTAAAGTAATACCAAGTTTTTGTATCTCTTCTCTTTACCACAATTTTTGCAGAGCTTTTTTTTTTTGTAAAATAATAATAATAAGTTGTGTGTTTCAAGTTTTACTATTTCGGACTTTCATATGGCACACTAATTTACTACGGTGCAACAAAATGCACTTGTAGATCTACTGGTGCATCACTTTATGTGGTGCATTGTGCTTCAAAATACAAATTTATAAGAATGTGGAGAAACATTTTGAAGTAACATTAGACAACGATGTCATATTGTCCATGGCCTTCCTGGTTAAGAAGCTCCACACGAATCAAAAAATTGGAATTGCTATCCAATTTATTGCAACAAGAAAAGAAAATCAGACCATTGCCCGAGGATTGGGGGTGATCCGGGTGGATCCACATCCATATTTGATAGCCGGATAGCCGGATGTGGATCCACTCATGGACCAGAACATCCCTTACATTAAGAACGAGGTGCTGAATTTTGTCCAAATAATCAGTGCATTAGCTTGTTAGCAAAGTGTGTATCTATTTTCTGGGAAGTGACTATTGGATTTGGTAAAAATGGAAAAATCAAAGAGCATATTAATAATTAAGTTGGAATCCACATCCAGAAGGAATGAGTTATGGGATGTGTTTATTGAGTCTTCTGTCATAAAAACACTCATTCTGCTAATGAACTGCAAAGAATAAGAATTAATTTAAAGATGTTTATCATTTTGGATAAGGTCATCTAATGCAGAAAGAAGTTATGATAGTTCTGTCAATTTATCAATTCTTGATGCATATAGAATTCAGGAAACTGGGATTATCGTTGGGAATTTAAGTTGTTTTGGTGTCCGGATATATCTCTTGTTGGAAGTTTTCCAAGAAAATAAATGTAAAGATATTGGGGATTTCGCTTAGCATCTTATTTTCTTGCACTAACTTTTATTTACATTATTTTTACATGACCGCAATCACTTTCTTACACAAAATACCTACAACTATATGTATGCCCCGCTCTCACTAGAAAAGTTCTCATAAAATTTAGATTTACAAAAAGTTGCATAAATATTGTTCGGTATAGATAGGGAATGTCGAGTCAACTACGCACGTTGGTGGGCTGGAAGCAAATCCAAATCGAAATTGTCCATTTGGGCCTGGGCCTGGTTGGAGTTCAAGTCCCAGTAAACAAACTCGGAATTTATATAAAATAGGGGAAGAATCTGTTTACAAATTTTTTTTATAATTTTTTGCAAATTACACTATGTACTGCGGGGAGAATGTAGTGTAACCTAGTGTTCTTCCGGAAGAACATAATGTAATTTGTAAAAGTTTGTAAATATAACCTTTTCCTATAAAATAATGTATAAAATTTATTTTTCCTTCTTTCAACACAGCAAAACACTCAATTAGCAATTTCTGAAGTTTTTAAATAGGATGACAATAATTTTGTTTTGGGGGGGGGGGGGGGGGGGGGAAGTAACAATAATTGTCATTTTGATGTAATCGTAATTATAAAGACATTGAGAATAAAGAATGAAATTAATCATTATAATGACTTTGGGGCATCTGCATTTGAAATGATATAATTTAATTTAAATGACAAGTTTTACCATAAGATCACGGGTAGATTTAATCGGAACTCTATCAATCCGGATGTTAGTCTCGCATTCCGTAAAGATATTCAAGTTAAAAAAATAAAAAAAACTTCTACAGCAAAAGCTCGGTCAAGAATACTACTGTACACCAAAAAAAATAATAATGACTCACTCTGTCATCTTTTATATATATATATATATATATATATATTGCAAGTGTCATCTTATATATTTTAAGATAGTCAAAGATGCGTACTTCCCATGTTCTAGTTTAATAAACGCGAAATAGAACCATATGCTCGGTATCATTCCATTTCTTTGATACTCATGGACACGAATTCAATCCAGATGACATTGATCGATATTATTTTTATTTTTTTGAATACAATGATAGCATTTGAACCTAAGCTTTCCATTGACCGGTTTCTTGAACTGAGCAATTGAAATAGTAGACATTTATTTTTTCCTGCTTTACATGAAAGTTCACAAAGAATTATGAAGAGGTTTTTCTCATAATGTTTTTTTGTTTTTATATTTTTCATTCTCTATACCGTTCACGAGTACCAAACAAAGTTATTTTTTTTTAATAAAAAAATCACCTTTTATTAATTTTCTAATAAAACAAGAAGGAACATTTGATATGGTGATTACCATTTACTGAGTTGGAGAGTTTTTCCACTATGATGAAATTCTCTCTCATCATTGTGTGAATTGTTGCGGATCAGAGATTGGAGTAGCTTAATCAGTATAGTGAAGTCTGAAAAAAGACCGAGTATGCTGTGTCTATGAAATGGCAGAGAGACATAAGGTTCAAGGCTTTTTGGAGTTACTTGGTAGTATTATATAATTTCTACTTGCAGAACTTGAATAGCTGCCCCTTTCCCGAAATCAACTCACATCTTACATGTAGTCATTTTAGGCAATTCTCCCTTAATGCTTGATCAATGACCATAGAACTTGGTTAATCATTTGGACTTGCTTTTAGATAAAATATTTTGCAGACAGCTTTTTCACCATTTCAAATTGCAATCAATTGGGACAAAATTCTGATAAATTTTCATTGAACCAACACAGTAACATTGCACAAACAAAAATTAAATTGTAAGTAAAATCGGAAAAAAAAAAAGGTTCAGATATGATAATATGGCATTAGACCTATGAATGGAGCTGCAGCAACTGAACACGCGAATTATTCATCCACACTAGTAATACAGCCATTGAAGGGACGGATTAAATTGACAACTCTCAAGCTTGAGGCTTCTCCCACTTGAGTGGCTTTACAACTTCCCAGGTGAAGTCAGGGTCATCCCTTCCAAAGTGTCCATAGGCAGCAGTCTTGAGAAACCTATGGCCACCCCTCTTAAGGTCCAAGTTAATGGTCATCATTCCAGGTCTGAAGTCGAAGTTCTCCTTCACAAGTTGAAGAATCTCCTTGTCAGGTATCTTTCCAGTTCCATAAGAGTCAACAAAGACTGACAAGGGCTCAGGAACACCAATGGCATAAGAAACTTGAACAATGCACCTGCGGGCAAGGCCATTTGCCACAATACTCTTTGCCGCCTGCCTTACAATATAGGCACCGCTTCTGTCAACCTTAGTAGGGTCCTTGCCTGAGAAAGCACCTCCACCATGGGCACCCCAGCCACCATAAGTATCAATGATAATCTTTCTTCCAGTGAGACCAGCATCACCATGTGGGCCACCAATGACAAAGCGGCCAGAAGGGTTAAGGTGGAAGATGGTCTTGTCATCTAGATACTTCTCAGGAATGACAGGCTTGATAACATGCTCTTTAAGATCAGCAGCAATTTGATCATTAGAGACAGTCTCATCATGCTGGGTAGAAATGAGGACAGTGTGTACACGAACTGGAACCATAGCACCATTTTCATTGTAGTACTCGACAGTTACTTGTGTCTTACCATCTGGTCTCAGCCAAGCGCAGGTACCATTCTTCCTAACCTCAGTAAGGCGAGCTCCTAGTTTGGTTGCAAGGACATGGCTCAAAGGCATATATTCAGGGGTTTCATCAGTGGCATAGCCAAACATGTGACCCTGGTCACCAGCACCAATCTCCTCTGGGCGCTTGGTAAAGTGGCCGTGCACACCCTGGGCAATATCAGGGCTCTGCTGCTCAATGTTGACCAAGACCTTGCATTTGTCAGCATCCAGACCAACATCATCAGAGACGAATCCAATGCTACGGCATGTGTCACGGACAATCTTCTCATAGTCTACGTTCGCCTTGGTTGTAATCTCTCCAAAGACCATGACCATGTTAGTCTTGGTGCATGTCTCACAGGCAACCTTGCTGTCAGGATCCTGTTCAAGGCAGGCATCGAGCACTGCATCAGAGATCTGGTCGCACAGCTTGTCAGGGTGACCCTCATTCACAGATTCAGAAGTGAATAGAAAGGTTTCCGCCATTTCTCAAGCTAAACAAAACAGCAAACAATATTGTTCAGTATTACAAAGTGTTGAAAGTAAAAAAGGATTATGATATGAGTAGTTATAGGAATTTAACCGATAGAGATATAAAGCTTTATCCTATCTCTAATTTAGCTAGAATAGTGGAAAACAAATCTGATCCATATCCAGATTTATATTTGAATCTATTACCAAAAATATTGTATCCAACTATATTTAAAGGGAATGGAACCCCCATGAAAAAAATAAGAAACAGGGGGAGTTTTTAATGAGGATGTAGGTCACTTGACCAACCTCAGCATGCACTGTGCATGCTCTTTTATTTTTCCAATTTATTAATACAAAGCACAATAGTTTAAAAAAAATGTGGAAATAACAATGTTTCTTGGTGCTCATCAATAAAAGAAATCTGAGATTCGAGAACACATTACAAAAGGAATAAAGCCACGTATCCCCCCAGAACAAATTGAAAGAAATCTGTAGACTTTATACCAAGATTCATTAAAATAATTTATCTTAATTTGCTTTCTAAAAGGTTTTGGTCCTGATAAAACAATTGCAGCCAAGCCGATAAGAAAGTATATCAAAGATTCCCATGTAACCAAGATATAAAGTTGGACAGGATTTTGGATTTGAAGAAACATGAAGATACAATAAGTCTCAAAAATCTCCGTTTCAATTTAAAAATCTCCTTGCTCAATGGGAAGTAAAACTAAGGTGCTTATAGAAAAATAGCCCCCATAGAAATCTCTTGTAAATAGACATAAGCCAAAACAGTTCAAAAAACAAAAATTGTAAATGAAGAGCATCACATCAGGCAACAATACATGATGTATTGGCAACCAGAGAACTAGATCGAGAGAGAGAGAAACAGTTAGAACGTATAATTTCCCAAAAAGCATCAGATCTAACAACAGAAGGCCAATGTTTAGGGGAAGAAAAAAAAGAAAGAAAGAATTAAAGAGAAAAAGAAGAAGAAGAAAAGAAAGAAAGAGAAAAAGAAGAAGAAGAAGAAACCCGATTCTCAGCGGAAACTGAACTCTAACATGGGTTCAGGATTATGTAGTTCAACTTCCAAACCGTAACAGATCCGTAAACACAAACAACAGCAGTCAGAAGCAAAAAACAAGCTGAAACATAAATGATAGAGCAATCCAAAACCGAAAAAAAAAAAATAGAAATATAAATAAAAATCAGATCTATAACCGTCACGATCTATTTAGGACAAGACAACAAAAATTTTAACGTTAAATGTTACCCACTGACATGGAACATATATGATGATGGTATAGGGAAAGCAAAACAAGTAAGAACAAGAAACAAAAGAACATAGTACGAGAAGAGAAAGGTGATGAACCTGGAGCGAGTGAGAGGTTGCAATTGTTTCGAACTTTGAACCGAGTCACTCTCGAAACAGACCTTGTTGGACTCTAAATGGCTGGTGCTGGTGAATGACCGTGTCTCCCCTTTTATACTAATCAATGCCCCATATGACTGGTCACCGGAACCTGCGGTGTGCACGATAGATTTGATCGTTGTCCGTATAAATGAGTTAGCCCGGCATATAGGAATTTATGAGCCTCGTCTAGATTGATCTATTACAAATAATAAAATAGAACAGTACTAGACTTTTAAAAAAAATCAATTTAAAAAATACGTCCATTGAGATTTTTATACATATTGGATCTATTTGCCGCCTTATTTCATATTATTTTAAATAAAATAAATAAAATTATTATTTTAATCATTTGGTATGATAAAATAATATTATTTTAGTTATTCTTTAAATTTTAAATGATTAATAGCATTAAATAAGCTAACAAACTTAGGTCAAAACTTTTATTTTTTAAATATAAGTCATGCCATTTATAATTTGAGACTTACGCAGGGTAATAATTCAAGAAAAATCCAATATTTTTTATACAAATTTAATCTATTTAAGTTAAAGCCTAGTCTAATTTATTTATACTTCTATTTGACGCCCAAATCAAGAGTTGGTAAGAGCGCGAGAGGATTCCAATAACCGGATATTGCCGGTCACTTACCAACCCTAACCCGTCGCCACCAGGTATGGCTTCGGTTAACCAAAAGTGAAAATAGAAACCGAGCGCGTCAGTGTCGGTGGTACAATACGGGTAGATCCCATTCCCAATTTGATGAAAATTATATATGACACGGTGTTCTGTTCAAATTTGCAATAATGAGTATATAAATTCTTAACCTATATCTGCTTTGGAATATCAAAATTAATGGAAGCAAAAAAAAATTATGTAAATTTTGCCATGCATAAAGATATGGCTCTTCTTCTTCTTTTTTAATTAATTTTGGTTCCATGGTATATCACGATGCAACATTGATATTGAATTATTGACTCTTTAGCTAATTAATTGTCTGCTAATGGTTTGCTTCTTGTTGTATCATGCATGTAGAAAATGGGACATAAATATATTATGAAAATAAATTCACAACAGTCCAATCAACTTGGTTGATTTTTTAGGAAGACGAAAGAATAAACAAATGTATAATGGCTAAATTATATACTAATTAAACGCAGCAGCAGTGGCGTTTCCGAATAGTGTGTGGACTTTATACAATGTCGTGCGTAAGATGATGCGCGATATGATCGCATGTCGATTATGACCGTCATGTTCTAATTCATGGCAAATTACAAATTTTCAGTCAATAAAAGGAACCTGACGATGTTATTATATAATGATCACCAGACACCGGGGTTAGGTGGGAAACAATAGCAGCTGCTACTTTCGTGCATTTATTTTATTTTTTTCAAAGGAAAAAAAAAGGGCAGAGCTTTAAAATGAAACTAGACTACCTAGTTGATGAACTGATAAGGGATAAAAGTGAATATGTCGTGCAAATTCTTTGGAAGTGGAAACATCATATTCCTATATGATTGACATTTGAAAGGTGGTAGGTTAGTAGGGGGTTGGTGACCAAGTACCAACCACAAAGAATAGTTAGATCATTAGATGACAAAATAAGTCATGGCTTTTTGGCATATTAGGACTCAACCAACCCCATTAGCCATATGTATGGGTAATGGATCATATCTAATTAAGTGCGCTTCCCATAATCCGTTTTTTTATTAAGAATGAGAAACAAATAAAAAAGTAAATAAAAAAAAGGAAAGTTTCTAATTACGTAATAGGTGTGGCTTTGCATTGCTGTCAGTGAAGCCCCAAAAGGTTCGGCACGTATCGGTCGTACGCGGTTGGTGACTGACAGGGCCACCATTGCTGTATTAAGACTCTTTACCAATCATAATCAGCCACGTGTCTTCAGTCTACACTAGCCAAACCGTTGCCTATGCTGCTTGGTTTATATTACTGTTTAATATTATTATTTCTTTTCTTTTTTTTGTAAAAATTATTCTTTTTGTTTAAGTGATGTTCAGATTAGATACAAATATACTTTAACTAAAAGGCTAGCATACATAATACAGGGCTTTTTGACCCTTATAACCCTTTATTATTAATTAATTACCGATTTGACCTTAATTATAAACTATTTCAAAAATTTAACCCCCTCAGAAAACATAACACCAATCTGCCCCTGTTTGACCGTTGACCACCAAGCCTACCCGGGTACACCCCTCTGTACCCGGGTATTTTTTGAAAATTTTTGTCTACCCGGGTAGGGAGGCGTGTACCCGGGTATTGTTCTTCGTACCTGAAAAATTGCTTGAATTATTTACCCGGGTAGAGAGGGGTGTACCCGGGTAAATCTTCGACCACCCATTTGGTATTTTCTCTCTCTTTTTTACAGCTAATGAGATAGATCAGTATTATCAAGTTAATCATGCCTAACCAATTTGAAGAGCTTTTAGCTTTGAGAATGGATTTGGAATTTCCATACATCAACACTTTACTGCTCATCAAAGCGGTCCCTGTTCGTATCGATTATGATGGGGTCTACTTTTATGTACGTCAAAATCGCGCTCCTATATATAAATGTGGTACCGGGTCTATTGGGGAGAGTGAGACGGAAAGAAAATAAAGACAGGGTTCATGGTACAGAAATTTAGTGTGAGCATGCAGCTTTTCATTTTACTGGTAAATGATGAATTATCACGTTCAGGGAAGACATGCATGAGACAAGGTTTGTGGTTGTGGATTTATACTGTTAACTGAGAATTCTCTTTCTGAAATAATCATTGAAAAATATTTGTGTGCTTTACAGACCCAAAAAAGTTGCAGAGGCAGAGCACGTGATAGTCGGTGCCTCCATATTCAAAGCTTGGAGAAGAAGAGTGCATGGGAGATCCAAAGAGTAATCATACCGGGTTGTTGAAGATTTACCCGGGTACACCCCTCTCTACCCGGGTAAATAATTCAAGCAATTTCTCAGGTGCGAAGAACAATACCCGGGTACACGCCTCCTTACCCGGGTAGACAAAAATTTTCAAAAAATACCCGGGTACAGAGGGGTGTACCCGGGTAGGCTTGGTGGTCAACGGTCAAACAGGGGCAGATTGGTGTTATGTTTTTTGAGGGGGTTAAATTTTTGAAATAGTTTATAATCAAGGTCAAATCGGTAATTAATTAATAATAAAGGGTTATAAGGGTAAAAAAGCCCATAATACAATCATGCCAGACCTGTAATTGCACTGACAATGGATAAAAAGAATAGTCAAATCTTAAACTTGTGGTGAATGGTGACATAAGGTATATAAAAAAATATTCAAGTCCGTTACTATTTATTGACAATGTAATTTTATTGATTTAATGAAAAATAAATTTTTAATTAATCTTAATTCAAATACGAAAATATTAAATTCAGATAAAATCATCTGTCAACACATCAATTCCATTTTAATAAAAGTTATTTCATATTTTTTAAATTTGATAGTATATTACACACACGTATTAATTAATAAATCTATTTCTAATGTTTCTAAATTTATCCCCATGTTTCTTTGTCAATATGTAACCATCAATTATAAGAAAACTACCCGGCCAATTATTACCCATAGTTAAATAATTAATATTTTTTGTAAATTTGTCTGTATTGGACTGACAATGTTAAATATCTAAAATACAATTAGTCAATTACACAATTTTAAGTAGAATCCTCAATTTTCCAATAAGCAATACTTTAGCTAGTTTTTGGCCGCATCAAAAATTGTCTTATTAATTCCTCAAATAATATGTCATAAAGATCTGTAACTATTTCGATTTATGATGTATAGTTGATGATATTTCTTTCGTGGGTAACGGTAGAAGACACCATATGTATCTATCCAAAAGCACAGAAAAAATAAGAATAAAATAAATATGACCATTTTTTTTCTTTCTTTTTTTCCTTTTTTATCTTTTTTTTTTTTTTCCTTTGACATGATAGAGAAAAATTAAAATTGTGAAGAGAAAAAATAAAAATGACTGAACTTTACAATCTGTGGACAGAGATACAGAGTCACATTGCGTCCGCGTTTGAAGCTCTAAAAAACATGCATTTAAAGCATGTTACTGGATCAAAGCACTATAAATGTGAAAACGTGCATCTATCTTATAGTATTAATATAATTAATTAAAAACAAGTTAGCACAACTTGCTATGACCAGCCAAAACACAACTTGCTGCCATTTATTTTTTATTTGTTTTGAAAGAGAAAAGAGAATAAAATATACTTGTTACCATAAGTACGTTTGATAATATTTAATCTATTTATGAGTCGCAAAACATGAAGCATTAATTAAATTCAGAGAGGTAGGTGGAGGTCGTGCACTTGTGCTAGAAACAAGATTGTGATAAGCAGTAAGCACCATATTTATTTTGTAAAAACTAATTCTACAATTGGTGGGAGGTGGAAGAGTAGCTGTTTTTTTCAAAGCGTGTTATGGGCCGCCCCCTACCTTTGATTTGGTAAACATTAATTGAAAAAGCCTTTACAAAAAATTGATTTGAGTGCTTCGTTTCAAATCTACGGTTGAGTGACGCGAGTGATTAATAATTTAATATCGCTCAACATTTCCATTTTTAAACATCTACTTCTTCTTCGAAAGCTATTTCAACATAATGCAGAGAGTAAGCATGAGGGACTTTGGGTGAAGATTTTTAAGTCAGTCTCTCACAAGTCATAACATCCAGAATGGTTTATTTTTAATAAGTATGAATATATTCATTTTATTTTAATTTAAAATACATTTGTATACTAAAACATATATTTACTTAAGTCCAAAAGGAAAAACCATGAGATTCACGGGATCTCCGACTCCGTGCATGCCTTAAAGACTGTCTCCGCATTCAATGTTGCGACCCCCTCCGGCACTCACATAATTTTTTTAGTTGAGTGTAGCGACCTCCCCTCTGACACTCACACGATTGTATCAAGTGACACAATCTCGTTAGTCTTGTTATAGTAAAATTTCAAAAGACCATAACTTTTGATTTATATATCCAAATCAGATATTTTTTTTATTTCACATAATTTTTTGATATCTACGCAATGATACCTTATTTGACATATTTTATCTCTCGCAAACATAATTCGAATTTGTAAGGCATCACCAACATGTTATCGTCTATTCCTGCTTTCTTCCTTCTTTCCCTACCGCTAGGGTTCTCCATTTTTTCTCTCACTTTTTCTTCGTTTTCTTTTCTTCACAAAAACAAATTTTGGAATTAACTGTTGTCTCGCACAGGTGTTGCTGCAACACTAACAGACAGAAATTCAATTAATTAAAATCTCAACAAAATTGTTTTGAAAATCGAGGAAGCTAAACAAATTAAGGGTTTCTACTTCTTCCCACCAAATTTTGGATTTAAACGCTCTTGTGATTGTGAAACTATTGTTGCAAATTTAAACTAAGTTTATGGAAGATAAATATGCTAAAGAGGTGTCATTGCGTAAATATCAAAAAGTTATGTGAAATAATAAAAAATCATATGATTTAAATACCCGAGTCAAAAGTTACGACCTTCCGAAATTTTCAAGTAACGAGACTAATAGAATTATGCCACTTGACATAATCGTGTGAGTACTGGAGAGGGGGGTCGTGGTACTCAATGTCACTGGGACTCCCTCACGATACTAAAATACCCCCAATTGATAAATACTGGGAATTGAAAACTTCTACTAATAAATGTTTTCTGACAGCCCATGAACAAAATCATATTTATTTTAGAGAGAGACATATTATAGCATAATCGTTCATTTTAATATGAGCAATATCATATTCATTTTATTTCTTACACAGTACACACTTATAAAAATGTATGTAATTATTTGAATAAAAGAGAGAAAGAAAAAGCACGAGTCTCACATATGTAGAAGATAATTTTATCTTTTATTATATAAAAGATATTAAACCCTTATTATAATATTTGAAAAGTAGAAATATCTGGTACTCTCAATGTATCCAAATCATTTTCCTAATCAGAAACCAGTTTACTCAATACACGTTATTAAGAAAGTTTGACTAAAGATTTTTATCAGGAAAGTTTGATGAATCATACTTATTCTGAATCTGATTATGACTAAAGTGATGATTGAATTCAGCTCAAATTGACTTGATATCAGAATAAAACGCACAAACTTGAATATTAAGTACAGTTGATTTATAAAATGTTTAAAATAAGAAACTAAAATTAGAGGATGTTTTATTATATGTTTTATTAAGTACAGTTGACGGGTGCAGTATTGCTTATTGTTATGTATTAATAATATTATAAAAAGTGAATTTTTGTTTATCAAGCAACAATGAAAATCAAAATGTTTTTTCCACTCTAACTTCTCTATATTTTTTCACCTACTTTAATGAAAGGATAGGCTTAAATGCTCTCCCTACATTCATCACCAATTCACCATTAAATTCCTTGAAAACCATGGCATCGTCCTGCCCATTCGCGCACAAGGTGCTTCCTCAAGCATCCACACAAATGCAAGCTTCTTTGGTAGTCCATGACATGTCCCTGACAACATCAAGTATCTTTGATCTTTTACAGGTGATTAAGAATAAAATACTGCAAGATTATTAACAGACCAAGAATTTTCAAAAGGGTGGAAATAAATCATTTCAGGTCCACAACGCTTGGAGCTCCGGTCAGAGCTTCGTTCCACAAACGGTGTCTATTTAGGTAAGAGTGTGGTTCAAAGCTAATGCTTAATGTCTAGAGCAATTAGCAGGAACATGGGCAAGTAAAGCTATCCTTAAAGTGTTTGGTTGAGGAGAAGTGAAAATATGTATGGGTAAGTGTATGTGAGTATCTAATAAAACCACATTTGGTTGAAGGTTTAGTTTCTTTTCCCATCAAAGAGCTTTCCTAGCAAACCAAGAAAGGGACCAAAAACCAGATATCTTCACTGTTGAGAAAGCCTTTGAAGAGGTGGAATTTCTCATCAAAATCGGATATCTTAAAAAGCTAATGAATGGCATGCCAAGTTTACCCCTATTGTGGTTGGTAGGATGTAATAAAACGGTTTCATTTTTACGAGGATAGTTTTGTAATTTCATTAAGTTTTCCCATCAATATTTTATCTTCAACCAAACACACATTCAGAAATTTAATTCAATTTTCCTAGTAAAATTTTGCCTAACCAAACAACTTTTTTAAAACTTTCCTATCTAACTCACTTTTCCTCCAAATTCCTAGTATTTATATTTCCCTAGTATTACAAAATTTCTCCCCAACCAAACACGGGTGCAGCAGAAGGCTAGTGCGTTGTTGAGTACACAATGAACAGCTACACTTAGTACCAACAATTTTTAGGTACATCAGAGACTATTTGACCGAGCCTCAAGTGATTACCAGCAGGATTCGGTTCATCTGAACGAGTTCGGGAAAATTGAACCTCCATTAATCTGATGTAAGAAAAATGAAATAACAGCAATCACTTCATTCTCCACTAGTCATCACTCATGTATCAGGGTCCTGAAAAGTCAATTATTTGCATCCCTCTTCCAGCAACAGCAATCTGATAATGGTTCCTGCATAAGACACGAGTTAAGAGAAAGAACAATATGACGTATTAACCAACATGGTCATCCTCCCATACATAACAATCACCTGCCACAAGCCCTAGCAGATAACGCTTCTGGCTCTGGCACACTAACTATTAGATGTGCATACTCAATTAGTTTACTCTGGTCAAGATGCCAGCATCTGACCCGCTGATCAAGTCCAGTGGAAAACACCCAAGATCCATCTGTCCAGACACCTTCATAAAATAAAGGTTGGTTGTGATGCATCACTTATCAAACTTATTGAAAACAAATACTAGAAGTTCAGATATTCATATGCATTTCTGGATATTGGCTGCAAATTGATAAAGTGGTTCAAATGGATATGGTTGACACGTTCCATAAATAATTTAAGGCAAATGAAAAGCAGATGTAAATCTAATGGCAAAACTGCAAAAGACAAGTATTCCCGCAAACAAAAAAAATCATATAGGGAATAATAGGTTAAAGATTCTCGAGTGGGACAAAATGCTAGATGAAAGTAACAAATAAATTTAGCGGGAAAAACCAAGAAAACATTGGATCAAACAAAGAAAGCCTGACATGCCTACTATTCCTTATAAACAGAAGAAAAATGTAGATAGATAAAGTATAACTATACGGCTTTACCTTTAACAGAAGAGCTGTGGGCCGAAGGAATTTTTTCATAATTTAAGAATCTGATCCTATAATTCTTGCTCAAATTTTGAAAGTTCATGTCCTTTCCATATTCAGGTACAGAGACCAAATGTGTGATATTTGGGGTCAAAACCCCATTATCTAAATTTATTGATTTAAGTGATAATTCAACTATAAGATGATGAAGTGCTTGATCATCACCCCCACTAATTATACTGTACACATGGCAACCATCAGTATTTTGGCCACCCTTTATCTCTGAAACATGGAGACAATTGACACCAGATTGGTGAGTATTTGGCAAAAGGCATAGAGGCTGTATTTCACATATTTCCGCTGATGAATTATCGGTCCTAATTTCTGAATCAGGGAGAGCTGTATCCATAGCTTGAGAACGAACCATCTTGCTGTCTCCACAACTGATACTTTTGGTCTCCTCTTTGGTTTTTGAGGTGACCAAACCGCTGCCTGGTCTTTTCTTTGACAAGTCACTGCTCAAAGATCTCCACCGTCTACCACCTTGACTTCCTCTCCCTGTGCGTGGTCGTTTTTGACAATCAAAAACATTCTCTACATTACAAACTGAAACCCGCTGCATAAAAGCTTCAACGCTGTCTGTTAGGTCCCAAAAAGCAACACTCCCATCGGTAGATCCACTAATCACAACATAAACATTTCCAACTTGGACGTTTTCTGTAAAAAGTTTATACAAAAGATGAATAAAATTAAAGCAGGAAAACAGATCAAAGACACAACATATATGAGGAAGGACCTCTAAAATTATTCTAAAGAGTATATTAAAAAAGTATTAGAAAGGACAAATTTAGTTGTCTTAAATAATTTCTGTCATTTCATATACTGCGCATGATACAAAACACTTCAAATCACCACTATCTAAGTAATTTCATTGCATACAACTATACCATTATTAGCAGTGGATGTTTAGTCAGAACATTCTAAAAAAGACAAAAGCACATCTAAGAACCGAAAAACAGATCACTTTATTTAAAGAAAGTACTGAGAACCTATGAAAAAGCTTCCAATAACCTGTCCAAAAGAGACAGAATAAATCCAACCCAGTGAAGATAAAGAATTCCAACTACTAACAAACCCACAAGAAAAACAAACGCATTAAAACAAGACTCAGAAACACGGAAAATGCATTAACAAATGCCAAATAAGGCCAATAACCTGGGCATAAGAAAATTACTGAAATATCGTTAGCAATAAATATCAAATTAACTAAAGTATAGCTTACTATCCTAATGAACCTATGTAGCTATAATCTAGTAGGGTCTTTGAACTATTAAGAGCAGGCACATGATCATAAGTAAACCAAACATTGAGATAATTTCATCTTTGAACTTAGGCTTTCTCGATGACAATGCATCATGTATCAAGTCTTTTATCATTGGTTGTGATTAGTGATTACCATGCAACAGGTAACGACTGCCTGAACTTTTGAAGAGACAAACTTAGATATAGTATGGGCTATTACAATAAAACATCCATCCCCATGTTAAAGGAAGCGATTAAGTGATCCAGAACTCTTGCCAGTGACGCAGCAATTACTGGAATGCCATACAAACCTTTAGAAGGCCTACATACGGGAAAGATGATATGCTGCAATGATAAAACAGGTGCCAATAAAGGAACCAGCAAAGTGACATCAAACCTGCCATCGGGTAAAAGCGAAAAAACCATGTAAGACATGACAAGGAAAATAAAAAAGCACAGAAAAAATTATCATAAAATTTGATAGGAGGAATTGTAAATACCATAAACGAAGGGGCAAAATTAAAGCCCGTAACATAAGTGTAGCATCTGAACAAGCAATGACAACAAAACAGACAGATATCCTGAAAGATACACAAAATTGAAGGTTATTTTCAGATTTTTTATTTTTTTTTATTAGTTTCAGAGTATAACAAAAGCAGTATAAAAAAAGAAAATAGGCATCTCCTTTGACCTGGAACCAGCGCATTTGACAAGAAAAGCAGTGACTGCAAGATATCTCCAGTCATCCTCATGTATCATTCCCATTTCAGATAACAGTGATCCAGGTCTAGCATCAATTTTTGTACTAGAAAAATTTTCAGCAACCCCAACCACTTTCTCCGCATTATTTTCTGGATATTTGTGAGTAATTGAATATTTGGCTGGCATATCAGTGGAAAGCCACTGGAACATCATTGACGAGGACAAACTTGACAAAAATTGATTATCAAATCCTTTTGAATTATGCTGATGATCAGTTAGGAAGTCATTTTTATTGTCCGGCCTCCTATTTTTTAGTAGCCAAGAAGTTATTACTCGCTTTGCACCCACTGATATTAGTAAGGTTGGATTCTCTTTGTCATCAACAACAGCATTAAGTTCACTCCTCCCATCAGGTACATCAGCTGTATACGATGAAATGGTGTGTAGTTTTGCCACACAACAAATTGATCTTACAGCTGATCCTCCAACATGCTCACCAAGCAATTTTGACATAGACCAATTTTCAATACCTGGAGAGTACCTAAATCAAACAGAGAAATTACGTGTTAATAAAGTACTCACGCAAGTTCGACAGACAGCAGACAATAACTGGTCTTACCAAGTCAACCTCACAGTTCCATCTTCACATCCAGTTGCAATCCAACTTGATTTAGAAAATAAGGTATGGTTATAACTATCTCCAAGAAGCATATCTTCAGAGATAAAGCACAAGGAATGTATCTCTCTCCCATGGAATTGCATGTGCAAACTCTGAGGGTATATCTTCCCTTCTCTATCATGAATCCAGTGTCTATGTATATGTATCATTTCATCCTGTAATAATTGGCATTATTTGTTTGGGCTATTCCAAAAAGTAAGTTTGATAACAAAAATCAATCAGCGAGGACAAAATAGGCTTAGTTTCTAAAAAAGTGGATATGGATAAAGCTTAAAAAATGCTAAAATTAGAGTTGAAATTTAGTGCTGAAATTGTAGCACTTATTTTAGCTTATTTTAGTGACGAATAATAAGAATTTAACCACTCAAATACAAGAAACTAATGCACCTATTTATACAATTAATTGGGTAAAGCACTAGTACAACTAGTACAACTAGTACAAGCCCAAGCCTACTAATAACCCTAATATCTTCTGACACTCCCCCTCAAGCTTAACACTCAAGTTAAAACTTGTTATAAAAAGAAAAACCACAAACAAAAGAAGAAGAAGAAGAACCTCAGACCAAAACACAGAAATTCAGCAACGTACTCCCCCTAAATCACCAATTATTAGCAACGTCCTTGGCATATAGCTCCTAGCTTCTCCTTGGCACAGATCCTAATCAAATGATAAGTTTTTAGAGTCTTCGACCTTTCTCCTCAGTGGCCCTCAATCTCCAAATTTACATCCAAAACACTGAGTTGAGTATCATACCATCTATAATGACCTCTGATCAGGTCTCCAAAACAATGAGTGAGAACCACACCACACGGTAAAAAAAACTGGGGTCCATTACTAGTGTCTAAAGTCTTCAATCCACAAACCCTTGGCAGGAAAATAAAGAAACCTAGAACAATAATCTCCACACAAACCACGCAAAATTACTTGCACAACATCAAACACAACCAAACACAGGCAGACAAAAACTAGAACATCATGGCCACTGACCAAGTGCTGCCAAACAATATTGATGGGAACTCCTCATATCTTTCCACTCTGGTTGCAGCCAAATGTGGCACCAACAGCCACCCAACAACTAATAGCTTTATTGTTCCTCCTCAAATAGAATTTTAAAGAACCAATTCAACCAAAAAGCTTAAGCTAATGGGTGATGCTACAGCCTACATTAATGGTTTATATTATTTTCTAACATACCCCCTCACACAAGAGCCCACTGGGCTGAAGGATTGCACCGGCCCATCTACCTGTGCTAAGAACTCCACGAGACTTAATTATTTATTAATTAAATGGGAGGCGGTGAGGATCGAACCCATAACAATGAGTCTCTGATACTATGTAAAGAACCAATTCAACCCAAAAACTTAAGCTGATAGGTGAGGCTACATTAATGATTTATATTATTCTCTAACAAGAATGATCACGTATCAGCAAGCCAACAGAAACATACTATGAACAACTTCTGAAAAACCACAAACAAAAAGAAAAAGCCACCAAATCGGCCTGAAAAGCAGCATAGCTTGAACATCTTACCTAACAAGCTTATGAGATAGTTGGTTCATGACACGTTCCTTTCAAATCCCCGCAGATATGGTGGGGAAAATTTTGAAATCTAAAGACTAAGCACGAATCAAGAAGGCAATCAGATTCAACTGACTTCTTATTTAACTTTATCCAGCCCATCCTCTTTGCTATGCTCAACCAATGAACAAGATGAGGCCCTAAAGCCATGAAAATACTATTGTAACAATAAAGATTTTCTAACAAGAGTATAACTTCTTTGAGATTGAGCAGTAAGGTCTAATGAGCAGGTGTCATGTAATTTAGGATAGACAAAGCTTAAAGAAATGCAAATTGCTTAAAAAAATTTCTCAATAGTCAAGAGTTAAAAGCAGAAAGCAAACCTTGACAAAGGCAAAACAGTTCTTCATCTCGGGCACATCACCTAGATAATAGGAATGAGGACGCCTCCATCCACCACATGGAATTTTCACTACCTGCCAATACCATATGCACTTAATCAACACAGCTATAGCAGGTGAATGGTATGCAGCAACAGATAAATTAATGAATATATTGATCAAGCAGAGTAAATAACAAAAGTAGTCAATGTACCTTATTCTCATTAACTAGGTTCCATACTATGAAATCTACTGATGCAAAACCAGCTGCATAGCTGCTTGACAAAGTATCAACAAAGTTGTTATCCACAGAAACATATTCAATCAAAGTCAACTCTTTCACTTGTTTCATCCCCATAAATTGCAAATCCTGCATTTCTCTATCATATTCCAGATAGCATATACAACCATCAGCTCCAGTCTGAACATGAATAAAAGTCAACAATTAGAATCAACGTAGAGCACATATGCATCTTTAATTGTGGGTTTGAACATTAACAGTGCTCTTGATGTTTTCAATTGGAAAATTGTTAAATCTAATTGAATCTGAAATATATTGTATATTCAAGTGTGTAAGTCTGTACAAGGAGGCTCTCTATTTATAGAGACTAAAAGACCTAACGGAATGACCTAATGGGCCAAGCCCACATCTAGACTATTCTAATAATAATAATAAATTAATATTATTTCTAACACTCCCCCTCAAGCTGGTGCGTATATATCAAAAGCTCCCAGCTTGTTACAAATATGATCTATTCGAGGACCTCTAAGAGCTTTAGTGAATACATCCGCAAGTTGATCATTGGAATTGACAAATGTTGTCTCGATCTCCCTTGACTGGATCTTTTCTCTAACAAAATGACAGTCAATTTCTATATGCTTGGTTCTCTCATGAAAGACTGGGTTAGAGGATATATGCAAAGCGGCTTGGTTGTCACAAATGAGCTTCATAGGCCTTTGTTCACAGAGATGGAGTTCCTTCAGCAATTGACTCAGCCAGATGAGCTCACAGGTTGCATTTGCCATTGCCCGATATTCTGTCTCCGCACTGGATCTGGCGACCACAGTTTGCTTCTTACTCTTCCAAGAGATCAAATTTCCTCCGAAGAGAACACAATACCCTGAGGTGGATCGTCTATCTGAAGGAAAACCTGCCCAGTCAGCATCTGAATAACTAGAGATCTCTGAACTCCCTTTATTTGTATATAATAAACCTCTTCCTGGCGCCTTTTTAATATATCGGAGAATTCTAATAACTGCATCCCAATGGGAGTCACAGGGAGAATCAAGAAATTGACTTGCAACACTCACTGCGAAGGAGATATCTGGTTTTCCAACTAATCGGCGGTAGCGACTAGGATCTGGCAGTGGCTCCCCCTGTCCTGGTAATAACTTAACATTGGGGTCCATAGGTGTATCAATGGGTTTACAGCCTAACATGCCAGTCTCATCTAGGATATCCAGTGCATACTTCCTCTGACAGATGGAAATACCCCGCCTAGACTGTGCAACTTCGATCCCCAAGAAATATCGAAGTCTGCCAAGATCTTTGGTCTGAAATTGATTGAATAAATGCTCTTTCAACTGATCAATCCCGGTCTGATCACTGCCTGTAATGATAATGTCATCAACATAGACTAGGAGATAAACACACTGGCCAGAAGAGCTATGCCGGTAAAAGACAAAATGATCGGCTTTGCTTCTGATTAAGCCAAAGGATTCAACAATTGAACTAAAGCGGCTAAACCAGGCCCGAGGAGATTGCTTCAGGCCATATAAAGATTTCCGAAGTTTACATATCATTCCAGAACTCTCCCCCTGAGCAACAAAACCTGGTGGTTGCTCCATATAAACTTCCTCCTGCAAGTCACCATGTAGAAAAGCATTCTTAATATCAAGTTGGAGAAGGGGCCAGTGATGAATGGCGGCAAGGGCAAGAAACAGGCGAACAGAAGCCATCTTAGCAACAGGAGAAAATGTATCCCCATAATCAAGACCAAAGATCTGTGTGTATCCCTTGGCCACTAAGCGAGCTTTAAGGCGATCAACAGTGCCATCAGGACCAACTTTAACTGTGAACACCCATCGACAACCAACAACAGACTTCCCGGGAGGAGCACGAACAAGATCCCAAGTGCCATTGGAGTGAAGTGCCTGCATTTTATCAAGCATCGCCTGGCGCCACCCTGGATGAGATAGTGTTTCACCTGTGGTTTTAGGGATGGAAACAGAAGAGAGACTAGAAACAAAAGTAAAATGTTGTGAAGAAAGTCTGTCATAACTCAAGAAAGAATAAAGGGGATGAGGATTTCGAGTGGATCGAATACCTTTCCGAAGGGCAATGGGAGGAGTCTCTGATGGAGGATCCGGAGGAGAAGAGCCGACGGGAAAGGGCGATGAGTCATCAAGAGACAAAGTCGAAGGAGGTGCAGGCTGACGACGCTGGTATGTGAGGAGAGGACGATCTGCAGGTATGGAGGTAATTGGTTGCTCCTCTGGAATAGGGTCACCTGCAGCTGGTAAAGACAAGTCAAGAAAAGGAACAGGGAGGACCTGATCAACTTGGGACACTGGAGACGGAGTAGAGTGAAAAGGCTGCTGATCAAGGAAAGTGACATCAGCAGAAACGATATAACGCTTGAGATCAGGAGAATAGCAACGATACCCTTTTTGAAAACGTGTATACCCAAGGAAAATACACTTGAAGGCCTTGGATGTCAACTTGTCTTTACCTGGAGTAAGATCATGAACAAAACAAGTACAGCCAAAAATATGTAAAGGCAGAGGATAAGAAGGTGCTCCGGAAAACAAAATACTGTGGGGAACATCATTATTTAGCATAGAAGAGGGCATGCGGTTGATAAGGAAACATGAGGTGATAATAGCATCTGCCCAAAAACGGAGTGGGACGTTCATATGAATGAGAAGGGTACGTGCAGTTTCAACTAGATGTCTATTTTTACGTTCAGCGACTCCATTTTGTTGTGGAGTGTGAGGACAGGTAGTCTGGTGTATCGTCCCTTGTGTATCCAGAAATTTAGAAAATTCAAGAGACACATACTCTTTTGCATTATCACTGCACAAGATTTGAATAGAAGCACCAAATTGAGTTTTTATTTCTGCACAAAACTTTTGATAAATTGAAAATAACTCAGAACGATTTTTCATTAAATAAACCCAAGTGCAACGGGAGAAATCATCAATAAAGGTGACAAAATACTGAAAACCAAAAACAGACGTTGTTCAACTCGGACCCCAAATATCAGAATGAACAATAGAAAAAGGAGCATCAGCTCTTTTATTGACTCTATTAGCAAAGGAGGAGCGAGTGTGTTTTCCTTGCTGACAAGAATGACAGTTTAAAGACTTAAGATTGGATAAAAAGGGAACCATATGCTGAAGCTTGGAGAGGTTTGGATGACCCAGACGGCTGTGAATTAGCTCAGGAGACTCTGTGAGAGAACAAGCTACTGGAGAAGGTGGTGCAATCAGATAGTAGAGACCTCGTGACTCAACGACTGCTCCAATCGTCTTCCCCGTACCCGAATCCTGCATAGAAAAGGATTGTTTAGAGAAGGTAATAGTACATGAAAGAGAATGAATCAACTGGCTAACAGAGATTAAATTAAAAGGAATGCCAGGTATATAATAAACTGAACTCAAAGTTAAAAGAGGAGTTGGTTTGGCTTCCCCAATTCCACGAGCAGGAGCCTTAGTGCCATCAGCAAGAGTGACACGGGGTAGGTTATTAGAATAAGAAAGTGAAGTGAAGAGATCTTTATTACCACAAATATGATGAGTAGCACCTGAGTCTATTATCCAGGGTCCAAGAGATGATTGATAAAAACAAGCAACATGATTACCAGTGTCTTGAGTAGGATGCTGAGAAGAAACCTTCTTGAGAAGTGCCTCATAGTCGGCACTTGAAAGAGTTACTAATCCAGTTGAAGGTGGCGTAACATCAGTTTGAGCAAAGTTGGCAGTCGGTGGCTTCAAATGAGGGTACTTCCTATAGCAGCGTTCTTCAAAATGCCCAAGATTCTGGCAATAATTGCAACGAGGCCTTTGTCTGCGACCGCGTCCACTGTTCCAATTGGAATCACGGGCCCGAGAAAAGAATGGAGATGGGGTAGTACCGGAGATGATGCCAGTCGTGTTTTTGGACGCATTATTTGAGCCCTCCATCACAAAATAAAAGGAGATGACCAGAAAATAGAAAAGAACTACAAGAAAGCAAGAAATCGCGCAAAAACGTTGCACAAAAGTGTCCAAACAGCGGGTTTTTCACTGATATCTTTCAAACGGATGGGACCCACAACGAACGGAGACCAGATCTGGAAAGAGGGTGAGGAGGCGAGCAAGATGGTGGTGGTCCGGCCTGGAACGGTGGCTCACGCGCCGGAACAGTGGTTCGGCCGCCGGAGACTTCCACCGGCGCATGGCGACGCGTGGATGCTCCGATCAACACGCGGCTTGGACATACAGGGTCGCCTCCCTGAGCCGCTCCTGATCGCGTGGTGGTTGGTCGGAAAAGTCGCCGGAAAAGCAGTCTGACGGCGATGAACAGTGGCGGACGGTGGTTTTCTGGCGGTTTCCGGCGATGAACGAAGGCTGACGATCTTTTTCCTGATGATACGAGGTTGAGGACAAAAAATTTGTGACTAAATAAGGGTTAGGTGTGAAAGGATGGTTGCCGGTATGATGCACAGCAGTAAAAAGAAAGGAAAAGATATATATGCGGAAGCAGAGCCCTCAGATCGAGAGCTCTGATACCAAATTGAATCTGAAATATATTGTATATTCAAGTGTGTAAGTTTGTACAAGGAGGCTCTCTATTTATAGAGACTAAAAGACCTAACGGAATGACCTAATGGGCCAAGCCCACAATCTAGACTATTCTAGACTATTCTAATAATAATAAATAAATTAATATTATTTCTAACAAATCTATATCACTATAATTGGAAGGATGAATAGTTAAACATACTGAGCATATCTCAATCTGATTGTAACCAAGTTTAGTCACAGACACACTGGACACACTTGAAATTCCGTGAACTCCTTTGAAATGATTTACTGGAGGTATCTTCACTACTTGAGTAACCGATGTGCCCAGCACCAGACTCTTTAGCAAAGGGAACAGAACCATATTACCACGTAGATCTCCACAAGCTAGGACCTGCAAATAAATTGATATCCAGATTACAAATGAGGTACCACTTTTAAATTTTAAGCCAGTTATATTTGAATGATAACATCTTAAAAGTCAAAATGAAAAGTATCCCGTATCTCTGTTCCTCATAATTAGTTATTGAACAATGTCATATCAAGGTCCACCTCTACATAAAAGCCAGCTTTTGTTGCTATTTTAATTGCAGCAGGAAATTCTATCAAGTATCTTATAGCCCACCACATAACAATAAGCAATACTGCACCCGTCAAAACTCCAACAACTCACCCGAAAAAGAATAGAAAGTTAAAAGGCAGAAAATGGAAAGATGAATACCTCTTCCTCCATGCATCCATCCAAACACATTATCCGCATTCCATAACTTGATATGAATTCTGCTATACGTGACACGCTGTTACTCCTCATGGAGTTCTGAAGATTAGATTGTGAAGGGTCAGTCAATCTCCAGAGTTTCAATGTACCTCTAGGATCAGCTGTAAAGACATACCTACACAATTTTGTATCACACAAGAATGATAATATTTTATTAATTTGAAACAAAGCAAAAGAAATAAGAATAAAACAAGGAATAATTTAACAGAGTGAATGGGGTAAACTATAGAAGAGTGTAACGAACTAGGATGACCCATTTGATTGTGCTACATGATATGTACGGTAAGAAAAAACAATGGGATGATTTTGCTCAGTTAGTATAATCTTATGGTCTGTCAACCAGAGAAAAATGATGTTGCTAAATTAGTAGTAAGTGTATTTCTTTTCCCTGATTACAGTTTCATAATGATGTAGACTATGGAGTACATGGGTTACACTCATTTTAATAGCAAGGCCAGGACACTTGGTGAGTAAAGAACGATAGGTTTACACCTCATCAACTAGAATCGTGTATCTATGCAAGGTTTAAGCTCAAAGTATCTCGTCAATAATTTAGACGCTTATTGAAAGATAAGGTAAGATCATTCATTACCTACATCCGAGAGATTTGCACCAATAGGTACCTAAAAGTTGTCTCTCCATTTCAGCTGGCCAGGTAAAGCTTAATCTCACTGTAGGAGTACAATCATCGTTAGTAACTCCAATAACCGTCATATTTCCTTTACCATCTCCAATAGCAATCCAATCCTCAGCACCACAGTCAAGTTCAAATGAGTCCTTAGACAATAGATCCATACAGATAATTGGTGCCCCACTGCTGACCTGGCAAAGTTGATTCCACAGAGCACCTCCAGTGTCACATAATTTAGCATGGTAGAGATAACCATGATTGGTAGCAACATAAAGAGAATCCTGACAGGAAAAATGCAAACAACGAACGTATTCACTCTTGCTGCAACAAATAAGGAGGGAAAAAGGCCAGTCAACATGAAAATGGTAAATACAACTCAATATAATGGCATCCCAAAATCAGTTCAAAATTTTGTCATGTTAGTGGGCATCCCACGTGAGCTTATCACATTTAATAATCCTACCTGTCCATGAGTCCAATATGCTCCAATACATTAGGGACGCAAATGGAAAACAACTCTCTCCTGCCAGGAGACCCTTGTACTGCTGCCAGGCCCGTGGTCAGAGAAGTATGAGGCCGATGCACTTTAATAGCAGAGTCAAACCCAGCAGTTATAAGAAGTGACGAATTTGGATCGTACAAGCATCTCCATATACCCCTTCCTCTGTACATAGCAAAGAACACATTTCATTAATACTCTAATTCCTCTGACTAGTGAGATTGTGAGAATCTGAAAGAGATGAAAATAAGAACCGATCTGCTGTCACAAAACCTAACAGAGAAAACAACTTAAGTAGCACTAAGGTTATGACTATTGTGAAGCAGTAGCATGCTAGAATTGCAAGGTATAAGGCAAATTGGAAACTTCATGGTTTACATCTTTCTTGTATTAGACCATATCACTCATCCAATCATTTTTACTTTTGGATTGGACAGAAATGATACATTTATTTCTAGGAAAATCCAACATTCAGGTTATGAAATTCCATGGTTCATTTAAACCTCATACACATATCTACCAACCAAAAGAAGGCAATTTTCAACATTAAAGTGCAGCAAGGACTATAACAAGTAATATTTTTTTAGTCAAGTCTTAAAGAGTAAACATAAGATCAACAACTTTTATTGCAAGTCTACGGAATTCAAGAAAACATATTTCCAATGGCTATTTCCTGTAGATACTCAGTTCACAGAATGTGAAAAGTCAAGACAATCAATTATCTTCAATGCTTATTTTATTAGAACCACAGAAATTCACAACTCAGCATTTTGTAATTAAATTCTAAATAATCAAGAATTCAGGTTTATAACTAACATGTGCTCCTTAATGACTTGCAGCTGCTCACCATCAACTCCCCATATACGACATGTACAATCCTCACTGGCCGTGACAACCAACTGAAGAAATCCATGATTAGAAAATGGGAAGTTTCAATTCCACAAGTCAATATAAATGAAAATATAAGTGTAAAAATAAACACAGTATGAGTACAATGTTAATATTGTCAAATACATTAAAAACAGTGTTGGCCGTGGCTAATTATAAATTGGTCACACATAATCATGCCTAATTTTAAATACTAAGAAAAAAAATTAGTTCTTGAAAGAAGACAACTTAACCATATTATGAAGGATGACTTTATCACTTACAAAAGATTTATTAATATTAATGAAACAGTTATGAGAAAAATAAAAATAAATTGTGTAATATAGATGATCAAAATTGGTTCAACTAGTGCAACATAACATATTATTACTGGTAATATCTATAAGACGAGTTAAAAAAAAAATCAATAATGCCAATAAAAAATCACTAATTAGTCACAAAAGGTCACAGAAATGACAACTGAAGTAGCAAAATGATACTGAGAGTTTAAGCTAACAGATCATATTACTCTACATTTCAACTTTTATGTCGTTAGTGGTCAATGATAACTAAAGGAGCAGGTTACAAGCAATCCAATGCAAGAGAAGTGGCTAAGTCACTTATCATGATAAAAGCAGTACCAATAAGAGAGACAGTTAGCAGTAAAAATCTGAAATCTTGAGAATAAGATCTGTCTATGGAGACCCTTTTAGCTCAAAGGTGAATAGACCCAATATGGTTTTTTTCTATCTAAATAAATTACATCAAAACAGAATAATGTGATTTATTTGTGAGTAGCGATCATTCAAATGGGAAAAGTTCAAAAAACAATAATTGGTACAGACTGGAAAAATATATGAAATGACACTAAATAATAATTCTTCCTGTTGAGATATATAAAATCATTAATGTAGCCTCACCCAACAGCTTAAGCTTTTGGGTTGGGTTGAATTGGTTCTTTACATGGTATCAGAGTCTCGGTGTACTGGGTTCGATCCTCACCGCCCCCCACTTTCTTTCTAGTGGAATTTCTTTCTTCGCACAGGTAGATGGACCTGTGCATTGTCCACCCTTCAAGCCAGTGGGCTCTCGTGTGAGGGGGCGTGTTGAGATATATAAAACCATTAATATAGCCTCACCCAACAGCTTAAACTTTTGGGTTGAATTGGTTCTTTACACTTCCTTTTCGTTGGGGGTGGAGGAGTACAAGTGTGCAACACGATATAATGAATAAAAATTTGGGAAGTTAAATGATATTAGGAAACATAATACTTTTTTAAGATGAAGTTTTTCATGAACATGAAATGAAGGCTATAGTATTTTTTTGTGGGTTTCATTTGGTAAAAGATCCTTTTTAACTTGAGAAAAAGCAAGAACTGAATAGCACAGAATGGCTTACATAATCAGAAATACAGCAGTCCCAAACTCGAGCATTATGTCCGAATAAGACAACGGCAATGGGATCATGGCACATTGAACCTTCCCTTTCAATAGAAAGAGCCCAGACACGTGCACTGCATTAGAAAAAGAAGAGACCAATCATGACATGTGTCATTATTCCTCTAAGAAATCTGCAATAATGAACATAACTCAGTGGTACAATAGGATTTGAAAACTAACTCACCTACGATCATCAGAGACAGATACCAGTTTAGATCCACAAGACGACCATGCTATTCGGAAGATTGAACCTTCATGTCCAATAAGTTTACATACATGAACAGCCCCATACAGTTTATCTTTTAGCTGGCAGCAATTGGAGGATGAAATGCTCCGATGATCATGGTCTTCTTGACATCTTGAAGATTTATCATGTTGAGGGGCCACTTTCCAAACAATAATCTGTCCAAACCAAAATCTTTAAAGTATTGAAAAGAAAATAGAAATGTGAACACATTAAACAACAGATCATAAGGAACTTCTAACAAGGATACTGGAAAGTATATTATGTACAATACTTATATGAAGAAAACCAAAGATAATATTTAAGTAAAATGTAAAGAGATACAACATAGAAATTAGATACTTCTTGCACGAAGATAAATAAAAATAACTGATGTAATTATGTAGTCTCACAATATGCCTGTAGTCCAGCAATTATGTTATATTTCACCAAGATGATAATTGGGATTATCAAATAACTTGAACTGTTTGAGCGTTTCTGTAGTGAGATTTTTGGTACTAGTCTATGCAAATCAAACAGAGGATTGTTTCAACACCAAAGGTTTTTATTTGATCATTGCTATGGAAGCTTTTCCAGTCACATGCCAAATGCATCTGCAGAAGCTGAATTTAGAGTTACAAATGTGAAAGCAGATGGCAGATAAATCCGTTATTACGTCTCTGGACTCAATATCAAACCAAATAACAGTGAAAATGCTACCAGGGATGGGGACAAGGAAGGCGTGTACATCATCGATGGTTCAAGCAGTGATCTTGGTTGACCGCTTATGATACATACCTAATCTTCAGCATTTGAGACTATATAAAAAGGAAATGTCCGTACATTTCCAAAAGCAGATTGATTGCCATCAAGAGTATGATCTATAAATTTATTACCTATTTTATTCCTCTCTTCCATATATCACCTTTGCTAGCATTAAGACCAGGGAGCATTCAGAGTCTTTTTCTAGGGGAAAGAAAGGATGAGGGAAGGAATTCCATTTGGTGAATTAAGAAGAGATACATAAGCTGTGTTAGAATATCTTAGGTGATATCATGTATACATTGCAGAATCAATTAGGATTATGTATATCCGCGATAGAATCATTGTAATAAACACCCACACTAGTAAATATAGAGATCATGTGTGGATAGTTACAGACACACAATTTCATCCAATCTAGATTACTCTATCAGAAGGTGAGACTCTATTTTGCAAATAATCAAAGAGAGACTAGCAGGATGGAAGCAGAATGTTTTAACACAAAACCAACACTATATCTGTGACTAGTCTGGCATTTTCGACCGCGATTATGAATATAAAATATCAGTAGATCCCTTACCTCGTTATATATAGTACCGGATGCAATTCTGAGAACTTCAAGATTGTGACCCCATAATCGCATTGAGTAGAGAAGGCACCGTACTATGATGCAATGATAAATACTACCTCGTTAGAAAAAATAGTCAATAAAGAACCAATGCACGTAGTGAAGTTGAAACTAACCTGGAGATTGAACCTTGAGAACAGTAGTAGAGTTGGCGATGTCCCATATGTGAACTGAATTGTCGCTACATCCAACTGCAAGAAAACGGCTCTCCATATTGGAATGAGGCAAGCAACCCTACTACCAAGTCCACAAGCCCCCAAAAAACAGAGGAAGACAAGTTAGAACAGAAGAAGCATTCATTATTCGGAAATTGAAATATGGTGAGTACTCACCTCGAGGAAGCAAACATCCAAAACCCAGTGTCCAAACTTTGGCAACAAATGAATCAGTGTCAATTCAGGGCTCCCAGAAACGTTATCAAAGGAGAAGGTAAATAGCTTGACTCTTGTTTCCCCAAACACACAAATCACAGTTACAGAGGAAGCGGCCTCCTGTGGGAAGCTAGAAGTAATTCCGTGCACGCGAATCCCTTCGAATACAGAGAAGGATCTAACAATCTTTACGAGTTCTAAGTTGTAAAGCAGAATTTCCGAACCCAAACCTGTTCGTTAAGTTGAATGAAATGATGAAGCATTAAGGAGGGTGAAACAAAAGAACTATATGTGAAAAGAGATGGGAGCAAAACAATACCAGCGAGCAGGAAAGGAAGAGAATGGTTGGGAAGATGAAGAAAACAGAGAGCTGAAATGTCTCCGAGGTAGGGGCCACGATGCACACGCCATTCACTGAAGCGTTGCTTCTTGTCCACCGCCACTGCGCTATTCGCTGAATCCATTTGCCTCGTTTCGTGTTTCCACTTCAATGACACATGAAAAGTAGGGTTTAAGTATGAACCAATTGAATTGTAGGGTTTATGAGCTCCTACATTATTTCATTACAATTGTTCTTTTCTTTTCTTTTTTTATTACATCCAACGTCAGCGCACAAAGCTGTAAAGAGCTTTACATTAAGAGTTGAGTTCGAACTCCAAACCACTTGTTTAAGGGATGAGATGCTGAACTATCACGTCCACCCACGTGGTTAGTACAATTGTTCTAACTTCTGCATCTAGGCAAAGGAAAACAGAGAACCAGGCCCAACAATACTGGGACCCAACCAATGCAAAAAATCATGCGTACCATTTCTAAATTTCACAATTTTTATTTAGGAAAATTCTAACCAAGTGAATAAATTATCATAAGGAAAAAGAAAAAAATATTAAAATAGATAGTTAAAAATAATTACCATTAATTCATTCTTATATAATTAAAATTCTCCCATATGATTTAAATGACACATGGAGAAGATCCGCTCTCAAATTTTCTTCTCTTCTGCCCCTATATTCTGTAATGCACTTCAGCTTTGTCCGACAGTGGAATTCGTAATGGTAACCCAAACACTTTCTTGTCTTATTTCTCCCATATCGTAAAAATTTAATTTTAATACATCATCCAATCTTAAATTAATATCTCTTTTTTAATACATTTGACCGTTAACAATTATATAAATTACATAATATGATAATAGCGTAAATATGAATTTTAATATGAATGATACAATAAAATTAAACTCTAAAAAATTATTTTAATAAAAAGTAAATGTAAAACTTAGATACTATAATTATTTTTTAATTTAAATATCATATAAAAGCAAATCCAAGTATAAATTTATTAAACTATATTATGACCAAAAAAAAAAAAAAATGCGCCCACGAATGGTCTAATGACTACCATTATGGATAAATTATGTTAATCCATCTATTTATTTTCTCTCTTTATTACTGAAGATTTACGTAAGCATATCCGGACACCCAAAAACAACCGACATGGATTATAATGTCTAGACTCTAGTGTAGTAGCAGAAGGGAATACAATTGCTACAAATGGACGAGACTGCAAATTGCCAGGAAAGAAACAGCGCCACTTGCATACAAAGCAAACATTTAACATGGCACCACCCTTTCATATTAACACCTGATCAAAATATACCTTAAACCAAACAAAATGAGCCCTTTCAAGTAACGGGCACTTGGTCTTCAACCCGACAACAAAATTCATATCCCAGCTTTCTATTCTTGAAATCTAACTCAAATTGGACAATGGACACCGAAATCATCACTCCCTAAGCTAAAATCGAGTTCTTTCTGTTTATTCAACTATAGTATCAAATTCTTTCTGTTCAACTATGGTTTTCGCGGCCAGCCATTTCAAAGCCCAGGGAAGCTGAATTAGGAAAAGAGTTTATGACCTCCCCCACTTCGCCAAACACCTCGCACAGGCAGCCCTTCTCCAGAATCCTTGTTACCTTCTAAACTGTCTGTTGTTCCAGGATCTGATTCGGTGCGTGAATTTTCAAAATCTAGAAGGGCCGAAACAGAACCATCACCTAGGCGCACTCTGATGAACTTGGAGGTTTTCTTGCGTTGCTTGCTGCCACCACCATCCTCTCTACTTTGATTAGATAAACTTCCATTTGATGTCTCTGTCTGCCTGCTAAGCTTCATCATAGGTTGAGTACCGGAGTTTGTTTCAAACTGCCGCTCGATGTTTAATTTGCCTTTGTCAGTGCGGTAATCACCCCTCGATAGCACCTCCAACTTCTCTTCTGGAGGTTTATAACTTGACTGGAGTTGATGTACTTTGCTTAAAAAGCTATCTGCTAATCTCTCTGTGGAGTCACTCCCACTACCACTTACAGACTTACCTTTACCTTTCTTGTTGACATTACTGTCTTTGCGATCGGTGCTAGTGCTACTCCGAACCCAATCATTCTCTTTTAAACTATTTCTTTTCAAACTAGCATTGTAAGACTCAACAAGCTCTTTCTGCTTCCGAGGGTCCGGGCATAGTCTTGCTAACTCAAGTACAATATGAGACAAGCCAAACTGCTGCACATAGTCAAGATATGTATCTGTATCTATTGTGCCTTGGCGATATTGAGCAGATATGTCTTTAAATAAAGAATACCTTTCTTCATCAAAATCAAGAGCACCACGAATCTTCTCAACCAAGGACTTGTTAGCAGACTGGACATTCTCCACATTCAACAAAGACTGGCTGCTCGTAGGTAACCTACTCACTTGTGCAGCAGAAACTGGAGGGAAATCAGCAATTGAAACTTCAACATGGTTGTTCACAGTGAGATTTGGAGCAGATGTAGAGTGAACGATTCTATCATTGTCCCGTGTGTCCCTCAAGGAACCAGCAGGTAATTGTCCATGAGTGGTTCTATGTGTAGCCTGAATAGAACTAGCATAAGTTGACTGCGAAAGCCCACCACTAATTACCGTCTTCATCTGACCAGAATTTCGAGACACTCCAAGAGCAATATTTGTGGATGGTTTAGATTGTGAAGGATTACTTGATGATTGAAGCAGTCCACGACCAGCTGCTGGCCAGGCATTACCAGAATTAATAACAGATACATTTTTTTTGCCATGCCGGCGCAAACGTGCTGCCATAGTGTTACTAGATGAACCTTCCAACTCATGTTTGGACCTTTGCTGGCCATTGCTGGAAGTTATGGGCAGCGGAGGAAAGGAAGAATCTTCCAGAGGTGCACTATTAGAGCTATGCCCTAAGGCTTGAAGGTATCTTGAAGATGATTCAGAACCTGCTGTAGCTAACGATTCAAATGGCTGAATGATAGAATCAATATCAGCATTCTCATCATCAAAAGCAACTTGTCCACTACTTGATGTCAACGGATCATGAAATGTTTGCTCTGCATTAGCTGTCTCCAAACTGGCTTCAATGGCCATAGAAAGCTGATTTTCAGAAAAATCACGACGAAAAGTACGACTTCTTCCACGGCGCTGGTCCTGTTCATTACCATGTCTGTATCGAAAGCTAGTTGGTATCTGTAAGGAAAGAACGAAAGCTACTGTAACATCTGTAAGGGAGTGAGAAGGATATGGGAAGATAATTTGTCAATGTCTAACAATTCCAATAGAACTCAGAAACAAGTTCAAAAACAAAAGGTTGTCACTGTACATACCTGAAGAGCAGCATTACGCTTTGACCGTGACATTCGCCCTCCATGTTCGGTAGCATTATGCCTCTAAGCCATATATACAAGGAAAAAGAGGTTCAACAATGATGGAATAACCACACAACAGTAGCAAGTCCAATAATTTTACAGTAAAAAGATAAAAATAGTCAGCATCCAAATACATAGGCATGGGAATCATCAAGCCGGTGCATGTATTGCACAAGACACATCCCAAATTAGGGCAAATCCCGGTGCACAAGGCACCCCACCCCGACTTTGCGAGGGTAGAGCTGAGAGTCGTTTGTACACAACCTTATCCTTGTATTTTTGCAAAGGGATTGTTTCCAAAATTCAAACAAGCAACCTTCCAGTCACAAAAGACCATCGTTACTGTTGCTCCAAGACTCACCCACACATCCCAAATTGATCATTAAATAAAGAAACAGGAAAAGATCCATTACTATAAGGAATCAATCACCTTCATCTCTGCTTCAGATTGAAAAACAATAAATTTCTTGGCAAGGCAAGCCTCATCTTCACATAAGAAGTGCTCTTGACGGAAATGGATCTACAACAGAAGACATTTGTTCATGCAATAGTTTCAGTTCAAACAACAGGACAAGATCTAGCAAAGCAATTAAGAGAGTAAAAGAAAAGCATAATGCAGATATCTTGCCTCGAGATCATCATAATTCTTATAGTATTCATATTGTCCCGGATGCTGCCTGCACTAACAAGTACAAAAATCGTGAACCAAACATTTCTAGCAGTTTAGACCAATAGAGCACATGATTAGCTTAGTCATAACCTTTGGCATATATGACAAGTATAATGTTCTGTAGACATATGCGTGTATAGTTCATTGTCCCCATAAAATGGGGTTCTGCAGAATTCACACATGGGATGCCCCATAAAACCACCTCTCTCACTCTCAGTTCCATCTACCTCAGAATCACCTGTGCTTATGTGTTGATTCAGCTGTGCTCTAGTATATAGTTTTTGCTCACATATAAATACCTACGTCATAGAAATGGTGGTTAAAAGACTCAGTATCAATCAAAAAAGAAAAATAAATATAAACAATTATGACATCTAAAAAATTCACACAGGATGCCAATAATAAAAATTTCACCTTCCTTCCCTCCAAACACAAACTGCACATTTGCAACTTATGACGGTGGAATAAGTGACCCTTCAGCTGTCCAATATTCCTAAACCTCGCTCGTCGCCTTGAAGCATCATGTGGTTGCTCCTCCATCTTGTCACACACAGTGCATGAAAGCCTGCACATAGCCTTGATCATCTTGTAATGGTCCACATCATCGAAAAATGCATTTGTATCCTCGTGGTACCAGTATGATCCAACCTTGCCCTCCCTTACCTCAAGGGGCAGGGCCGAAAAGTCATTAATCATCCTTGTATAATCTCCTAGAGCCTGGGAGTATGAAGCAAAATTGAATATCGACATCATTGAAAGATAGCAAAATCAAAACATTATAAAAATAAAAAATCGAGCCATAATGTCAAGGTTTTAAGCAAAAAAAGACAAGCTTAAAGGCTACAATTTTGAAACAAAACACAGTAAAACGAGTAAAAAAACATAGTACCACACGCTAAGACAATAATGACTTTCCTAGTCAAGTAAGTTTACAAGTCATGAATGGAGTAGTTCAGTTGTTTAGAAACAACATGATGTGAATAATTTCAAGGAAAAACATGTTATTCGGAATGCATTACTAACAAATAACAAAAAATAAAAAAAAGCAATGAAAATATTTGAGTTAAAATAACATACTTAATTCAATAACTCAATAACAAAATTCCATAAAACAAGCATGCCATGTTTAAACTTCTCATCAAATGTTCACAAATTACGAGAAAGACAGGCAAAAAAATTGCACAAAGACAATGGAAGTGAGAATGATCTTAGCAGTGCAAAATTCACAATGTGCCTAAAATTAGGTACACATTCCATGCTTGCATAGCTCAGGATAGCTGCAAACTACAGTTAAGAGGCATGGACTGTGAACAGCTTTTTTCTGCATGTATAATTGATACAATACACAAGTCACAGAGGAATACAACCATACATGTGTGAAGGTGGCACAGTGAAAATTCAAACTCATTCAATCCAGAGCTCGAAAAGTAGCAAAGACTAGTCATATAGGGCAACAGATATAAAATAATTCAATGATACGAGAAATAAGAAAAACATTAAACAAAATATTTTAGGGTGGGACGAAAAAAGAATTGGGCAATTTGGCATACCTTGGTAACGAATATGAGGTTGCATTCGGTCTTGCAGATGCAGCAACGGCGATCGTCGAATATGAAACGGAGGCGTGCAACGCACGTGGAGCACACCTCGCGGTGCAAACAGGGTCCGTAAGCAACCCATTCCAAGGGCTCAGCGCAAACAGCACAACAATCGTCCATGTTCTCTCCTCTTCAAATTACGCGGAACCCTGATCCTAATGCCCAGATCACAAACACAGAGGTTAGGTTATTGCAATAAGGATATAGAGAGAGAGGGGGAGAAAATTCGATTGCGTTTCTAGGGTTTGAAACGATCGGTCTTAATCTTGAATTAAATATTCAACTTATAGTTTGTGAGACGCTTGGGGCCGAAGAAATTAAACCGGAGGTTGAAAATATTTAATGACAGATTTTGGATGAATGAAAAATGTGAAGACATGTGCGATTTAGAATTGTAGATAGAGTTGAAGACCGCAGCCCTGGGCCACCCCTCACCGATCCAAATTCCCAATCTATTTTTTAATTATTAAAAAACAATTGTGAGTATATTTTGCTGCAATGAAAGATAAGTTAAAAATAATATTACTACTTTTTAGGAATAAGAAAATAAGAAATTAAACCATTCGCAAATAATTTTTTTTTTTTCACTTTAAACAGATATTATGATAAAAGATAGGCAACGGGCTTATTTGAAATCTTGAAAAAAAAACATATTGGACTAAAATGTAATTAAAAACGTAGGTTGCATTGGAACTACTCAGATATTAAAAGAAAGGGATAAATAACAATAATGTTACAGGAAAAAGATTCCTGTAATACAACACCAGCGACAAAAAAAAATTTATTGAAAAGAGCGTTTCTTCCAATTTTTTATTATTATTTAACTTGTTGTTTTTTTGTTGGAGAAACGAAATTTGTTACTGCCACCTGACAAAACCAAAGCGCTAAAAGGAAATGTAAGAGACACGGTAAGATCTTAGAAACAACTCCACGTATCCAATTGTAATGTTGGGGCTCTAATATTTTTAGAGTGAATTATTTTTATTCACTCTTAAAATAATATTATTTTGTATTAAAAATCAAAAAATTATAATGATAATAATTATTATAATTATGAAATAAATTAAAAGAAAAAAATATTTCTCATTTTAAGTGACATAAAGTTATGTCATTTTAAGAGAGATAGAAATAAAATAATTTTTTATTTAAAATTTAAATTAAAAAAAACCACTCATTTTCTCTCTCTCATGATTTCTATTTTTGTGTTTATCTCTTTTTTAAGATTACATAACTTATGTCATTTAAAATGACAAACACCAAACTCAAATTAAAATTGTAAAAACATTTTGATTTTTCAGTCCAAAATAACATTATTTTGAACTCATCTACTTGTATTAACTACAAAAAAACAAACCCAATATTATTATAACTATTCGGAGGGGAAAATCAATGTATAGCTAAAGTGTTGGTAATTGTATTTACCGAATTGATGGAAGAGATAGGTGGCAATGGAGATTTCAGTACTTCATGCAAGGTCCGATGAAAATACTAACAAAGGCTGCGTGAGTATTTTGGGGATGGTGGGTGCACTAAAGGGGTGTTTAGTATAAGAGAAAAAAAATTTATTAGTAAAATAAAATTATTAAGAATATGGTGGGAAAGTGAGTTAGATAGGAAAGTGAAAAAGAAAGTTGTTTGTTGAGCAAAACTTTATCGAAAAAATTTGGTTAAATATATTAAGTTTATGTTTGGTTGAAGATAAAATATTGATGGAAAAATAGGTTGAAATTACAAAATAACCCTTACATTATTTCAATGAGAACAACTGTTGCATAAATAAAATAATGGTTAGGATGTGGTTGGTTATCAGTTGTGCCAACCTCAATATTCCTCTAAACTTTCATATCTCTGTTTGTCTCTAATTTGAAAGGGTAAAGCAGATATTGTGTTCTCAAAAAAAAATTCATAACATAAAAAGTAAAACAACCATTGCATCAGATTGTGAAACTTGGAATGAATGCTAAGATTGAGTTACCTCACCTCACACCATAACCATCGAAATAGATGCTTCAGTGATGTTGTCGCCGTTTAATATGATATTTTTATTTCAAAGATGTACTTTGGGTTTTGGTAGTTAAGGGTTAGTATGAGATGATGGTAGTCAGAAGAAGGGGTAATATGGTCACATTTGTCCTTCACCTTTTCTCATTTAGACAGTTTTATCCAAATACCACATTATAAGTGGTAACGTTCAACGGTGATTTCCTTACATTTTTGCATGCGCTTGTGAAAGGCTAGGGAAGTGAGTTTGCTAGCTAAAATATTATTTCTCTTCTACCAAACAAAGGAAACATGGATCTATGTTGCACTGACACCGACACGGGACACGGGATACGACACGACACGACACTCTGATACGTTAATTCTAAAAAATATTAAATTTCGACATGTTAAGACACGTTTTGATATTACATAAATTTTTTAATTTATGTAATGTATATTATATTTAGTATTCAATCATTTAACAAAAAAAATAAAATTAAACTTATAATACTCATTGCAAAGAAACATAATATATCTCAAATGCTTATATTAAACTCAATAAAATAATAATCGTAAATCTAATGGTTGGAATTCAAAATGCAATGCAACGTAACCTTTAAACCATTTTTGAGTCTTTACAACAAGTATTGGAGTGTCGGGAAGTGTCGGAGTGTCAGTGAGTGTCGGAAAGTGTCGGACACAACACGTCAGGATTTTTGAAGTGTCGGTGCTTCATAGACGTGGATTGCCAAAGTCAGATAGATAGGGGTCTACACAAAAAACTTGAACCAAACACAACCTAAGATATAAGAATGCATTAGTATGCAATGCGAGTGATCTGGTCCATCAGCGGTACTGTTATATACAGCCCCCATAGATAGATATAGTGGGAAAGAGTGGTCGTATGTGCTGGATTGGGGGCTAGGATAGTGGAGACATACCCACATTTTGGGTTAGATGAGCTCACGTCTTGGTCGGTTGGGTCTCCCTTGGTGGTAAGCCGCAGTCGACATTAAAAGCATTTAAGCACGTTAGATGGCCTCCAATGTAATTTCCGGAATAATAACCCTTACTTGAATTAGGAACAGTGACCAAAATGTCACTGTTCACCAACTTTTTTACCTAAATGCCACGCGAACAGTATTATTTCCCAATCTGTCACGGGGGCAAGTTCGCTACATCGGGTAGCAAACTCGTTTTGCTGATGTGTCACATTTTTAGTGGACACTAAGTTCGCATACGGGGTAGCGAACTTCGTATCTTTTTTTTTTTTTTACTTGGTACTTGTTAACCACTAGAAATGTGAAACGTCAGCAAACCGAGTTCGCTACCTGCTGTAGCGAATTTGCCCCCGTGGCAGATTGAGAAATAACACTGTTCGCGTGGCATTTAGGTAAAAAAGTTGGTGAAAAGTGACATTTTGGTCAGTGTTCCCTTGAATTAAGAAAAATGAAAGAGCGAGTGTTGCAAGGAGGCAAAACGGGCTGAACTTGACGGATTAACCCACAATTCATTTAAACCAGTGCCATATAATAGTGGGTCAAAATGGGTTCAATCCGTCACCGTTGGGTCAAAAAAGAAATTTCACTGTTATGTAGTATTTTATTTGTCAATAAACTTTTGTGATATCCAAAAAAATTTATCTTAACACTCCCCTAGAAAAAATAAAGAAGAAAAACTTTATTTATAACAAAAGATATCTATATATGGAGGCAAAAATAAGTTGCTAAAGAATGTCTGACCGAATATTAGCATACATTTAAGCTTAAGATTGAAAAAAACTAGGGGAGTGTGAAATAAAATTAAATAATATTATAAATTCACAAAATATAATTTATTTTTAAATTTTAATTACTTTTTATTTTTTAAACGAGTTGATCCACGAATCACCATAAAATAGGACGATTTGATATTTTCAATCCATATTGAAGAGGCAAACCAACCCGTCCAGTTTCGTTTTTGACGGGTCAAGACGATCCGACCTAGAGTCACTATGAATTATAAGAATAAGTTAAATTTTTAAGGAAAAGGTGAAATGTATGATTATGGCACACGAAAAGATCTTGATCATACAAGAAGAGAGAAAAAATATTGCAATGAAAAGTTATAAAATTACCACGGTTAGTTGATTCTTGTATAATAAAATCCTCTCACATAATATAATCATATTAAATAAGATATGAGAGGTCCATTTACAAAAAAATAACCCGTTTACCTCTACTCTTTATTTATAAGAAAATATACTTTTTCAATTAAAAATACAATTAAATTTTGTTATAAAATATTTTTATAATTTTAAAAAAATAACTTCAAAAAAATTATAATCTTTTAGGAGTTCATCAAAACGCGCTTTAAGTTAAAATTAGAGCCAGAGTGGCAGAGTCATTTGGTAAAGAAAAAACAGAGTGCAACCAAATACGAAAAATCGAAATACAAAACAAAACATCGAGGGGCATTTTGGTAAACAAGAAAAGGGGGAAATTCATCAGGGAAAATAATAGCGGCCTTGCGGTGGGAAATATTTTATATGGTCCAGAACTACTGAATCTTTTGGTGCTCCTTCTCACAACATTAATTTTTTTTTTTTTTTTATCTTTATTATTTTTTCTCTTTTTCAATTTTACCTTTCTATTTACACTAAGGGAGATCACCTAAAAATGGTGGTTCCAATTCATATTAAATAATCTCCTTGCGGTGTGAACCTGAAGAAATTACGAAACAACACGGAGGGGTTATTTGGTAATTTGAAAAAAAAAACCCAATTCTCGTGGCACCGTCTCTATTTTATTTTTGCTTGAACCCTATCATTCTATGAAATCCACATAGAGAGAGAGAGAGAGAGATGCAGATCTTCGTGAAAACCCTAACAGGTAAGACGATAACCTTAGAGGTAGAATCGTCTGATACAGTCGATAATGTGAAGGCGAAGATACAAGACAAGGAAGGCATCCCTCCCGATCAACAGCGCCTCATATTCGCCGGCAAGCAGCTGGAAGATGGCCGCACCCTTGCCGACTACAACATCCAGAAGGAGTCCACCCTCCACCTGGTCCTCCGCCTCCGCGGCGGTGGCAAGAAGCGCAAGAAGAAAAAGAAGACTTACACGGAGCCGAAGAAGACCAATTACAAGAGGAAGAGGCCCAAGTGTGCCCTGCTCCAGCTCTACAAGGTCGATGAATCAGGCAAGCTTCAGAAGCTGAGGAAGGAGTGCCCTAATCCTGAGTGTCCACCGGGTACCTTCATGGCCAATCACTCTGACAGGCACTACTGTGGCAAGTGTGGCCTCTCCTATCTTTATCAGACAGCCGTCCCTGACTCTAACCCTACTGCGTCGTCTTGATTTGAGACTTTCTTTCTATAGTCTGATTTCAAATTGTGTTTGACATGCCTTCAGTAGATGAATTTTAATTTCGTATTATACAATATAACTCTTTGTAATTTTGCATATTATTTAACGGTTGTTTGATATTTCTGTTAACCATTTGGTTTTTAAAGGATGAATTGATGATTATACTGTAGGAAACAACATCAATTTCTTGTGTATGATTGTGAATTTCACTTCTCTTGATTTTAAATTGCTATTAACCTTAGTGATATCTCACTACTTGTGAGTTGTGAGTGATTCAGTACTTTATAAATCTAATTGAAAAGAGAAATGATTAAAACAAGTATCTTGTTCTGTCAAAGGAGTAACTGAAAGAAATCTTCCTAACGTACAAATCAGTAAAAAAATTCATGCTGAACTAAGCATCGTTCCTGAGATATGAAATTGAGCATCTTTCTTGATGTGTGAGACCATATATCCGGAACAAACACGCCCTCGTTTTCCCCTATTTCCAATTACAACCAAACTAGTATGGCCTCAAAAATGCTCGAGGGAAGAGTCTGGGGAAAATCTTATTTTTCGCTAGCACTATCAGGGAATACATGCCATAGCAAGGGATGTGAATTACCGCCAAGCAGAAATACCTGCATGATTGATTAATTGGTGAAATCAGTTTTATTATGCGTGAAAATATAGGTCGATTTAGGACAAGACTTAAACAATTGTTTAGTACATCACTCACCAGAGAGGAGCCCACTTCGTATTAAGCTCGAGAAATGGATATGGCCACCTGTTAAGGGAAGAACATATCCTTACAACGGACGTAAAAGAAAACTCTTGGCTGGAATTGGAAAAGAGAGGAAAATATAATTATATTACCATTCCAAACCACAGGCGTGGATGATCCATTGAAAAATGACATAACCACAGCTCCAGAGCACAAAATAGGAGATTCTAAACCAAGGAAACGGCTGAAAAAAGAAAGAAAAAGAAGGCAATACCGAAACCGTAAGCTGTACAAGTGCCTCAAGGCTAAAATGCTTTTAAATCAGTGCTTGCACTAAGGGTGTATGATACTTACAAGATTATTAAGAGCTGTATCCAAAAGAAGGAATACTGCATTCAATATATGCATGCAGCCCATCAACTGCCAAGTGCAGACCACTAAAAATCAATGACTCTATCATTCTTACAAAGATCAATTATCATATAATGAATAGTATGGACAAAATTATCAAGGTTTTTGATTTCGACAAGGAACATGAGTGGGATTGTAATCTGCAACGACTGGATAAAATCATTATGTGACTTATTATTCAGTCAATCTAGAGTATGAGGAGTTAGTAAATGATCTTCAGCAGCACTGCAGCAGGTAACTCTACTGCCTTTATTACACAAGCACAGCGAGCGAAAGGGAAAATATGGACTAGGAACAATAACTGTCAGTTTATGGAAGGGTTACACTCACCGGGTTTAGTCTCAAACGAGCAATTGATAAGAATGGGACTATAACACACCAAAATACAATGTCTGTTAGGATGGCAGCCCCTGCAGATGTCTGTTAAATGCATCATATCAATTCAACCTGAATATTGTTGACAAATTAGAACAAATAAAAAAGAATGAGAAAATGAAAAGGAAATAAGAAATTCTTCGGACTAACTTCTCTTGAATGGTTATAGACTGCATCAAGTGGCTTCATGCTTGCCTTAGGCTTAAAGCTATTATCCTACATTCTTACTTTGAACTTGAACTTAATCACAATCACTATTTCTCTGTGTAATGATGTCGATCAATAAAAGACACTCTTTGGGAATATCTCATCTTCTTCTAAAACATGCATGACAATTACTAGAAATTAGAAAAAAAGCATCACACTCAAATTTAATGTGATTTGGCCTAACATGCCTACATCAACAAAAGAGAAGAGCCTATGTCAAAACAAGACTATAGGATAATATCTACGGGCACTCTTAACCTCCTCTATCTCACAATTCCTTCCCATTATCCCCACATTTCTACCAAACCTCTCAATCTACCCCTTCTAATACTTCAAACGATTCCGTATTATATCCCATCAGAACTTGCTTCACAAGTAACTAGTAGTTTTACAATGTTTATGACTTTTCTAGTTCCTATTAAAAACATATTTCATATCTCTTGCATATTTCACACATATCTTGATATTAACTGCAGGGTATGAATTTTCAAATTAACTAACAAACTATCAAAAAAAACATTTAAAATGAAAATTTGGATTAAACCCAACAAACACATTCCCTGATACATTTAAGCCTAAAAGGAAACATAAGGCAATAATCATCTAGCTTACCAAGTTAACACATGAAAACAGCCCATCACCAAGTAGCAAATTTCCGGAGAAAACATAAAGTCGAATGTACTTGACCAACCTGATATGTAGTTTGCATGACATAACCCCAGAACCCAGTTCTTTGTTGAAACTCGTCTTCAACATATCGGCTTTGCAACGTGCTGGAACCAATGGTTTCTTTCTCTTGATAGGCTATAGAGTTTATAGACATTGTCCTTCCCCCATTGTCAACGGGAGGTTTCTTAAAGAACTGCCAGCATCCATATGCAGATACTATGGTCCCCAACTGCATTCAAAGTTTCGAACAAGTCATGAGTGCAAACTAGATGCTCATTAAAAAAAAAAACAACAACTTTTTTATATGCATTCTACTGACTCCTAATTTCCTATTGAATCTTAGATCAATGAGTTTCAAACAGATGGGGATTGTCGTTCATGTCATACCGCAAAATATATGGTAACCAATGTGAAAGTCCACCTGCAAATGAATGCAATACAATTCAATGGTCTTTATAGTATAATAATAATAATAATATGGTAAAAGCATTAAAATTTATTCTTATTTTATAGCATTAAAATTAAGATTTCTAGTGTGGGAGTGTGGAAAGTAAAACTTTAATTAGATTGGAAAGATTGAAAGAGAAGAGGATACATACTCTGTGTAGTACATAAAGATGCTTGCATCGTATTTAAGAATATCCCAGACTAAGATGAGGAGCATGATCACAAAGGAAAGAAAACGCGAAGCAAGGAGGTAGAAAGGGTTCAATCCTCGCCAACAACTGGTCCATAACTGAGAGGTGCTGACGTGGCCTCTGGGCAACACATTCACGGTTACTTCATTGTCTGGTCGGGTCAACAGAAGGCTCACGTACATGTTGTCGAAATCTCTTTGGGATGCCCTTTCGTTCATCCCCAGCACAAATAAGGCACCTATAAAGGCCGCGCCAACTATTCCAAAACACACAAAATCATACCATGCTACCTCTAATCCCATGATTTTTGCCACTTACTTGATTATTCACAATACACCTCTTGTCTCTGTTTTCCCGGTGAACTAACTAGCAATGCAATAATACAAGGTAGGAAGCGAGGTTAGGTTTTGGAACTTGCCAGTTAATTAATCACAAAGAATGACTCGTGGGGGTGTGTTCTGAATTTTTATAGGGGAATGGTAGTTTAAGTTTGACTTGCAGGTTTGATTCCTTTCAGGTTCAACTTTTTGGGTGTTGATTGTTGAATTCGAGGGTGGATGCAATGGAGAAAAAGAGTTTTAAAATTGTGAAATATAAAATATAATAGAAAATAAAAAAATAGTTTGATATTATGGAAAAAAAAAATTATTATAATGTTAGTTGAACACTGTCACGGTCACGGAGGTGTGCACTTATATTATATCTGATTACAATATTAGAAAAAAAATTGTAATTCCAAAAATATCCCGATTTGTTCCCTGTTTCCCCTGTGGACTTGACTGATATTAAGATATGGGGATCCTATTGCTTGTAACTTGGGCTTAAGCATGTTGGATATGTGATTTTGGGCTCATTAAATTGTTGTGCTTTGTTGTTGGTCTTCTAACAATGTATTTGGATGCATTCTTATTATATTATGACTAACTTTTTAGGGTGAACTCTTAACTGGTGTAAAAGAAAATGTGGGGCTTTGGAACTTGCCAGTTAATTAACCACTAAGCATACCTCGTAGGAACTGGCTGTTTAATTATGACCGGCTGGTTTGGGGGTCCTTTTCAGCTTCAACTTTGACAAATGATTACCACTACCAGTATTGAGAACCTTGTGTGATGAATTCCAACTCTGGGTGGTGGAATTTGGTAGAGACAAAGTTACGTGGATGTAAGAGGAAAAAAGAGATTTCGAATTGTAAAATATAATAAAAAATAATAAAGTGAGAACACTGTTACGGAGGTGTGCGCTTAGTCATACTATCAGATTACAATATCACAAAAAATTGTAATTCCAAAAATATCCAGATTTAATCCTGATTTGTTGAATATGTGATTTTGGGCTCATTTAGTTGTTATGCTTTTTTGTACTCCTTTTGCTATTGGTCGCAGCATTGCGAAACATCAGAACTGCTTTGTCTTTTTTTTTTGGTAAATAAGTGGTTTGTCTTCTTGCTATGGTTTTATTTAAAATAGTTTATCGAAACCAATTAAACCGGTAATAAGTCCATATCGCAATTGGATTTTGTGATACTGGGGAGGAGATTCTGATTTTATGTAAAACAAAGTGGTTGTTATCCCAATCATGCCAAGATAAAGCTTCTTACATATTATAAGTGCGTATATCTATTCATGCTTGAAGTATATGTCAAAATTAGAATACAAGCGCGCAATATTAATAATGATTCGATGATCAAAGTATATAAGTATACATGTTTGTAACATTATTCGGGGTTAGTGCCTTAGGGTAGTTATGTCAATGCAAGAAATATGTGGTTATATATAAATCGTCTGCCACTGCGCGGCTTCATATCCTACCTTTCTCTTTTTATCAGTCTGTTGACTTCAATATTATTCTATACTATCACCAATTATGTGAATTAATTAGTAGAGATTATTCAACTTCCATCAGTGGTCTAGTAGAAATTATTTAACTTAATTAGTAATGTCGAGTTTAAGTATAACAATTTATATTCTAAAGTATAGATTGGCACCCTTTAGTCCTCTCTACTCCTCTCTTGGTGATCAATAAATCAAAAAATAAAATAAAATTGTTTCACAGCTGTGATTTACTTTTTTCATATAAAACAGAGACACCAGAGGGTCTTTAGCTAATCGCAATGTTAATAGTAAACGTCATTTCAACCCAAAATTTTAATAGTCATTTCATCTCTGATATCATGATAAGCGTTAGTTTAATTCAAAATTTTAAGATTGAGACTCAATTATATTAATTATTTTGTATCTTTTGTATTTCTGTAACGGCTAATGTTCTTTAACAGCTAATGTTCATGAATCATGTACGATCGATTTCTCACTAAAAATCACCACTACTTCAACACCATGTATTGCAGTAATGGCCCTTACTAATTGTAGCATATATTATTGTGGTATATTCGTGTTTTTCTTCTAACAATGTATTTGGATGCATTCTTATTATATTATGATGAACTTTTTAGGTTGAACTCTAACTGGTGTGAAAGAAGATGTGTACCTACAATTATCATTTATTAAACGTTCACGTGTTTCCTCCTCCAGTTGTGGGGTTGACAAACGACAAAGGATTAATTAGATTATACACAAAGTCTTCCCCCGCAACTTCAGTGGTATTGAATAATTTTCATCATGTGCCTGTGACGCAAGCATGAAGTCTTGTTCCTTGTCCACCACTCCGGACATTTAACCAGTTAAGTTTAACAGTATAATTAAGTCAATAAATAGATAGATAAACACCATGCCTCTGGTAACTAATTTCAACTATGCTCATAACACACATCACTTTTATATTTGACACAAGTGACAATATAAAAAAATAAATATATTTTAATTTTGATGAGAGCATGAAAAACTGTGTAAACATTAACAAATGTGAGCGCTCGTAAGTGATATGTATCTTATAACATTATTTATCTTATTTGTATTGTATGTCATGGAAACATAACTTTTCTAACGCATCATGCACAACTATATAAACCTGAAAAGCCTGGCAGGGGTGAATGAACTGTGAACAGGACAAGGAATCAAGGATTAAGAGTGAATAATATATCCCATTTGTCTTCCCTGCAGTCTGACCGTTTTTTGTTCCCGATGGTCTTGCAATTAATTAATAAGACGGGAACCATATGCCCATGTTTTTCTTCTGGTGTGCGTGCCGCACAATGTACTTGAGAACTGAGATAGCTGCCAAGCAAATTGAATCCTCAAAATTTAAATAGCGGGCTTTTTAGCATAACAAAACAACGTGAAAAAGGAAATATTTTACGCATTAATTCACTTTCTAAATATTTTATCAAAATAATATTGTGAGTTATTCAAAATTCACTTGTCATGTGCCTCTTGCTGTGAGACGTACACATGATGAGACGTGCGCATTTAAGTCATACATAAGTGATAAGCAACTTGCAGGTGACATATAACAAACGTATACTCATTTTATAGGAAATTTTTTCAATGAGAGTAGCAAACTTGATATTCTTTTTTTCTAAATAGGAATTTTCTTTTTCCATTTTAACCATACTTTTGTTTATGTTTCTCTTTTAAGTCCCAATTTTTTTTTTTTCCTTTTAGCATGCATGTAGATACTACACTAATACCTAGTGGCGGAGCCACTTGATCGTTAAATGATGGATTTTCAAAAATATTACATATTTTCTTAAAAATTATTGTATATCCTTGATATTAATTAGGTTTTTAAAAGTGATACAATATTGACACTAGCTGAATTTTGTTAATTGAATCTTTTGACACTAGCTGGATCGCCACCTCTGACACCCCCAAAAGTTCTCCACTTTGAGACAATTCATGCATCATCCATGCGTATCTTCAATACTTACACTCTGTTATATTATTTCGACTTGAACTTTGAACAAATGGGGTAAAATATTTCCCTTTTCACCTTAAGGGTTAAAGGACCTGTAAATAGGCATCAATCCAGTAGAGTGGTCCTTTAGTGGCAGACAATTTCGCGGCGAATGACATTTTTCTATATTATATTAGTTAGAATTACGATAACACTTTTTGTTCCTAATTAGCGTTTGAAGTTAATTAGAGGCCGTGTAACTCGGTTTTCAATATACGCAGTCAAGTTGAAGCTTTGTCTAGTCGATAAAATGGCAAAATTACTATTCTGGTTTCAGTGTTGTTCTTTAGACCACCTTTACAGTCAAGATCAGAAAATGAACTTTGATTTTTGATGTGGCACATTATATATGTAATTAACAATAGAATTATAAATAAAACTTTAAAAACAAGAGATATGAGGGGACAAGAGGGGGACAAATTAAATAGCGAGGGGGAAGGGGAAGAGTAAAACAGTTTGTAGCTAAGAACCTGAAACCCAAGAAAGGGAAAGTGTAGAAAACAAATAAGCTTTTGAATCACGAACAGACAAGGTTGATGAATTTATGATTCGGAAAATACATAGAAAGGAGAGAGACAAGTAGAGTGGAAATGGATAGTTTCAGTATCAATGTTTGATGCAAGCATGACATAAAGTTCTCAACTTCAAGGAGAAGGGAGAAGGAAATGTCAATCGGGCATTTAACTATTTTGTCTTACATGTAAACATGTGTGGTGTCAGAATAACTATGATTAACCACCGAGAAGCCACCATCAACCACCAAGTTGTGACCACTAATGTAAATAGCTTCATCAGAAGCAAGATACAAAGCAGCTTCAGCTATATGCCTAGCCTTCAACACAATACCCTTGAGATTTGCCTGGGAACAGCTATTAGCTTCAACTTCATTAGGTTCAAGATTGAAAGCTCTACATGCAAGAGGTGTGGCAACACCAAAAGGGGATATACTATTAACTCTGATTCCATAAGCTCCAAGCTCACTACATGCTGATCTTACCAGTCCCAGAAGAGCATGTTTTGATGTGGTATAACCATGAGGACCCGTTCCACCAATGGAAGCCGCAACGCTTGTGGTGCATATGATGGATCCACGGATTCTTTTATCAACCATGGCACGTGCAGCGTGTTTAATTGTAGCAGCTGCACCACGAACATTTGTAGCCATGGTGTTCTCAAATTCATTCAGATCAAGCTCAAGTATGCCAGACAAAGACCCTATTATTCCAGCATTACTGAACAGGATATCAATGTGACCATGTTTTTCCAAAACGAATTTGATTGTTTCTTCAACCTGATTTTCATCTCTCACATCACAATGGTGGTAAGTAACTCTATCTGAGCCTATTGAAGCTGCAACTTGACGACCCAGTTCATCTTGAAGATCTGCTGCAACAACAAATGCTCCATTTTCAGCAAACAATTTCACTGTCTCTTCCCCAATACCACTAGCTGCCCCTGTGATAAGAGCCACCTTACCTTCTAACCTGTAAGCTCATCATATCAAGAAAAAAGTCAACTAATCAATAATATTGACCACAGAAGTTTAAATCAGAATGAAGAAACTAACTATAAAACTATGATGTTACAGAAAAGCAAAGTGCAGAGATTGAGTCTCGGACAGATCTAAATAGAACCTTTGCTTCGGCATTGAAACTTTGACAGTGAGTGAGTTCTTTGATTGATGAGCTCTCCCCAAAACCTGGAAATAAAGCTCTTGGATTTGACCTTTATATTTCCTGAGTATCCCCTAATAATAATCACCTATATTTATAAGGTTTGTATAGTGCAAATTAAGCTCCAGAAATATTAGACGGCTATCTAATTCCTGCAATATTCATACTAATTATCATTAAGAATTAACAGCTTTTGTCTTCTTAATCTTATATTTGGATAATAATATCCTTAATAAGATATTCATTACTTATTATTGTAACTGTTCAAACTAATTGAGACTAATCGTCTTTCATTGCTTTCTTTTTTCGGTATAATGCATTTCCTAAGTATCCATAATCAAATATGAACTGTGCATGAAGAAATTCGATTATGCATTCATTATTTAGGTGAATTCCACGTTTCCAACTAGGTGTATAGCATATAAAATTCATTACACTCTGTTTCCAATCACATGGCCTTCATCATGCTTTTAATGTACAGTTGAAAGGTCAAGCATTCCAACTCGTATAAACTACACAATATAATTTTTTATTTTTTTTTATGCAATCATACAGTTGTGTAATTTAATTCTTTTCCAGATGTTTAGTACTTTATTATATAATTCCATGTTTATAAAAAAAAATTCCTTTTTCCCAAATAAACGAGGGTTAGATTATATATATACTGACTTTATATGCACGAAATATTAATCATATAATCAATTATTTATTTTTACAATTTATATTTATATATCAGTAATCAATAATTTTTTTTAAATATGGTGAATTGTGAAGAACAAATAAATATTCAATTTATTCGTTAAAGATCACTTTTGTGATTGAGATACGTGCGTATAAAATACGAATGCGTTACCGGGGAGTAATTCCACCTGTGTAAACACTAAGCTCCAAGGTAACAAATTCTTTCTATAATTAATCGCGTTTAAAAAAATTATCGAATTATTTTTTTGGATATATAAAAAAATTATCGAATTATGAAACTAAGATACGCACACATTATTTATGTTAATGAATGTGGAGGGGCCAATGAAGAATATCATATTAGGATTTGCTTTGTATGCGAAACACCCCACCCTAAAGAAATATATAAACCATCGGATTCGTGATATCTTTTTGTATTAGCTTAAATTAATTATGAATAATGTGACACACACACACATATATATATATTACTTAATTACAATTAATTTTATTAAAACTTTATCATATTAATACATGTAAGAAGAATTTTATATTTAGTACTACTTATTTATTTAAAATAATGCTTAATTACTCATGTATATGATACTAATTTAATTACTGTTATATATGTAAAGACTATTTTTTTCATTCTTTTTTTTATAGCTGATAGATTTAAATGAAAGTTTATTATTAATGAAAATTTATCATTATCTTACTTTAATTTTAAAAAACAAAAGTTATCATTATCATTATTTTTTAAACATAAACAGAAGTAATATTTTAAAAAATAAAAATTATCCACGGGAGACAATTCTGTTCAGGGTGGGTCCGCGATTAAGACTTTAAATCCCTCTTAAAGATAATATCATTTCTGTTTTTTAATTAAAACAGAAATGATATTATCAAAAAAATCCATAACAAAAGTTAATTGGACTTCTAAAAATGAAAAAAGTGAAAGAAACAAAATGATGACAAATGTTAGTTCATCTTTTATTTACATAATTTCATATAGAGAATTGTGAATTATTAATTTTGATGAAGAAAAATAAAGAGAAAAAAAAGGTTTTGATCACAATTATATGAGTTATATGAGGAAATCAGGTAAAATTAACAAAGCCCAAAAGAAATTAAATAATTGAAATGGAAATTATGTAAAGTATGTGCCAGAAAAGTCTCTAAAAATAACATAGGTCTTCCATGAAAACGTAAATTAAAAAAATTAATCTTTAAAAAAATGTGTTTGTCGGTTTTCTAAAAGCTAAAACAATTGTTAATTAAATAATTTTGAAAATAAATGTTAAAGTATAATTTTTCAAAATATTGTTAGCTTAATTTTTGTTTTAAATTATAAATAGTTCGAGCTTAATTTTAAAGGAAAACTATTTGTGCTTTAAAATGATGTAAGTTGTGTCATTTTAGTTTTTTTACTCTATGTACTTCGGTAGTATATAGTTATAACATGAAAAGTTACTTTTTTTCTCTCTCCTCAGTCACATCACCTAATGTGGAAAGTAAAAAAAAAAATTTAATTTTTCATGTTATAATTATGTACTTCTGAGTACATAGAATAAAAAACTAAAAAAACACAGCTTACATTATTTAAAAGGACACACACTAAGCTTACACAAAAAAAAGGACACACGTAAACCCAATTTTAAATAATAGCTTAACTATTTTTAGCTTTAAAGAAATTTAGCTTTTAAATATCTTTTATATTAATTCACTTAATCAAAGTAATAATATGTCAAACAAAAACATTAACAAGTCTTTTAAAGTTTTTGCAGAGGAATAAAGTAAAAATAAAGTAATAATATGTCAAACAAAAACATTAACAAGTCTTTTAAAGTTTTTGCAGAGGAATAAAAAATAGTTTTTAAATAAAAATAGAATATTATTATATGTCATGTGTTTGAAATTGTCCAATTTTGACACATGACATTTTTGTTCTGACATGGCATATTTCGCTATACTGTGTAGCGAATCATTTGCACACATATTTCGCTACACAGTGCAGCGAAATATGCTACGTGATATTTTGAAAAAATTTACTATTGGTGTCGCAGTCTGGTAATTTTTCTTGCCAACAGTGGCAAAATGATCACTGTTCCCATTAGTTTATCGTGCGCTCTTTGGCCCAAAGGGGTCAACAACACTTAGGGGATATTTGGTAGAGGATAAATTTGTTTTAACAGGAAAATATATTAATAGAAATATAGTGGGAAATGAAGTTTGGTAGAAAAATTAAAAAAAAAGTTGTTTGGTTGGCCAAAATTTTATCGAAAAAATTGGATAGAATTTTATAAATCTATGTTTGGTTGAAGATAAAATATTGATGTGAAAATGGGATAAAATTACCAAATTAACCTGTTTATGATTTTTGAATGTCAATATATCTCTCCTCCAACGTTCATATTCTTTAGTTGGGGTATTTTGGTCTCCATCGTGATGTCCCCCTTGCCATTTACCCATGCAATTACAAAAACCACCATTGAAGTTGTCATTCTAAACAGTGAAATATTCCTCATTTTACACACGCTCTTCAAATGCTAGGGAAATAAGTTAGATGAGGAAATTTTTGAAAAACCTTCACCAAACATAGATATCCAAGAATCCCAAAACCAGATGCATGGGGTAATAAAAATATAACCTCAACCAAACACCCCCTTAGGGGGCGTTTGGTTCAGGAATCTTTTTTGGAATAGTAGGGAAATGAGATAGATAGAGAAATGATTGGAAAGATAGATAAAGTGAGATAGGTAGAAAAATGTAAAAAAAAGTTGTTTGGTGGGGAAAAACTTTACTGGGAAAATTATGTAACTTTATGAAATCAACAGTGCATTAAAAGCCAAATAACCGGTTTTCCGAAAAATCTCACCTTCAAATTGGGTTTCTAAACAGTGCGGATATCTATGTTTCTCATAAATCCAGACAAATTGGATAGATGGGTTTTTGGTGAAAAACGTTGAAAAAAACATGGTGTTTCTAAAAGCCATACTTGAGAAAGATAGATATCCGCTGGAAAGCTCCCAACCAAACACCACCTTAATGTACCAATTTGATATTAGATTGACTTATTTTAACAATGAGATCTTCAAGTTTCATGGGGTCCGACAGGTTTAAGTCTTACACCCTCTCCTCTACAAAACTCGTTTTTTTTTTCCTTCTTATTTAGATGAGTCGTCGCGACCTCTCTAGCGAACTTATATGGGTGTGTCAAGTGACACAATCTCGTTATCGTAGGTAGTCTCATTAACGTAAAATTCCATAAGGTCATAACTTGCGACTCAGGTATTCAAATTAGATATTTTTTATTTCACTTAACCTTTTGAGATCTATGTAATAACACCACATTTAATATATTTTATCTCTCACAAATATAATTAAAATTTGTAATAATGGTACCATAATTACAAGAGCATTTAAATCCAGAATATTAAACACTATTCATTAACCAACAAAAGCACCCTTCTAAGATTATTGGGCAAAAGAATTGCCCAATTAAAGCTAATTGTATAAATTTTTTCAAACTAATGCAGTCAAGTCTCGTCAATGATCCTAACAGGACTCATGTCATGTCAGCGCTATATAGGCATAACTTTTAACTCGGGTATCCAAATCATTTTTTTTATTTCATATAACTTTTCAAGATTTACATAATTACACTTCATTTGACATATTTTATCTTCTACAAACATAGTTCAAATTTGCAATAATGGTTCCTCTATTATAAGAGTGTTTAGCCTCTGAGCCCATGATTTTTTCAGCAAAAACATTAGTACTTTAGGGCTTTCCATAAGGAGAAATGTTGTTATCCATTGTTGTCTGTGCACGTTGACAGAGAGGAAACCATTATCATTATTTGTTATTGTTGGATAGTTGAAAAATAAGAAAAAGAATTAATTAACATCTTTCACATAGATAAAACGTGTCAATCATTGGCCTATGCTGTAGCTCGTGTGTTGGTTCATAAAGAACTTGGGAGCTTTTCGATTTGAATGTTCTTGTGATTGTGATACCACTGGTACAAATTCGAGCTATGTTTGTGAGAGATAAAATATGTCAAATGAGTTGTTATTGCGTAAATCTCGAAAAGTTATATGAAATAAAAAAAAAGGTTTTATTACTCTCCTTTCCCATAAGATAGTTATCTTATGTTGTAGAGAGAAAATAGGTGGGTCCTACTATTACAAGAAAAAAAAAGTGGGGTGCGAAAATCGACGTGAGAGAGCATGAAAGAATTTATCTTATGCAAAAGGAGAGTAATATTTCTCATAAAAAAATCTAATTTGGATATTCAAGTCAAGAGTTATAGCCTTCCGAAATTTTACGGTAACGAGATTGTGTCACTTCACTTGGCACACCCGCGTGAGTTCACTAGAGAGGGAGAAAAGATATAGTGGACCAGGTGCATGTGTACCTTGGTCAAAAGTAGAAAAAAAGTATGACATAGATGGAAATAAGCAAAATGACAAAGATAAAAATGTCATACAAAATTTTCAATTTAGAAAAAAGGAACACCTAATAATGATGTTCCGGGACTACAATAACCTTTCTCCTAGAGGGGTGGTCGCAACACTCACTTGGTACATTTATAGGTCAAGGACCCCTATTTGGTCAAAGAACCGTTTACTGTGACCTTCAAATGTCTGAGAAATCATACTATATTTCTTTATATAGTCTCATTTAAAAAACAAGTTAAATTATTCTAATAGTTTTTGTCGTTGTTATCAAACTTGAATCGGTTGTCAACTTGTTGTAGTATTAACTCAATGGCTCACCATCTCAACCAGTGCGGCATTGGTTTAATTGCAAAAATTAAATATATATATATATAATAAAATATAACAAATAAAAATTTAGAAGCATTGTAGATAATCGTTAGAGTTGGTTTAATGATAAGTGCTTTAAATTATAATCATATAATCTAGGTTTGAATCTCATAAATGGTATTCTTCGAGTATTTTATTCAAAATTTCACAAACTCAATTTTTTAAAAAATTCAGTATTGGTTTAATATTGGTTGAACCCAGTTCACCGCTTTCATACCGGTTCAAATGCATGATCGGTTCAATATGTAAACTGGACCTGTTGAATGCCCGGTTTACAAGTAATGCAATCGAAATTGTTCGATTGGGTCGATTTTTATAACAGTGATTTTTGCAATAATATTAATTTTGTTAGATAAATTTTATATTTTATTTTATTTTGGTAGAAAAATTTTATAATTTAAATTATTTTGAATAGATCCTTATTTATTAATTTGTATCAATTTTAAAATCATAAAAACTCATTTGAAATTTTAATAAAAACTTATACAATTATATTATATATCATATAAATTTGTAATAATTTGATTTTTTTTAATAAAATCACAATAACTATTAACAAGTAAGGACTCATACTTTTTTAAAATATAGATATTTTATTAAAAGTTTTAAATCATAAATAATTGTATTAAAATAAAAATAAAAATATGTAGTATAATTTAAACTTAAGATTGTGTTCATTTTGTGCAGTTCATGATATTTTATTTTAATTAATAGTGATATTTTTTATTTATAGTTATTATTTTTAAAAATAATAACATAATAAATATATTATCTAAGATCAATTAAAATTAAAATATTACAATGTAAATCAAATAAAAAAATTATGCAAATTTTCAAGAATGTACGCATTTTTCATGGAGTAATTTTATCATTTAAAACGACTCCACATATCAATAACAGAGTTTAATTACACTAGAAAATATTTTATGTATTAGATGGATAATTTACGTTTAAGTAAATTTAAAAAATATAAAATATAATAAAATTAAAATTATGAACAAAATATATACAATTAATTGAAAGGGACTTGAAATTTTAATCATTTTTTGGCGTTACCTACTTGCTAATTTTATTTTAATCTTTTAATCGTCCATGAGGTCTTTGGATATAGGGCTACGGCTAATGATAAGTACTCAACTGAAGAGCCCAAAAATCAAATCATTATGGTATTGTTTTAAACTTGGCCCAGTCAACAAGAACTTCAATTTCAGGGATAGTTTTTTTTTGTTTTTGTTTTGGGGTCTCCCAAGCCGTCGAACAAAAAAGAGAGAGTTAGAAGACCCTATAATGATAGCACCAGTAGTTCGGCCCTTTAAGTTCGCCCATACCCAGTCCCCACTGCTTTTAGATTTTCTAATACTTTGTTGAATTTAAGTCAGTATCGACAAAAATAAAAAAACAAGTGACCATGACTCCATGAGTTGTGGTTCAATTAGGAAATTAAATTTTATTTGCGTAGATTTTACTTATACTGCAAGTCTGCAAGAATTCAACCCTCATTAAAAGTTTTTGTAAATAAAATAAGCTAACTCTTGAATAAATAATTAGTCCCGTAAGTAACAGATATAATCTCATCTCTCATGAGAATTATACTTGGATAATAATTTCTTTTTAGTCAAAGCAAAACTTAAAGTCAGAATAGTGTGTATTATACTCAGAACAGCTTGACCCTATTATGAAGATAGACCAGACAATATACACCTAATTACCTAAACAAGCCTAATTATCCCTCAATAATGGTTAAAGATGTTATATATAAAAAATAATTAAATAATTAATGTGAAATTCATTTGATAACTTAAGTTTTTGAATTGGTATTAAAGTTCCTTTAATTAAGTGATTATGATTATGATTCACATAGCACACCTCAATGTCCAAAAGTAAAGGTATAAACAGGCCAGGGGCTACAGCCTAGTTCGATTTAATATATTTAGTTAATAAATAAATGGTTCGCTTTTTGTCATGTCACGTGACAAGATTATTTTCCTGCACACATAAATTAAGTGTGGGTCTCACGCTTAAAAAAAAAAGTCAAACAAAAATTAGGATACGACACCATATCCTCAAGATACGTTGCCGGATCCTTATGGCAGGAATAAACAGTGTCATTCCTTTAACATAATTCTTATATTTCCCATAAATAAATTAGGCTCAAATCTCAAAGTAATCTATTGAAAAGATAGATCATAAATCATATTTTCTAAGGTATTGTCTATAAACTTGGCTGTTTTATATTTTTATATTTTTTTTGGTAAACATATTATTTATTTTAAATAAAATAACTATTTAAATAATTTTTAATAATAATATAATATTATTTTATTTTTTTATTTAATTCCTGATAGGCCTTGAAGGCCTACTTAAAGGAGATTTTTTATTTTTAAATATATGTGAAACTCATAATTTAAGTTATACACAATTAATATGGCTTTTTCACTCTTTTGCTCCTTATTAATTAATTAATAATCATTTTGCCCCTGATTCGAAATTATTTATCAATCTGCCCATTTTTAGTCGATTACCTTGAATTTTTAATCGACTAACTAGCCAAAACAGAACAAAAATGGCTGCTGGGAGATTTAGTCGACTAAATCTCCCTATTTAGTCGACTAAATCTTCATATTTGACAAAAAAAAAAAAAAGTCAGTATGATTTTAATCGATTAAGTAGGGAGATTTAGTCGATTAAATCTCTCAACAACCGTTTAGTCGATTAAAAATGCAAGGTAGTCGACTAAAGAGGGACAGATTGATAAATAGTTTCGAATCAGGGACAAAATGATTATTAATTAATTAATAAGGGGCAAAAGGGTAAAAAAGCTCCATTAATAAACTTGACCCTAGCCTACCAAAAAGGTTTTGTATTGGAGAATATATATTTTTATTTTAAGAAAATATATATGTTATGTTATATGAAATAATTTTATTTCATAGAAGACAACTAAGTCATATTTTTAGAAACATATTCCCTTTTTATTATGAATACATTTACTTATTATATTTTTAACAACTAAGTCGTCGGAGACAACAGTGGCTCAAAATATTGATAAGGGTGTGACAGGGAATAAATTTGCCACCCCAACTCTTAGTTGCATCTGAGGGGTGATAAAGAAATAAATTCACTGTTCAATGTTCAAGTCGGTAACACAAATGAATGATTAAATAGTTTGTTTTGTCCCCTAAATAGGAGAAGGAGTCAAACATGGCATCTTCCTGACCGCAACTTTTGTTGAGAAACAATTATTGGAGCAAATTATATGCATATAAGTATAATGACTACTAACTAACTATAACATTGAATCTAAATTATTTTTCATCTTATCGAAGACAGGCAAATTGTAGGGTCACTGAGTCGATGAATAATAATAATAATAATAATAAAACTGATTGATGAATCAATCCTTATTTTATAAAGTATTTACTAATTTATCATACTTTCAAAACTATTTACCATTCTCCCATAATATAATAATGTACCGTTAAATAATTACCCATAAAAAATGAATGAAAATTAAAGCGAAAAATATAAAAATAAAAATAAAATAACAATTGTGCGTGATATAGAGTATGAACAGACTTATAAAACTAGGAAAATGTTTATGTAAAATTTGAAAATAAAGGATGCAGAAAAGAAGTGACTTGAGGGAGTGGGAGTAAGAGGTGGAGGTTGAACAGTCAAAAAGAAGAGTGTGAGGAGAAAGAAAGAAAAGAAAGAAACAAACAAAAAGTGAGGCAGTGTGTTGACTGTCAGGTCATCACACGCCAAACAAAAACATTGTTAATTAGTTTCCATTTGTCCCCTTCCTATTCCTGTTCCTCTTCCTTTGTCTCTTCTTTACTCTTCCCAATCCCACAGATACCCTTTCCACGTCCTATACCTCTATCCCTTTTTCTTCACTGCTTCCTTGTTCCTTTTTTTATATATATGTTACGTATTGAATTGAATGCTACCATTTTTTTTATTTTTTTTGGCTCCTTATTTATTTACTTAATAATTTGTCTCTTACTTGCGGAAAATTCTACCCACTTGTTTTCGATCGCCCTCTCATTACTCTTCTATTCTACTCATGTGCCAATTGGGTCAAAGCAAAGGTTTTCATTTCATTTTTTATTTGTTATCAAACTTCATCATCTTGGGTTCTCAGATTTCAGAAATGAAGAAACTCTAGGCTTTTATTATGCAGTTTTTGACCTTTTTGCAGGCTTGAGGTGTCATAGTTGCTGTTGATTCTATTCTCTTTGATGGTCTGTGTGATCTGGAACAAAAAAAAAAAAAAAGTAATTCGTGATCTCATTTTCCTGAGTTGATGGCATCAGGGGGTGTAGCACGTGCTTCTTCTGGATTGACAGATATGAATGCGAGTTCTGTTGGCATTGGAAGGTTGCCCGATGAGATGAATGACATGAAAATCAGGGATGACAAGGTTAAGATAAGCTTTTATACTTTGTTTTCCTTTGTCTGCAATTCTTCTTGAAGAAAAATCTCGGTAAAATGTTGTCTATTTATCTCAAAATTTTCTGAACAAAAATGCAGGAAATGGAAGCCACCATAGTGGATGGAAATGGGACCGAAACAGGACATATAATTGTCACTACCATTGGTGGTAAAAATGGCCAGCCCAAGCAGGTCTGTTTCTGATTTCTTATCCCTCATGATTTGACAGTTATATAGTTTGTGAACTCACATGGTTTATTTCACGATTTTAGACAATAAGCTACATGGCTGAGCGTGTTGTTGGACATGGTTCTTTTGGTGTAGTTTTTCAGGTTAGTCCTTTGTATTTACACCTTACTTGCCAGCTTTGAATGCTTTGTTGTTATATACTTGTGTTTATTTGTTGTTCTGTTTTTGCTGTACAGGCTAAGTGCTTGGAGACTGGTGAAACTGTTGCTATAAAAAAGGTTCTTCAGGACAAGAGGTACAAGAACCGGGAATTGCAAACCATGCGCCTTCTCGACCACCCTAGTGTTGTGTCTTTGAAGCACTGTTTCTTTTCAACAACCGAAAAGGATGAGCTTTATCTTAACTTGGTACTTGAGTATGTCCCTGAGACCGTCAATAGGGTGATCAGACACTACAATAAAATGAATCAAAGGATGCCATTGATATATGTGAAACTTTATTCATACCAGGTATATTTATATGTACTATATCAAAATTTATTATCTTTATTTTTTTTGTCCTTTTCTTGCAAGGTTTAGCTGGATGTTATCAGAGTCTGTGTAATGTATATATCACTTTGTTGGTTCTCATAATCCCTTCTCTTCTTTAATTTGTAGATATGCAGAGCACTTGCTTATATTCACAACTGCATTGGAGTATGTCACAGGGATATAAAACCTCAAAATTTACTGGTATATTCAGACAAAAACTTGCTTTTTTAATTTCTCTTTACTATTTGAAGTGAATTTCATAAACCTGCAAAATGTGTGGAAGATTTCTTGAATGAATATTTTAAGTTCGAGCATTGACAAATTGATGCCTGCATCCTTTGAAATCTGCAGCGGTTCTAATTTTGCTTCTATAGGTTTATTTAAGTCATTTACAAGATCAACTTAATTCCTTTTACAATGGAGATGGAGTAATTTATGCTTTTCTCTTTTGGATGTTATCTCATAACAGGTCAATCCTCACACCCACCAGCTGAAGATATGTGACTTTGGAAGTGCTAAAGTCTTGGTTAGTTTATTCTAAACCTGGAAATCCTATTGTCTGTTTTCAATGGCTATCTGATGTTTTATCATTCCAAAATGCTGCTTATATTTTACAGGTACAAGGAGAACCAAACATATCTTATATCTGTTCTAGGTATTATAGAGCTCCTGAGCTTATATTTGGTGCAACTGAGTACACCACAGCCATAGACATTTGGTCAGCTGGTTGCGTTCTTGGTGAACTATTGCTTGGCCAGGTATCTAGCTGTTTTAAGTATTGGCTGATTCTGGTAAATTTAGAATTCACACACATATATATAAAGAGAGAGAGAGAGAGAGAGAGAGAGAAACTAATAATGAATTTCTTTTGCTGTCAGCCTCTCTTTCCTGGTGAGAGTGGAGTAGATCAACTTGTGGAAATTATCAAGGTAAGATATGTTTTAAAGAATATTAGTTTAAACTGTAAAATCCAGGCATTCCGATAAATGCTGTCCACTGTCATTTCATGATGGTCCTTACTTTGAACAATTACTCAGTGCATGTATAGTGATTATGTTTACTTTGTAACTGGCTTGAATATATTAATTATAAAGTGACATTGTTTCATCCTTCTGTCTTGTTTAGTGCTATTATATTCTAAAAGATCCATGGGATTACTTGCAGGTTTTAGGTACCCCAACAAGGGAAGAAATTAAGTGTATGAATCCTAATTACACAGAGTTTAAATTTCCTCAAATTAAAGCTCATCCATGGCACAAGGTATTGTAATGTTATTTTGTCTGTCTTCTTCCACAGATTATTGTTTAATGATATTTATCTATATATGATCCTTCATCATCAGATCTTTCACAAGCGAATGCCACCTGAAGCTGTGGATCTTGTCTCAAGACTGCTGCAATACTCTCCAAATCTTCGAAGCACAGCTGTGAGTATTTAATTTTATAAGATATGTGGAAGCTTTAAGGACAGTTTTATCTGTATTCAATTTCAACCGTAGACCCATGTTATGTGCGAGACCATTATATGGTTGCAGTTGTATTAATACAAAATACATATAGTTTTCTCATTTGTTGTATTGTATTTAAGTTCAAATTTTTTTGTGGTATAGCTTTAACATGCTTGCACATGTAACCAATGCAAATGTAGTTGGCCATATCCTTCTCTTTCATGACTGAATTTATCAACAATATTTCTGTAATTATTTCAAATTGAACATTATCTTAAACTCTGTTGTCTGTGCATTGCTTAATGTAGTTAGAGGCTCTGGTTCATCCATTCTTTGATGAGCTGCGTGATCCAAATACCCGGTTGCCAAATGGGCGTTTCCTTCCTCCACTATTTAACTTCAAAGCCACTGGTAAAGAATTAAATTCCAGATAAATATTATGTTATTATGTCTCTCTATTGAAGTTCTTGGATAATGATGATGTTGCTGGCAATGTGATGCAGAGCTTAAGGGAGTACCTGCTGAGATGCTGGTGAAGCTGATTCCGCCTCATGCAAGAAAGCAGTGTGCTTTGTTTGGGTCATAATGCAACCTTATGTATTTAGTATTATCTACTCTCTGTCTGTAAAAGTGTATCATAATAGGTTGTTAATTTCCAATTTATTAATTTTATCCCAGCCTGTAGAAAGCTATTTGAGAAGAAGCTTCAGCTTGATTCCTTTGTAGGGTCTGATGGGTTCACTCACCTTAAAAGTTTTGCAGGCTGTAATAACTAGAACCTTTATTTATTCTAAGTGATGTACTTGATGAGTGCCACACACTGAACCAGTAGGGGATGCTTCATGCTTCAAAGCTTGATGGTACTTCTCCCATTATTATGAGAAATTTTGCAGTGTATAAAGTATTCCCTTGTTTTCAAGGCACTGTTATTCTTGTATTCCCTTACAATATGCTGTTGGTAAATATACAAGCTCAATATTCAGAAGGTTGGCTTGCATAGTAATTAATGGTTGTGGTTCGCTTCAAAGTGGTGACAAGCAGCATTCCTATGTAATTCAAAAAAGTGCTAGTGATGGTTCACCTGATCAGGATCGAATTGTGTTGATGAAAGATATTTCGAGTTTAAACACTAGTTTGACAAAAGTGATATTACGATTGAACTGAATAACATCACTAACATGTGTCAGTTTATTGCCACTAATGTTGCTGGAAACGTATGCATTTATTTACCACGCATTAAGACCATTTTAAGGCCATAAAATGCTTTATGGTGGCTTTAAAGGTGACTTAATCCATAAACTTTAAAATTATGCACATTATTTATAAGACAAAAATACTAAATTGCAATCATTGGGTATCAGCAGCAGAAGGAATTTAGAAACCCTGACCAGAAATATTGTCATCATTTGGGCCGCGAAAGAAACCTATAGGCAGTATGCTGAAGAGCTCTGATCGAGTGGAAGCAAAGCAGAAAGATGAATTTTCAACTTCAGGGTGGATGGACGGTTACATTACATGTATAAGATATTGTATATTAACATTACCAAATCAATATTTTAATTTTACGTGAAAATATATAGTTCTGTGATTTCTAATGGTTAGTCACAAGAAATTCTTCTACTTCTCCTCATCTATTGCATCAAAAGTCATTAATAATGTATGTTTGCTGAATTATCTTTTATAGGCGATGACTGTGTGTCCATTGGATCTGGCTGCCATGAAGTTGATATAAAGAACACTGCATGTAGACCTGGTCATGGAATTAGGTAACCTATTATTTGCTTTCAAGAGGAATTTTAATCTCCTAAGCTATTTCATCAAAAGGCATTGATAGAAGGTGCATGAGAACAGTAAAAACAAGGTAGCGATTTTGCTATTTTTAACGAATTATATATAAACTTAAGATAAAAATAAAGAAACAAATCAAATACTCTTCTAACTTTTGCTTAAGATATTACGCAATTATTAACAAACTTATTAACCGAATATAAAAACAGAAAACAATCCAAATACTCCCTTTAACTTTTGCTTCAGCTAACCTACCTTGTACTTTTAATCATCCTAAAGAATTAATTAAGTTAATAAGGAAAACACATGAATGATATAACATCTCTACTAGTCATGTTTTTAACTTATTCAGCATTGGTAGTCTGGGAAATCATAACTCTGGAGCCTGTGTGAGAAACATTATGGTGAGAGACTCAATTATTAAAGTGTCAGATAATGGGGCTAGAATCAAGACTTGGCAACAGGTGCGGAGCTAAGGGGAGCCCCCCCAAAACAAAACAAATGAAAAAAAATTTAGTGGAGTTGAAAGCTAAACGTGGTATTGTTGTTACCGTTAAATGTGCTTTTTTGAAAGATTTGAAATCCAAATTGAAATATACCTCCACTGCTTGGCAAGGTGGATCAGGATCTGTATCTGGAGTGGCATTCAGTAATATTGACATGGTTAGAGTAAGAAATCCCATCATAATTGACCAGTTCTACTGCCTCACTAAGGATTGCATCAACAAGACCTCTGCAGTGCTTGTGTCAGATATTCTTTACACAAACATCAAGGGAACGTATGATAAAGGAGCCCCCCTATGCGTTTTATTTACCTGCAGTAACTCTGTCCCATGCACCAACTTAACGCTCTCAGATATTGAGCTTCTTCCCTTTCAAGGAGATATAGTACATGATCCTTTCTGTTGGAATGCTTATAGAGATTTGCAGACACTAACCGTTCCACCACTTTTTTGCTTGATGGAGGGAATTCCTCAGTCTTTGTCAGATTATGTAAAGAAAAAATGTACACATATATATAATTATTTGGGAATTAATTAAGGAATATAGCATGATGTTGAATCTTATGTATGTTTGTTCAACAAGAAAAGGTCATGGTGCACCGGCTATATCCAATTGCCACTCACCAAACACACCTTTTTTTTCCCAATCTTGATAGAAGTTATAACTGTTACGAGCACAGAATGCAAGAGAATTTGTTGAGTTCTACATCAATGCTAGTGCTTCTGCTCCTTCCAAATGCTTGGTAAAATTATCCTTTCAGCTTTTAGGCCCACTGTGCCTTCTTTTTTCTGCTCCACTTTTTTTTCAGTTCTTCTAGTCCACTAATTATTTTGCAGAACAATAGCAGAACATTCTTCCAAATCCAATTTATTTCAAGCTTAGTCGAAATATTCAAAGTGTGATGAATCCCACAGCTATTGATAATGGATAAAAATATATTAGTGGAAGGATCGATAAATCCAATACCTTAAGATTTTTGGTTGAGATATGGTGTTGGATCCACTTAATATATTTCATCTAACTTAACCCATTGGTGATGATCCCCAGCTATAGGCTTCCCCCTAAACGTACGATGAGAGTAATATCAAACCGGATTATTTGGTGCACGACACATTCTGTAAACCTTTTATTTTCCAAGCGTTACAGAATCCATTTTCCAGATTTTCTTTCAACTTTTGTTTCCTTGTTCAGGACCAGGCGTCCTCATAAGCTGTAAAGAACTTTGAGCGCGGAAGACCTTATAAACTCTACAGCGGGGGGCGGCGAGCCTGACTCTGATACTACGTAAAGAACCTTGAAATACACTACCCAAAAGCTAGCTCAAAGGGTGGGAGTGCCCAAGCCTTATAAACTCTACATTAGTTGCTCATACAACCAATTTGGGATTATATATATCAACACGCCCCCTCACAAGAGCCCATTGAGTTTGAAGAGTGGACAATGCAACAGACTCAGCCTACATGTGCTAAGAAATTCCACTTAAAAAAAAAGTGAAAGGCGGAGAAGATCGAACCCGAGATACGTGGTTCGTATCCTCTCGCGTGTCTAGCTGTCTAGTTCTAAAATAAGCATGTCTAGCATTAGCCCCAAAAATATTGTTAGTTGAGTTTTAAAAACCCAGCCCTTTATGAATTTAAATAGGGTTTAATATCTCTTATATTATAAGAGATAAAATTATCTTATATACATATTAAAAGTATGTTAGTTTTATATTTTTTTTTCTTCTTTTCACATGGTCCTTCATAGATCTTATTCATATATATATATATATATCAGAGATAAAATTATAATCTACAATACATAAACTCATAAGTGTACAACTTATAATATATAATTAAGTTTATAAACGCAAAATTTATAAATATAACTCAATCCATTAAATAATACCAAAGAAGCATAAAGAGAAAGAACCGCAGGAATGCGGAAGAATATGATGAAACAAAGATCGAAAAGTTCTTCGGCCTCATCAAAGCCTTCGCGTGGCTCGGAGCGACTCATCAATATGGATCATAATTGCTCGACCTAGCTTGTTGACAACCACCATCATTACAGTGTAGACAGCTTTCATAATTTAGTCTTTTAGATTACGTTTGGTACAGGAGAAATTTTTATTTCTCCGAAAATCTTGATTTTTAAAAATATGATTGTGCATTCAGTTTATAATAATATCCAAAAATTAAAAATTTAAAAAAATACAGTTTGCCTGGAATTCCGAAAAAATTCCGCGTATCAAACGCCACCTTACAGTCGTCCACTCCGAAAAATTTATTATACTTCCGTGTCATCATTTATGCAGTGATCTTTTTTCATAAATAAAAGATTTTTTTTCAATTTTATCTCTTTCTTTTTTATTTTGGGAGCCCGTACTTCCGCTTTACCAAAAATTCTCTCCATGGACTCATCCATAGGCGATAATGATCACAATGTCATGTTTTAGTATTTTATTTGTTAAAATGTCAAGTTTCAGAAACAATATAGCATAATATCACTAAATAGGACTCGTTATCAATAAAAACATGTCTCGTTTTTTGCGGATCCTATCGGCGGGTTCAGTACCTGTTGTTGTTGATAGTGTTTTTGCCTGCGTCGAACAAAAATGAGTAGGGCAAGGACTTACCGTCCAATTTAGCCTGTCTCATAGGATGATGATGTCACGTGGCACCATCAGAGTTTGAATTTCCTAAGTCTTGATTATTTTAACAACGATGTTGTGACTATTATCTTATTGAAAGCTTGAAATTAGTTACTAATTTATAATTTTTATTGTAATTTTTCTCTTAATATCATTGAATAAATATTTTTTTTGATAATTTGATTTAAATTTTAGAAAACATTCAAAGTTGGAAGAAAGAAATAATATTGCAGTATAAAATTCTTATCTCTGATAAAGGTGAGTGAAAATCAGTAATTCTTTCTATTAGGGCAACATGAACAGCTTAATTTAATTTTTAACCTGTCAGAAGTTGAATTGGATAAAAAAAATCATAAGAAAATAAATGGTTAAAAAAATTTTAAGCTGATGAGTGATTCTAAAGAAAATTATTGGAGAATTTTTTATCTTTAAAAATAAAATAAAATACAGTAATCCACTAATTTGTGGCTTTCTAACTTTTGTCCTTTCTAATAAAACTGATATAATAATACATCTTTTTTTATCCACAGGTTGACTAGTACCTTAAATTATTTATTTATACTCTATTAAATTAAATAATCATAAATATATAAATAAAAGTATCATGAAATAATTTTAACTTAAATAAAATTTATTTGATTAAAAAGTAAAAAGTATGAAAAAATTATCGAGAGTGTAATCAATTTCAAGATTTCAACCATGTATTATGCATTTTAATCTTGGACAGTAAAGGAAATACAAAAATAAAAGAAGTAGTTTAAGAATTGAACTGAAACAACTAAAACTCAAAGTCAGATGTGTAACTAATTGAAAATTTTTATTTACACACTTGTATATACATGTCGTTTCATGTTTATATAATTTTGGGGAAGAATTTTCTTCTGCTATTGTAAAATATGATCTATTTCTACAGACACAATCATAAATGAGCTTCAGTTTAGATTTTTTTTTCTCACCTTAGATTTTTTTCTCACCTATTCTCTTGTATAATCCGTATGAAAGTAGTTTTCTTCTAACTACCAAAATTTTTTACTACTAACTTATTACTTATCTAATCATCATTAGATTAATATTTTCTATCTCTTCAAAAACTTTTTAATATTCTCTCTCTTTGATCCAATGGTGATATAATGGGTAGTAAATTAGTAGTGAGAGATTTTAGTAGTTAAAATATTCTTGCTCGAAAACTAAACCCCTATAATTTTACCATATAATTAATGGGGTTTATACTTCTTATGCAACATAAGAAGAGCCTTCTCATGTCAAACTCACATCGTTTTATGTGCTAATTTTTTTAATTTTTTTATTTACTTTTTTTTAATGGGGTCCACCTGAGTATGTGTGTGCTGCAAAAAATCTCACCTTATATTACATAAGAAGTATAAATCCCATAATTAATTATGTATTATTTTCTGCAAGTTTAAACCCTATCTCATGGGCTTTTTGACCCTTATGACCCTTAATTAATAATTAATTACCAAATTGCCCTTCAATCAAAACTATTTCAAAAATTTACCCTCCCCAACAAACATAACACCAATCTGCCCCTGTTTGACCGTTGACCACGAAGCCTACCCGTAGGGGTGTAAATGGGCCAGGCTGGCCCAGCCCAGCCTACGGCCCGGCCTACATTAAGCCCAGCCCAGGCTCGGCCTTTCAGAAAAGTAGAGTAGGCTTAGACTTATAAAAAAGCTTTTTTAATAAATAGGCCATAGGCCAATTTTGTCAAGCCCGGCCTACAGCCTTGTAGGCTGGCCTATTTAATTTATGAAAATAAAATAATAAAATAATATTTATTTTATGTGGCAAAGACACAAAGTACTAAATACCAATATCTCTTACTTTTTGTGCTATTTTATTTTATGAAAGAAAAACTTGTCTAATGTCTCCAAATTTTACATGCTGTTGCAACTTAATACCATGGAGCAATGGGTACCTTGCTGGATTATGATGTTACTGATGAAGATCTTTCAATAATACTCTTATTTCCCTTGTCTTGATGGTGGTTTAAAGATTTTTAAATGAATGACATTCTCTTGTAGACTTTATTTCAGCATCCAGTAATTGTATTTTTCTTATTTTTCTCATTTCTTTGACTTTATTCCTCTATGATATACATTATAGAGCTGAGGTATTATGTTGACTCTTTCTTGTTTGTCATCTTTTTCTTATGAGAAGTACTAGTGCATGGATGAATGAAACTTTCTTTGCTCTATACAATTTTTTTTTTTTTGCTTAGTATATATAGTGGGAAGCCTACAAGGCCTGTAGGCCATGTCAGGCTTTCTTATTTTTGAAAATGGGTCGGGCTTGGCCTACAAATAAAGCCTTTAATAGGCCAGTAGGCCAGATAGGCTAGATTTTTTTTTACGTAGGCTTGGACCAGGATGGCCAAAGCCCAGCCCAGCCCAGCCCATTTACACCCCTGGCTACCCGGGTACACCCCTCCCTACCCTGGTATTTTTTGAAATTTTTTATCTACCCGGGTAGAGTTCTTGAATCTAGAAAAATGGTTGAATTCGTTACCCGGGTAAGAAGGGTTGTACCCGGGTAAACATCCAGAGTAGCGTTTTTATATAAATGAAAAAAACTGTGACAGGCATGGTTCATGGACGATAGCAACGAAGATCCAAGGCTTCCTCGCCATGGCAGCCCTAATGAATTTGTTTCCATCAACCAATTAGCAGGTCATTACTCTCTCTATCTATCTATAGTTTTACTTAGTTGTGACGTTGCAGAAAAATGGTGAGTTTTGCAGAATTGGGACTCTTATACTGGAAGCTGAATCCAAATGATGTTGAGGAAGATTAGAGAAACTAGGGGATACAATTACATGGTAATGTTGTATTAATTTTTTACTAATTTCATTTTGTTTTCTGTAATCAGAAGGTGCTTCAATTTTTTGCGTTTTCATTAACCTGATAGAAATATAAATCCGAGGAGAATATGAATTGGAAAAAGAAACTTTTTAGCATCTCGGTTATATAAAAACGCTACTCTGGATGTTTATCCGGGTACAACCCTTCTTACCCGGATAACTAATTCAACCATTTTTTAAGATTCAAGAACTCTACCCGGGTACACCCCTCTCTACCCGGGTAGATAAAAAATTTCAAAAAATACCAGGGTAGGGAGGGGTGTACCCGGGTAAGCTTCATGGTCAACGGTCAAACATGGGCAGATTGGTGTTATGTTTTTTGAAGGGGTTAAATTTTCGAATTAGTTTTAAATAAAGGTCAAATTAGTAATTAATTATTAATTAAAGATTATAATGGTAAAAAAACCCTATCTCATGCCTCCTCTAATGTGAGCCGTAGAGATGGTGTTCATCTTCTTACTAATTACGGAGTAGAAAAGTGGTCATGAATAATTTATGACTAGGTTCTGACGCACGTATACACACGCACCGCAAGCACTAGGTTCTGACGCCAGCAAGGTACGTCATGAACCACTCTGATCAAGTCGTCGCGGGTCTAATTTTCAAATATCAGAGGTCCACCTACGTGATCATCGTGAATCGTGATGAAACGATGCCAATCCCCAACAACTCTACAATAGAGTAAGATTAAACTACGCAGTTTATTGAAAATTAATAGCTTAATTTATTGGGAAAAATACTTGTGTTTTTAAAAGATAAAATTTTGTATCATTTTAGATCATAATCATTACTTTTTGTCAACCAATGATTATGATTTATTGAGTAAAATTTATTAATTAATTATTAATTCATAATAAAATTCAATAAATCTTAATCATTGATTGACGAAAATCAACAATTATGATATAAAAAGACACAAAGTTATATCCTTTAAAAGTACAAATATTTTTCCTTTATTGTTTAACTGAAAAAAAAGGATAGGATATTGTAACAACTAATTAGTGTTACTATTAATTTTACTACTAAACAATTTCACCGTTATATTTTCATCTTTGTATGGTTATGATTCTCCATATTTAATGTGAAATCATAACAATACAAAGGTAAAAAATATATAAAGTATTAAATATGAGGAATCATAACCATACAAATATGAAAATAAATATAACAGTTGGATCAACATAATCAATCTAACGGTGAAATTGATTGTTAATAACATTGGTAGTAATACTAATTGGTTCTTACAATATCCTTCTCCATAAAAATATGGGATCCATTCTAATTCTTTAGGAAAAAAATTAATTTGTGATCCTTCAAATATTTTAAAATAGATTCAATTAGTTAAAATTGTGGTCCCTTAAAAATTCAAAGAAAACCCATATTAGTCTTTCAAAAAAATTAACATAGATCTATTTTGAATTTTAGAGAAATCACGAATTGACTTTTTTTTAAGAGATTAAATTGAGTTTCGTGTGTTTTTTAAAATGTAAGATGGTTTAACTCGTTTTATAAAAGGTATAGGTTATTCTATCTACTATTTTCTCTGTTTATCTTTGTCTATCACTCTCCAACATCGTTAGATCAGAATCTCAATAGGAGAGAAAAATAATAAGTGTACAATAGATTCTGATCTAATGGTGTTGAAAAGTGGTAGGCAAAATTAACCACTGAAAATAATAGGTACAATAACCTATCCTTTTAAAAAAATAGTTAAGACTTTTTACAAGTTTGTTTAATTAAGTACGCTAGTTTTACATTTATGGAATTTTTTTGGTAAACCATTTATGATTTTTTTTTTAAATTTAACGGATTGACATATTTAAGTATTATATATGATATTTAATATAATATTATAGATTTATTTAACATATTTAAAAAGTTTAATTTAATAGTCTAGAGATTTAAGAGAAACTCTTGTACCCTAAGGGAGCGTTTGACATTAGAGATATTTTTTTTAACCGAGAAAAAAAGATTGTTGAAGATTTGATAGGAAATTTTTTATTTCGAGTAAGTTATGAAAAAGTATTTGGTTGATCAAAATTTCATCGAAAAAGTTGGGTTATTTTACTGATGCTATATTTGATTGATAGTAAAATATTGATGGGAATGTAAATTGAAATTATCAGAATATCAAAGACCATGGGCAATCTCTTTACACAAGATATATATATTACAAGGGTATTTTTGACTCAATATATTACATTTAAAATCCAAGACCATGGCAAAAAAAAAATACTAAAGATTAAGTGGGATAATATTTTGCCTTTGTGTAGTTAAAAAGAAAAATATTGGGAAAAAAATTTATTGACATTTTATTCGTAATACTCATATCAAACATAATAAATAAATATTCTACACCTCACTTTTCTATCATTCCGTACCAAATCCCGATACCAAACACTTCTAATAGTACTTCCGCATTGTTCTTTTGACAAACAAAAGGGAAAAATAGTGAAATTTACTGTTAGGAGAAATGAACAAAGTCGTCAGTCGTGTCAATCACTAACTATATTTTATTTTAGGGAAATAATTTTCTTATGTTGTAGGAAAATGCTTATCTTATGTTGTAGAAACAAGATTGTAAGTGGGACCCATAAGTAAGAGGAGAGAGAAAAAAAAGAAATGGGACCCACCTAGCTTGTGTGTGTAGGAAATGTAGTTATCTTATGTAAAAGTAGATAAATATAACCCTTTATTTTAAGCAATTAGAATTAATTTAGTGCTAAGAAATTTTGATAATTTATATTAGATTACTTGTTTAATTTCGATCAATGTATGCAAAAACGAAAAAACTATATTTTATTTTAAAATAACTACAATAAACTTTTAAATTGGAAATAAAAGTTATTAATTTTTTTTCTAAACTTATAAGTTTTTGCTTGTGAGCTTATAGAAAATTGTTCAAACTCGCATGTATTTATTAATATAAATCGTACCATTCATTGCTTCATTTTTTAAATAAAAATAATTTTTACTTTCTTTCTAATTTTATTTTTTTGTAAATATTTTATAGAAAGTATGTACAAGAAATAGGTGCTACGTGTATTACTAATATGTACATATAATCAAAAATGATAATACCTTATAAATGAAGGATCTATTTATAAATATTACAAATTTGACCAACATTTCACTTAGAATTAAATATTTATGAAGGCTATATATGTACCAAAAAAGAAAATTATGATAGTAGGAAAAGGTTTATGGGCGTATGGGCATTTTTTCTTAAAAGAAATTGTTTTTTTTTTTTGGTAACCAAAAGAAATTGTTAAATAAATTTTATTAATACTATTTTTTTTAAATTTGTGTTAAAAATATTTAGGTCAAATATTATTTATGATGTATTTAAAAAATATAAATAAATAACATTTTTGCTAATTATTGTTCTAAAGACACTTGTTAAAAAAATTAATATACAAAATACAAATTATGAATAAAACTTTTAAAATTTATAATATATTAATTGTTTAATTCTTATTTAATATTTAATATTTTTTTGTTTTTTCTTAACAATATTATTAAGATACTTGTTAAAAAATTCATAAAAATAGTCAACAAAAATGTAAATAAAGAATTAAGATAAAAAAGTAAAGCGTCTTTTTTTTTATGTTGCTCCAATTTATTTTTTTATTTTTTTACAATGACTAATTATAATTATGTATTTGTGGGAATACATAGTTATAATTTTAAATTTTTTTTCTCTCTTTAAAAATTATTTGCTGACTTGTAAAGAGAGAAAAAAAATAATTTGTCAATTATAATTATGTATTCCTAAAAATACATAATTATAATCTATTGCTGCAAAAATATTTTTTTACAGCATATAAGAAATATATTTCCCAAAAATAAATGCCCAGATTAATATGTTGTATTAATAAAAAGAAAACTGCTAAAAGTGAAAAAAATTCACTAAAATTAATGTTAAGATAATTCAACAATATTATTCACTTTTAAATAAAGAAAGGAAAAAGGAACGTCTTTTTAAAAAACACAATTTCACGTCATTTTAGTAATTTTTAATTATATATATTCAAAATTTATAATCATAATATTAAAATTATATTTTTTTTGACATTTTACATTGACATATAATTTGTGAAGAGAGAAAAAAAAATATAACTTTAACATTATAACTATATATTTCTAAAAAATACATAATTAAGATTATTAAAAAAATATAAATTGTATTCTTTGAAATGACATTCAGTGAAGCCATGAAGAAGTAATTCCTATCAGTTTAACTTACCCGTGAAGTATTCTTAACTTTTATTAATCAAAATTTCGGTCACAGTATACCTTTATTTTGTTTATAAAAGGAAACCATCATTAGCGGAACTCAAGACACGGCATAAGAACACTCGTAAACTCTGCACAAGCCCACGTCGATGCCGCTGCCAAAGACATAAGACATGGTATCTATCTATCTTCATCTTACTTCTTTTATATATATATATATATGAGTCAAGGTATTTTCAATCTTGATCATTGATCCACTTGTATTCAATGGCTCACATTACTATTAGAGTCTTTAGATATAAATGAGATCAAAGAAAAAGATTGAGAGTGTAACTTACACCGGTGTAAAATGATCTTGACCCTATATATATATATATATTTCAGCCGTTCTTTGCTTTAGATGTATATGCTGGTCTTTGATCTTTCCTTGGGTTGGGTATTATGCAGATTAATTAATTAATTAATCCATTTGTTCTCACATGGAAAATAAGAAAAGAAAGAGAAAGGACGATCATGGTGACGATAAGGATGATGAGGTAGAAGAAGAAGAAGAAGAGATGAAAATGGAAAAGTTTTACTCGCTGTTGCGGAGCTTCCGAGACGCACGCGATCGACGACGAAAGGAACTGGAAGAGTTGGAGAAGATTAGTGAGAGGAAGATGAAGACAGAGCAACCCACCACTTGGGTACCATGTTTTGAGTGGAGTGATTTTACAAACGAGGTTGGGTTTAGAAGGCCACCTTTGCTTTTTCCAACTCCATCTCCATCTACATCTCCAACAACACCTGCCACTGACAAACCTGAGATGGACCAACACCAAAGCCATTCTCTCGACCTCAACCTCGCTCTCTAGCTCGCGTTTTCATCATTATATATTATCTCTCTTTTTTCTTCTTTCTGAAATTAATTTTGATTCTCTCTCTCTCTCTCTGTATATATATGTGACGAATGTTACAATAGAGTAACATGCTTTAAATCAAGTCCTCCTTGGCCTTGCTGGTGAAATCCATTTTTGAAGAGTCACGAATTTATTTTAATGGATTCAACTTTCAAGCGATGGGGGCGGGGGGGGGAAACTTCATACCACGCACGGAGATAAGGAAGGGCAACTGCATAGTAGAATAGAGGGAAGTCAATTTCGTGCTAAGCTGGTAATTTAGTTTGTGTTATTTTTAATGAAATAGATGTGTGTCATTTTTAAAATACGTAAAGCTATGTTATTTTAAATGTGATAAAAAAATAAATTATAAGGAAGAGAATGGACAAAAAGAAAGAGAAAGACGTGAATTTGACTTCTTTTTGAGAATAAAATAATATATATTTTATTAAAATACTTTATTCTTTTTCCTTAATCCCAAAACTATACTGTTTTATAGCTGTATGAAATCATTTTATTTCCAGTTGCAGAAGTAATATTAATTTTTATTGAACTTTTTTAAATTATGAAAAATATAAACAATTAATTTAATTCAAAAATTTAAGTTAGTGAATGAAGTTTTTGAATAGTTTATACTATTCTTTAGAGTTTATTGGGATTGAAGTATGGACAATATATAAATCTATCTACTCGTGTTAATCCACAAGAGAAAATGAAAGGAGCTGTAAGAATTGAATTCGAAACAACGAGATTCAAATATTATATAAAAAATTAATTCAACTTAAAACTTAAAACTAATAGATAATTTGTGATTTATACTATTTTTCAATATAAAAAAATATTCACCGTCTTCAAAGTTATAAATCGATAAAGGTTAAACAAGTGTTTCCGACAGTATGCTCTCTCACCATTCAGAGGGACAATAATCGAATTCTGCGGAGAGCAAGTAAAAGTCAGAGGACACATCGACCTTCTGAATTGACCTCCTTTGGCCAAGTAATCCATGTTAGGTACCGTATGTCCAGACTTCATAATCAATAATCACGACTTTGGAACACTGATTAAAGTCTCACTTTTTGCTAAATTTTTTATCTAAATACCACACGAACAAAATTTTTCATCAGACTGTCACGTATCGTAATTTGCTTTCATTGATAGCGAATTTCGTGGTCAATAATTTCGTGACACGTAGTCATATTACAGACCAAATTCGCTATCATTAGTAACGAATTATGACACGTTAACTTTTTTTTAAGAAAATGTGTCATGTGTCACAAAATCATTGGCGAACGTAATTTGCTACCAGTCGCAGCGAATTATGTCACGTGGCAGTCTGATAAAAAATGATGTTCGCAGGATATTTGAGTAAAAATTTTGTCAAAAAATAACATTTTGATCACTGTTCCCACCACTTTAGTTAATAAGATCCATACTAATGATGATTTATCTTGAAGTCATACTAAATAATATTAAAAGAATACTGTGCTACAAATTAAGTTTAATGAAATTTACAATTTTTTGCAATTTGTATTACCTTTAAAAACTAAATTTAGAATTATACAAAATGAATTCAAAAAATAAAGTCACACCCAACAAATAAATAAGCCTTTAAAAAATGTGACTGTATGAATATATAAAAGATGTTGGTTTATTGGTTCAAGTGATAATAAATTTGGTTCTAAGTTCTGAATTTGAGTTCTTAAAGAAAATGATATTGAGAGAGTAATTCTCAACTACGTAGCACTAATACTGATACGCAACATGGGATACGATACGACACGACACTGTGACACGTTAATTTTAAAAAATGTTAGATTTTGACACGTTATGACACGTTTTGATATTAAATAATATTTTTAATTTATGTAATGTATATTATATTTAATATTTAATAATTTAACAAAAAAATGAAGATAAACTCATAATAGCCATCAATTTTGCAAAGAAACATAAGATATTCCAATTATTTATATTAAACTCAATAAAATGGTAATCGTCATCCAACGTATTTAATAGTTAAAACTAAAAACTCAACACAACGCATCCTTTGAACCTTTTTTTGAGTCTTTACAACACGTGTTGGAGTGTCGGGGAGTGTCAGAGTGTCGGAAAGTATCGGACACGACACATCAGGATTTTGGAAGTGTCGGTACTTCATAGATTCTATTCTCAATAGTATTTGAACAACATTAAACCAGTGTTTTAAAACCCGGCTCGGACCGGCCGGGTCGACCCGGGACTCGGTGACCCGGTGAGTTCCCCGATCCGAGCGGGTAGTTAGACCGGTTATGCAGTCAACCCGGATTGGACCGGTTGACCCAGCCGAAACCCGGTGACCCAGTTGACTCGTGTTAAATCGGTTTTTCCTTTTATTTTATTTTTGGTAAATTTTTTGTTGTTGATAAGAACTCTTGAATTAAAGCATATTTATATTTTATGATGAATATGATTAAAAGTAAGGTGAAAATAATAAGGTATTTTAGATTAGTATAGTTCATTTTTGTAATTTAGTTGCATCTTATAATGATCTCATGAAGTTAAGTGGTGATAAACACTGATGGTCTCATGATTTCATCTCAACGGTCTAGAGCTAGAAGCTTAGAAGTATATAATATTTGCTATCATTGAAAACTAATTTATTTTTTGAAGCTTATAGATAGTTTTCATATGTGAATTTTTATTAATATAAATAATATTTTTATATTTTTAATATGTGAACAGTAAAACCGGTTGAACTCGGTTGAACCAGTGATCCAGTACCTCGACCGGTTCGATGACCGGTCCGAGTTTTAAAACACTGCATTAAACTGAATTGAATAGAAAAAGAAATTGTTAGTTGCCACATAAATAAAATAAAAAATTTAGATATATTTAGATCGGTTTGTTTTTGCCATTTCTTTATTTTATTAAGATTAAAAAAATCGATGCAAAAGGCGTAATAATAAAACAACGTTTATTAATACAATGAAACAAATATGTGTAACAATTAACAAATGAAACATTCAGGCGTGATAGATTTTAGTTGATCATTTATGAGGACTGCTTTCTCTCCTCCACATCTAGTTACTTACACCATGAGTGTAAAAATACAATTTTTTTTTTTTATGGGATTAAAGCATCTTCCATAGTTCCATGTTTATTACTTTCATGCCTTTCCTTCTGTACTATGCACAATGCTTAAGGACTTCCAATTTCATCGGAACATCATCTAGGCTCCTGTTTTTGTTGGCTCGTTCAAAATAATCTGCACATAAATAATACTAGTTAACAACGCATACAAAGTTTATATGTTTTATACAAGTAATTTGATTTTAAAAGAAAGACCAAAATGGTGACGCTTCTAAAGTAACACCAGATTCTTTAATCCCTTTTTTATATAAAAGTATTTTTTTTCCCTTTATATTTCATTGTACAGGTGTAAGACAAAGGTGTTAATTTCATATGTGTCAGAGCCTTATAAGGTAAAATAAAATGAAAAATGAAGAAAATACACTTATTATCATCTTCCATATATCATCAAAGATACAATCCATGATTTATTTATTTATTATTATTATTATTAGTTTTTTGCAGTGGTCAATGGGCCAACCACTTTTTAGGCAGGGAAAGAACCACTTAACTGTTGTTTTTCCTCATCCTGTTCCGGGTCTTCCTAATGCTGGAAATTTGATAGGTCCATTTGAATATATGATATTATATTGATAGGCACTTAACCTAAAGTGAATTAAAATCCAGGACTTGCTATGGGCTCTCACTGTGGCCGAACGCTAAAAAATAAATGGGTAATTAATGGAAGATATCATCATGGGCCTAGTCATTGATACCATACAGAGCAACAAATGGCCCATATGCAATATCCCTCAATATTTCCTGTCTTTCTTTCCAAATAAAACCAAAGTATTGGAACAATGATTTGCTTTCCCATATATCTACAATGTATTCCATTTGTATAAAAGTAAAATATTTCTCTATGGCGGTGAGGACGTGAGGTAGGAATCAAATAATTCATTTTTTTTCCTCTACATAAATTTTGAAGTCAAGGAAATTTTTTAACTGTAATAATATTTTCGGGAAAAACAAACATAAAAATATTTTTTAACTTCTCTTTTGCTTATCACTTTTTTAATTTTTTATAAAAAATTAAAAAATGAATTATGTCATTCTAAACTTTTTAAGAAAGAGACAATTTTTTTATTTTACTCTCTAGTCTAATTTTCATTTAAGAATGAGATATGCCATGCTTAATTTTTGTAATAAATAAATTAAATTTGTTTGAATTAATTTTTCATTTTTTTTATAATTTGAATTTTTTACACTTAATCTTTTTTTTAATTTATATTTATTAATTTTAATCTGCAGCTGCTGTACGTGCAACAGTTAAATACTTGCCATATATACGTAAAAATATTAAATGCGGAGAATCATAATCATACAAAAAATAAAAGCATTAAATATGAGAAATCATAACCATAGACCTGTCATTGTTTAATTTTATCTATATATATATGCAGTTGCACATAATATGACATGTGGAAATAAAAAGTTAAAATAAATAAAAAAACATAGCATTGGCATTGGACCATTGGTAATAAGAAAGTTGATAAAGGAAGATACCAAAAAGAAAAAAAGAAAAAAGAAAGAAAGTTGATAAAGGAGGACATGAAGAATCTAGCTTACTCCATTTTCTTTCCCCCACCCAGCAACCTAGAAATATTTGTACAGGAAAATATTTTTAGTGTATGATCATTCCGTATATCTTTTATTAAATATGAAAAAATAACATATTTATATTATCTTTATTTTTAGAATTATTTTCTTGTATTTCTTTTAGAAGACGTTTGGTAGATGAGAAATATTTTTTTATCCAGGAATCATGATTCTCAGAAATATAATGAAAAAATGAGTTTCCCGATAATGTTACTAAAAAGTGGTCTGATAGGCTAAAATATTCACAAAAATATTGAATTAATTTTTTTGGTGTTATGTTTAGTTGATTATAAAATATTGGTGGAATGTGAATTGAGGTTAATTATGTCCCAAAAAATTATTAAATATTTTCATCACATGAGATTCTCAAAGGGTTCGTTTTTTCTGCCGTTAATGCAAATAAATTATCTGCAACAAGTCCAATATGACGTTGTTTTGGGACGAAAATCATGATATTTTTGTAATTTTAATTTATTTCAGGATTATAATAGTCTTTATATTTAAATTTTTTAATATTTCAATACTAAAATGACGTCGTTTTAGGAATAAATGCAGATAACTTATCTGCATTAACTGCAGAAATATTTTTTCCTTTTCAAAATGTCACCCATTTTCATGATATTTTAAGATATAATTTTTCTTCGTAAATATGAATCTCGAAAATTCGACTTTCCTAATTTTTTTTTACAATTCTCATATAAATTATGAATAAATTTTAAAATTTTTCTTTTCACCAAACATGGGCTAAAAAAGTTCCTACTTCCCATTATACGCGATTCAGATTATATTAGAATTCAGAGGGTCCAAAATAGGCAACCACCTCCCTACCTAGCCTATTAGTAGGTCAACATGAGTTTTTGTCTTTTCGGTTGATGCCAAAATCAGACAGCAGAGGATCAACAACCATTCATAAAAAAAGTTGCGTGTTTCATTTCCACCTCTCCTTCATGAATTGATTTTATACTCACTATAAATCCTTGCATGATGACTTGAATCTATGTCATGAGGTTGATTTATTTTGTGTGTTGTTTTCTTGAACTTACTCAATTCCTGTTTCCATGGAGAAGTGAGCATGTATCAGCTCTCTATTTTTACATTATGAATGGAACCCTTTTTGCGTTATACAACCCTAACAAGTTGAAGTTGGTGGCTTGGACGTGGCCTCGAAATTTGACAGGGTTACTTTCAAATGATTGTTCAAAACTTCACATTCTGCACAAAGCCGCTTGTAGTGGTGCGTGGTCAACTGATGTGTCAATTCTTGAATAACTTGATTCTGGTGATGACGTGATGTTAATCGACTTCTTTTGTCTTTTTTTAACGTGATGTTACTGTTACAGAATAAAATATAAAGTATTAAAAAAGATGATCATATATCACATTAAGGTGGTTTTGGATTGGAGTGATTCTTTGATATGATATTTTAGTGACTACGAGGCTGCGAGTTCAATCTCATCGCCTCCCATTTTCAGATAGAATTAAGAAAAATACAAGGCAGATCAAAAAAACAGGCTTGATGAGCTTGTGTCATATCTATGCTTCAAGCCCAAAAAACTCTTGTTGGAGAATAAAATATTAAAAAATGAGCTTGTGCCATATCTACGCTTTAAGTCCAAAAAGCTTTTGCATGACGAAGTGTGTTAAAGAATAAAATATAAAGTATTAAAAAAAATCATTTTAGATTGAAGTGATTGTTTATCAGTTAAGTTATTATTTTTTTGGAACTTTTTGCTGATCTGTACTCAAACAGGGATCTTGTAATCATTAGACAGAGATGTAAGCTCTTTAAACAAAATGAATCAATGAACCCCACTAGAACACCACACAACATTACCACTCTCCCTCTCTCACGCTTACTTCCTGTACTTGAGAATGTGGGAACCCCCTCTTCTTTTCATTTGCATATGTGTTTACAAAGAAATTTTGTTCACCGTTGTTTCTATGCTTTTTTCCTCCCTCTCTTTCAAAAGCGCCTTTTTCAAGTAAACTCGGTTAGCAAGTGCGGTCTTGTTTTCATGTTGTAATCATTGTCATTTTGACCGCCAATAAGGGGATGTATCTTCTTGATTTCACGGCACTATCACCGAAAAGGTTACCCCAAAAGTTTATCTACACGCAAGCAAACACTTCCTAAACACAAGTGACATGTTTTCATTGAATGCCATGGTATTAGCTAAGGTTTAGAGATAATATTAATCCCATTAGAATAACATGTATTGGTGGTGGACTCCCGGCATCTAATCGGATCATGTGGGTTAATAAGACTTACGACCTAATATATATTAAGTTAAATTTGACCTGTTACGTATAAAATCAAATGGAACAGACTTTGACTTTTAATTTTTTTTTTTAAAAATAGGCTGTAGATTTTTTTATATATCGAGCTTATAAGCTTCTAGGCCGGCCTATATCATATTATTTATTTTAAATAAAATTATTATTTTACTAATTTTAAATAATAAAATAATAATATTTTAATTATTAAATGTCTTATAGGCTAAACAGGCTAACAGACCATGTCACACTAAGTATTTTACACAATTTAACCTATTTAAGTCAAAGTACAACCATTTAACCTCTTTTTTTATAGATTATCTTAATAAGCGATGGAGTACTATGAAAAATCCGGTTGTTGTATAAACTCATCTGAAGAGCTATTTCATAACTAATGCAAGACTCAAACTAGTCATAATTTATTAAAACAAAAACGTGATAATGATACACATTATTATAACATTCATTAATACAATTGACATAGGAAAGCGCCATACTTTGGCTACATATCTGTTGTATATGGGATAAGGAAAAAGCCTTTACAAGTTACAATAACCATATTGCCAAGCAAAAATAAAGAGCAAACTAAAATGGAAATGAAGCAATCAGTAAGCCTCCTAAACCCTTCTCTAAGGCATAATATGACAGCAATTCTTTTACGTTTAATTATTTGTTCTCGTGCTGTATTGAATCTGGGTTAAGAGGACTTCTTCCCAGACTTGGTAATCTCACTACTCTTGCCTTTGGACTGTGGGGACCTCTTGCACCAGACCGAGGACTTTGCTCAGTGGTGAGCTCACCCACGCGAGAACTAAACGAAAGACGTGGACTCTGATGGCTTTTAGGATCATTTTTTGGTGTTGGAGTGGAGCTTGTGATCTTTGGACTACTTGTGTGCCTAAACTCTCCACGGCTTCTTGTTATAACTTCATCTAGGATCTCACCTTCTCCAACATAAGAAGCACCAGCTCCAAACTCTGATTGCTGTTAGGACAGTAAACACGAAGTTGTATGGAATTATAAATATAACCACAAAAATATATATAGATACAGGGGCAGGTTATATTTACAAACTTTTTTGTTTACATTACAAACTACACTATAATCTCCTAGGAGAATACAAACTACATTATGTTCTTTTGGAGGAGAACATAGTGTAATTTGTAAAAAAATTAAAAAAAGTTTGTAAACGGATCCTGTCCCATAGATATATATGGAAAAATTAAAAATTCAGTCACTGGACCGTCCAGTGCACTAAGTTCTCCTGCGAGAACTTAGTGCAATAAATATTACAATGGTGTTCTCCCGGAAAAACATAGTTATAATTTAACTATAACTGTGTTCTCGCGAGAGAACATAGTACACTGGACCGATTTTTACATCCAGTAATTGTACACTCACTGAACCCTATATATATATATATATATATATATATATAACAATGACTCAAAAAATAGACTATCATGGATTTATGTTAAGCTTGTTGGATAAGAAATCTTACTGTTGCAATGTTGAATGGTAAAGCCGTTTGCTCTTCATACTCTGCTGCATCCAAGTCTTGAAGGTGTGCCCCTTTGAAAAATTTGGGGAGAAAGTACTGTCTTACTGGAACTAAGAGCATGATCAACAAAGGAAACATGAGCCCGGCAATAGGAACCCAAGTTAGTCCAAAACATGTAAGAAGATAAAGGGTTTGGAAAATGGTGAATGTTGCTATTGTCTTGAAAGGGACTGTTTCCACAAAAGTAGCATGGTAATCCTCTAGCACCCTGCACATGAAGTGGAAATTTGTTGATCATTATGATTAAATTTAAACATTAGATGGCTAAAAGAAATAGAATGTTTAATTTACTTGTATCTTCTGCTTGGTGCAGTGAAGAGTAATAGGATCCTTTCCCAAAACTGGTTTCCAGGCAAACTTTCAATGGCCATGAAGGCAAAGTAGCCCCAAAGGACTGAGGTTGGGATCTTCTTGAGTAAAGGCATGGCTGCAACACATCCTCCTACCATTACTGCTTGAAGCAAGTTACTGACACGCTGTTCCTTTACCTCAACAGGTAGCAGGTCGTCTATTTCTTTCTCAACATCAAATATAGTCTCATCTACTGGGGCGTCCATGTTTCCCATACTCGTAGCGGCTTGAATGGTTGATTCTTTTAATTCTTTTAGTCCCTGTGCCTGATCATAACATTTGACATCATATCATTTAATGTCATATGTTATTGGTAAACAATGAATTAACAATGATTTTTTTAGTTCCACAAGTTAAGCGTATATAGTGTTACACATTACATGCTTGAAACTCAAATGAAGAAGATTTAAAGACAAAATGTAAAAGAAAAGAAGATTTAGCAGACTTACTCGAGCAGAGGGATCCTGGTAAATAAGAGGCGTCTGCATTTGATGGTAGGCTTCTTGCATGTTGCCATATAACTGTCCTAAACTAGCATTCTTTCCAATACTTTTTCGTGCGGTTACCACCAGTCTGTTACGAAGCAACTGTACCACCATTGCTCATTTTTTGTTAGTCATGTTCATATTACTAACAATTAGAAATTGATTAGGGAGAAAATGACAAAAGCTACACTTGATTTACCTGATGTTTAAGAGTTGCCAGACTCTTTGTGTGCATTGGAGACTGCGGTATGACTCCATTTGCTGGAGGAACTCCAATAAGGCCACACATTAAGGTCTTCAATCCAGAAAAATGAAATTTACCATTAGAAAAAGAACCAAGTAAGAGTACACAACAAATTAAAGTTCAATGGTAAAATCTGAAGCCATGAAGGATCATGAAGAAATGACATACCAAAAACCCCAAAAGGAGCAAGTCATAATGGTAAGAAGATGGCTTTCTCAAATTGAACTCTTTCTGCTGGGAAAGCTGGGATGCCACACTATGGTCAAAGTAATAAAGCACTGCAATCATGGTTGCTGGGATAAATGCTCCGATTATGTAGGCAACAGGAACATGGATCATGTCCTGTTCACAACAAATACAGTACAATTTTTTATTTATTTTACAAGCCATCTTGTTAGTGAACTTTGAACTAGTAGAAAACTTGTAATTTACATGCCTTGATAACAGTCCAATTCTCGTATGCACCCGGTGACCATGGATTTGGGCTGAAGAGGCGCCTTGGGATACCATGTGGAACACTTCCAGAAGGTATGTAGGACACACCTGTCCAAACTAGGACCATAAGAGGCACACCATAGTCTGCTATTAGGCTGCGAAGCCAACCTGTAATAAACTCAAATTATATTCATATGAAACCAAATGATAACCATGTACTAAAGTTTCGATTGTTAGGCATGTTATATGGAAAGGGAAACATCTATGTACTTTTTGATCATAAGACAAACACTTACCACAACCATAACGCCATGACCTTGCCTTTCTGCTTTTCAATGCAGTGAGGAGAAGGCCAAACGAGAGGACTAAAGCAAACATCCCATTAGCAAACCTCCATGAAGGTATAAACTCAGTTGATTTTGGATTTTCTCTTTCTGGTATGCTAAATTCATCCACGAGTCCCTGGACAAAGATGATAGTGTAATGTTAAATAAATTTGGTTGAAGTGCAACATAATTCAGGTACTTTAATCTCATGTGAACACGTAGTATTAAGTAACAAATGACATAATACTCTTACTTTGATAGCTTGCTGCATGAAGAGCATTGCAATAAGGAGGCCAAACAACTCTCCAGCAATTCGGGTAAACCTGTTGATTATGGAGCAAGCCCCTAAGATGGCCAGTAAGAATAGCAACAGTGCAGTCCAGACACATACCCTACAAAATCAAGTTATAAAAGAAAGCAGGACAATGTTAAGTCACATTATGATGGACGGTACTAGAACAGAATTGCATAAGGGTCTCCATATGAAAACATGGACAAAAAATAAAATAAAATCAAAAGACAAGCTTATTCACCATCCAGTCCATGCCAGAAACAGATTCGGGCCCAACTCTGGTCTCTCTTTTGCAAAATTGAACATAAATGTGTACATGATCACGGTAGGCTCTGCCACTCCTAAAATCAGCAAAGGTTGACCACCAATGATTGAGTGTATAATACCACATATAGAAGTGGATACCAAGGTTTGAACAGCTGTTAGAACACCATCTGCAAGTGCAAACAATAGGCATACGTTATAAAGCTCTGATAGTATGGTAATAATACTGTCCTATTTCCTAAGTTCTTTCATTTTTTTTTATATATTCCTAAAAAGAAAAAGGGTTATGGTGAATGAGAAGTGCAACACTGGGAGGACTTTATCTTTCAATACTTTTTTCTCAGGAAAAAGAAGAATATATTGAAGCTAGAATATTCAGTACCTGTATTTCTCTCTAGCTGTTCACCAAATGAAATGACAGGTATTGCTGAAGCAAAAAATATATATGTGGTGGGGGCCAAAATCCTGTAAAGGGAAGCAAAAATTGTTAAAAGTTATACGTTAACTGCCACTGGTTGAAGCCTAGAAACATTATAATCTTTCAGTACATAGATCACTAATGCCTAAAAAATTTGAAAATATACCTTAAGCCTGCTTTGATTCCACCAGTCCAATCTTGCTTGTAGCACATTAACCTTCCTCTCAGATCATTCTTGATTCCTTCAAAGGGTACAAATGTTTCTTCCATATCTTTTGCCCACGAAAAAAGTTTCAAGGGAATCAATATCAGATTACCAGCCTGTGTAGACCTTCTAGACTTTCCTCAGAAAGTTACTTGGCAGCCATTGGGGCTAATACTGCTAATCACAAAGAAACAAAGTATAGATTACATGATTTTCTGGTTGTTTTGGTAGATACCTCAACAAGGCTCAATCACAAGAGAACTGAGTAAGGAGGGCAGAAGAATGTGCTGATAAATTAAACAAGAAGGTAGCATGAATAGTACAGTCTGGCATCAAGAGACATATAGGAGAATGGGAGAGATTCAATGCTGTAAATATGCCAAGAAGCCAGCTGTACCAAAAAAAGAAGAATTTGTGAACTCGAGATAGATGCTCTTATATGCCAGCACCAACAAAAGAGCAATTGTTTCCTTCTCGAGTGCTTCCTAATAACAAAAATGTGTGGCAGAGTATTTATAAGCTTTAAAAAAGCAAGCAAGCAAGAAACAAGGAAAGAAATGAAGGTAGATTTGGTGTGCAAAGTACATTGTTACGCCACTGGCATGTAAAATGTAAATACAGATCAGTCCAATCTTTCCAGCTTCGTCATCAATAGCCCTTCCCTTTTTTTTATGCCAAAAGTCAGCATCACCAACAATCCGGACCCACTGAATAATGTGTGGGATCTTTCAATATATAATGCTGAGTTTCAAAGAAGAAATACAAAATTGGATCCTTTAGATGATGTTTTTAAAATGTTGTGGTAAAACTTGTAGTTAATTAATAGCAGTTTATTTGCTTTTTCTTAACTTTCAGCTTGTAAAACAACTGAAAGCTATCTGTAAATAGTTATTGGAAAAAATTTGTATCATTTTAAAAGATGTAAAGTTGTGTTATTTTAAATGAAAGAGATAGATAAAGGAAAAGACAAAGTGGACAAAAAAATATAAAGGTATGAGTCCCACCTCTTTCTAAGAGTGAAATGACATAATTTGTGTCGTTCGAAAGAAGAAACACTTTTCGATAGTTATATACATCGAATGGATGCAAAAGATGCCTCGTTAAGTAATTAACAACCCATTTAGTTGACTATCTTGTTTAATATAATCTTCGATCCATTTCGCTGAGTAGATAACCGATTGCGTCGTGTTGAAGAATGTATTAGACTAGGCACCATAACATCATTATTAGAGATTCAGAGATATAAAATTAGTATTTGACCTTTAGATAACAGTTTAAACTTACTAAAATGTAAATGAATTTAAAGTTGTAATTTTTTTTTTCTGGTAACAGAATTTAAACTGTGATTTTTGCCATTCTAATTTTTTATAATTAATTTTTCTATCCTTTATAAACTTCCACTCAACAGTTGAACATTTTAGGATGACTGGTTTTTGACAATCGCTATGTTTTGATTTTTAAATACGACAAAAACAACGTTGAATTTCTCTACATATCGAACTTGTTTTCAAAAAATAGAGCTGAGGACAATATTCGAAATTTCAGCAGATTTTTAAAAAGCTAAACAAAGCCCATCTTATATTTTACCCATGTGCCTTTAGAAGTTTGACAACTCATGTAAATCGAGGTTTTTTCTTGTGTATTAGCATACCCGTGCGAATCAAACTGTAGAATGCTACATTCATAACTCATCTTATCTAGAGCTCCTAGCTTTCCTTTCACAATTTAAAGATAAATAAAAAGTTAACACCGATTGGTTTTGGTCATATGATGAAATCCTTGACTTCAATAATACAGCTTGCCGATAAACAAAAATCGTAGGAAGAAAAATGGGAAAAAAGACAAAAATAAAGGTCAGTTGCATTTCATACACTTATAATATGTTAGAAAATAAGTCAACAAGGGAATATAAGGTCTTGTAGGTAGAAAGAAAACATAAATTATAGTATGATTATATTTATAAATTTTTTGTTTATAAATTCTTATAAATTAATTCTACGGGTAGTATATATTACTTGAGCATCTACTACTCATAATATATAGTGTAGTTTGTAAACAAAAATTTTGTAAATATAATTTACCCCTATAAATTATGGCTAAAGTATTTTTGCCTTTACGACAATTTTTTTTTTTTTTGCCACATACATATTTTTATCATGATCCGATGTCAGATCCTATTTTTTTCTTTTTAAAGGATCCATCTGTGGATGCAAATGAATGTGCCTGTGACAGATAAATCTTTCTGCCATAATCCTTATATATGAAAAGTTGAACTCAAAAGATAAAATTATTTCTTACAAATTAAATCAATGTTGTTTTAAGATTTAAAAAAAATTACGATATTTTGTTAATTTAAATTTTTTGTTACAGTAAATTTTTTTCCAAACGGCTGTGTCGAACTTTAAATTATTCCAAAAGAATTAAATTTGTTAGGTGAAGATAGATAAATAAATTTAGGACTAATTAGATATTATGTCTATCTTTTTTCATACTTATTTTATCTATTCTTCTTCGATACTATTAAATCACAATATCAAGAGTAGAGAAAAAGAATGAAGGTCAATTAAGATTATTATTATAGTTAGTTAACTTGGTTAGTTAGTTAACTTGGTTAGTTTTAGTTTAGTTAGATTGTAACTAAAATGTAATTTTATTTCTCCTCTGACGTCAGCTGATGTTGTACATATATATACCTTTCACTGTTTCAGTTAATGGATGATTTCACATTTTTCCAGATTTCCCTTTCTCTCTCATGAGCACTTTCCCTTTTCTTCTCTGGTTCATATGTGTAATATGGTATCAGTTGATAGATTTTTTGTCTTTTCGCTTCTGATTTCTCTGTTTTCTTCATCAATTTGCTTTCCTCTACATAGATCCGTGATTCTTTTGTTGCATGTTACTTTTTCCTTGTGACATATTGCTTTCTATCTGTTCGACTGGAATCATACAACATCTAATCGATGACTTCCTTCGAATCTGAATCAGTCAACCCTAACACAAACGTTGTTCCAGCGTTTAGATCGGAAGCAGATGATCCACATAGTCCGTATTTTCTGCATCACTCCGATAGTCCAGGTTTGGTTCTGGTATCACAAGCGCTCACCGGAGATAACTATGCCTCTTGGAGTCGCGCCATGCTAATCGCTCTATCCGTCAAGAACAAGGTTGGTTTTATAGATGGTTCAATTTCTAAACCGAACCCTAATCATTCTCAACTTCTTCGTTCTTGGATGCGAAACAACAATATTGTCATTTCTTGGATTTTAAATTCTGTGTCCAAAGAAATTTCTGCTAGTATCATATATTCAGACTCTGCTTCAGATATATGGACTGATCTCAAAGATAGGTTTCAACAAAGCAATGGTCCTAGGATTTTTCAGTTGAGAAGAGATCTGACTACTCTTCATCAGGATAATAATTCTGTGAGCGTCTACTTTACTAAACTCAAATCCTTATGGGAAGAATTGAGCAATTTTCGCCCAAGTTGTTCCTGTAATTCCTGTACTTGTGGTGGTGTCCGCAAATTGGGGTCCTATTTTCAAATGGAGTATACTATGGCATTCCTTATGGGTTTAAATGATTCGTTTGCTCAAATCAGAGCTCAAATCCTGCTCAATGACCCTCTTCCTCCCATTAACAAAGTGTTTTCTCTGGTAGTTCAAGAGGAACGACAGCGCCAGATTACTCCTCACTCCATGTCCACTGATGTTCCTTCCAACACACTGGCTTTTGTGGCCAAAACAGATTCTAATTTCAAAGGACCTCGTAGAGATCGTCCCTTTTGCACTCATTGCCAATATCATGGTCATACAATTGAGAAGTGTTACAAGTTACATGGATTTCCTCCAGGATTCAAGCCAAGATCGAAAAATCCATCATACACATCTAAAGCAGCTGTGGCTAATCAGACTTCCTCTCAGATTTCATCTAGTCAACATTCATCCAGTGCTCCTGTTGATAATATTCTTCAGAATCTGGATCACGCAAGCTGCAATCAACTTCTGACATTACTGTGCAATAGAATGGCATCTACTCAACAACTTTCAGACTCTTCTGATAAATCTGTTCATCAAGTTTCTTCAACTGTTCTCAACACAGGTACTTGTCTTTCAGTATCAAGTAATCATGTTTTATCTTCACCCAATGTTTGGGTCGTTGACTCAGGTGCTTCAAGGCACATTTGTGCACATGCTGAAGTTTTCATTTCTCTAAGAACATTACATGGAAGTACTGTTACTTTACCTAATCACAATTCAATTCCGGTTTTTCTCATTGGGGATGTTCAACTCACACCTCAATTGATTCTGAAGGATGTCTTATTTGTGCCTCAATTCAGATTTAATTTACTGTCTGTGAGTGCACTATCTACTGATTCACAACTCATGGTTACGTTTCTGCATGACTCCTTTGTGATTCAGGAGTTGATTACCAAGAAGATGATTGGCAAGGGTAACAAGCTTGAGGGACTCTATGTCCTTGATCTCCATGGACATCATTCCAATTCTTTGAATTCTGTTTTTCTTAACAATGTATCTGCCCAGATTTGGCATCATAGGCTAGGACATTTGTCTAATAAATGTCTTTTACATATGCAAGATAAACTTCACTGTTATGGTTTACATATGAATAATAAAGATCCATGTTACATATGTCCCCTTGCTAAACAACACAAACTTCCATTTGTTTCCAATTATAATTTCTCAAAATCTCCTTTTGATCTTATACATTGTGATACATGGGGACCTTTTCACACTACTTCATATTCAGGCTATCGATATTTCTTAACCTTAGTGGATGATTGCACTAGGTTTACATGGGTTTTCTTGTTGAAAAATAAGTCTGATGTGATTTCTGTTTTGCCAAAAATTTTCAACATGGTACTCACACAATTTGGCAAGAAAATAAAAGTGGTCAGGTCTGATAATGCTCCTGAGTTAGCATTTATTGATTTTTTTAATGCTCAAGGTGTCTTACATCAGCTTGCTTGTGTTGAAAGGCCGCAACAGAATTCCGTGGTGGAAAGAAAACATCAACATATTCTTAATGTTGCTCGAGCTCTTTATTTTCAGTCCAAAGTCCCTCTAGTTTTCTGGTCAGACTGCATATTGACAGCTGTTTTTACAATAAATCGCACTGCATCCTCTTTACTTGGTTACAAATCTCCTTATGAGCTTCTATATGACACAGTGGTGGACTATTCCTTGTTGAGGGTATTTGGTTGCTTAGCCTTTGCATCTACACTTGCAGCACATAGACACAAGTTTCAAGCTAGAGCCCGCAGGTGTGTTTTCTTGGGTTATCCTCCAGGCATGAAAGCATACAAGCTATATGACTTAGATAATCAACAAGTATTTTTCTCCCGTGATGTGATATTTCATGAAGACATATTTCCCTTCCATACAATCAGCAGGTCTGATGTTCAAGTGGACATATTTCCAGATTTAGTCTTACCTTCAAGAGATCTTAGTTTCTCTGTTCCAGCAACTAATTCTGTTCCTCATGAAAGTGCACTGGATTCTGATGCAAGGGGTACTACATCAACTTCTTCTCCAATTAATGAATATGATCCAAATTTACACATTACTTCTTCATCAACAGAGGCTGATCTGGCAGCAAATCCACCCCCACGCAGGTCCAATAGGTTATCAAAACCACCTACTTATCTTCAGGAATATCACTGCAACCTTTTGAGTCATACAGAGGTTCCTGCTTCAAGAGCTAAGCATCCTATTTCTTCTGTACTTTCTTATGCAGCATTGTCTCCCACTCATAGAAATTTTTCTCTTAATGTTTCTTCACATTTTGAACCTCAGTTCTATCATCAAGCAGTTAGCTCTCCACAATGGCGTGATGCCATGGCAGCTGAGTTACAGGCCATGGAAGCTAATCACACATGGACTATAGTTCCTTTGCCTCCAGGAAAACATTCTATTGGTTGTCGTTGGATTTATAAGATTAAATTCAACTCTGATGGTTCCATTGAAAGATACAAAGCTCGTCTTGTAGCAAAGGGCTACACTCAATAAGAGGGAGTGGACTTTATTGAAACATTTTCTCCTGTAGCTAAATTTGTTACTGTTAAAACTCTTTTAGCAATTGCTTCTATTCAGCATTGGACAATTCATCAATTAGATGTCAATAATGCATTTTTGAATTGTGACCTTTTTAAAGAAGTCTATATGGATGTACCTCTTGGGTACAACCTTCAGGGGGAGCATTATCCAAAGGGGACTAAGTCTGTTTGTCGATTGTATAAGGTTATCTATGGATTAAAACAAGCCTCAAGACAGTGGAATTCTAAGTTCACAAGTGTTCTTTTGCAACATGGTTTTGCTCAGTCCAAATCTGACTATTCCTTATTCACTAAAGGTGCTGGTTCTTCCTTTGTGGCATTGTTGGTCTATGTAGATGATATCATAATTACAGGACCTGATCCTGCAGTGGTTACTTCCTTGAAATCATTTCTGCATACCCATTTCAAACTCAAAGATTTGGGAAACTTGAAATATTTTTTAGGACTTGAAATTGCTCGTGCACAGAAAGGTATCTTTCTTTCTCAAAGGCATTATACATTGCAACTTCTTGAAGATACTGGTTTTCTGGCTTGTAAACCAGCATCTGTCCCTATGGATCCTCGTCTTCAATTAAATGCAAAGGATGGAGAACTACTCACAGATCCATCTCAATTTCGCAGACTTATAGGTAGGCTTCTCTACCTCACTCTTTCTAGGCCTGATATCACTTTTGCCGTACACAAGTTGAGTCAATTTATGTCTCAACCTCGCACCACTCATCTGCAAGCTGCTCATCATTTATTGAGGTACCTCAAAGGCAGACCTGGGCAAGGGGTCTTATTTTCTTCTTCATCTTCTATGCAACTTAAGGCTTTTAGTGATGCTGATTGGGGTGGATGCCCAGATTCCAGGAAGTCTGTGACAGGCTTCTGCATCTTTCTTGGAGATTCTATGATTTCTTGGAAAGCTAAAAAGCAAACCACTGTTTCAAGGTCATCAGCAGAGGCTGAATATAGAGCCTTGGCTGCTACTGCTGCAGAATTGTGTTGGCTAGCTCAACTGTTACAAGAAATAGGATTCAAACTGAATTCTCCAGCTGCACTCTTTTGTGATAATCAAGCAGCTGTCCATATTGCTTCCAATCCCACTTTTCACGAGCGCACCAAACACATTGAAATAGATTGTCATTTTGTACGTGACCAAGTTGCTTCTGGTATTATCAAGCTGCTGCCCATTAGATCTCATCTTCAACTTGCTGACATTTTTACTAAATCTCTGCCTTCCTCTTCTTTGTTTCCTTTGTTATCCAAGATGGGAGTGTTAGATATCTACTCTCCATCTTGAGGGGGAGTATTATAGTTAGTTAACTTGGTTAGTTAGTTAACTTGGTTAGTTTTAGTTTAGTTAGATTGTAACTAAAATGTAATTTTATTTCTCCTCTGACGTCAGCTGATGTTGTACATATGTGTAATGGATGATTTCACATTTTTCCAGATTTCCCTTTCTCTCTCATGAGCACTTTCCCTTTTCTTCTCTGGTTCATATGTGTAATAATTATAATTTAATAATATTTGAGAGAAGTAGATAAAGTATATATGAAAAAAAAAACATTATATCGTATTATGTAAATTTATAGTATATCTTTAATATGGAGGAATGATTGGTTTATAATTTTTTTTTTATAAATTATTCTAAGTATGACCAGTCATACACTCTTGAATGAAGTATGACCGGTCATATTTAGTATAGTTTGTAAATAAAAAGTTTGTAAATATAATATTTCTCATCTTTGACGGTGTTTTTATATTTTATAAAGTTTGAATTAAATATGAAAAAACGAAGTGCAATGCATGTGCTTTGAATTTTGAACAAAATAAATAAGTAGTATAATATTATAGTAGAGTAGAGTACGTCACACATATTTAATGTTTAGAATGTCACATCATGCTAACATATGGGACCAACGACTGTTTTAGACGTATTAATAAAGTAGTAGCTTTAGCAAGGTTATGTTATGAAGGGACTCATGCACGAGCATTACCGATTACCCCGCTTATTCTCTGCAACCAAACTACGTACATTCTGAAGAGATATTCGTCGAGCAAATAATTCGCGACTTGCCAATATAAAATCATGTTTATGTTTTTGTTCCCTAAATCGGCCAAACATGGTGGTTTTTTAATTAAGCAGATAGCGTTGTGCTTTTGGGTTCACTATTCAATTAATGCAGATGATGCTCATGCTCTGTAAAGGGGAAAATATAGTCATCGGTGAACACCATCAACGTTTCAGTTTTGCAGAAACTGTTATCTCGTGTTTCACTTGAATAAAATGCAAGTGCTAATAGTGTTCTTTTGTTACTTTTTGTTGCTTTATCTTTTGCCGTAACAAATATTTATTGGTCTTCTGATCAATAATAGACTTTAGAAATCCTTTTCTTTTATTTTATTTTTTTTTTTTTTGGGGGGGGGGGGGGGGGGGGGGGGGGGGGAAGACTTTGAATCAGTCAAATGAGGACATCTAATTAAGTTAATAAACTCATTTTTTTTTCTTTTAAATCTAGGGATGTCATAATAGCTATTTTCCGATTTAAATTTTATTCAAGTGTATTATTATCGAGTACATGTGCATTTATATAATATTTAATTAACTGTATACAATATAGGTTAGTAACAATGTAGGCATCAATAAATAAGAATATCCTAATAGCTCTAAATTCTTGTGTTGTGAGTACACGGGACAACGCATTTTCTGAATGTAGACATCAAAAGATGTTTATTTGACACCCTAAATTATCAGAAAGTTTGAAACCTGGTATCGCACTATCTAGTAATTTCACTATCATAAGTCTTGTTTATTGTTTCTTTTGTTTAAAGCGTTGCGCATTATGGTTCAGAAACTATGAATTTTGTTAACACGATAACAAGTTGAACTAATATTAGACATATATGGAAGCAATAATGAACCTCTGGTAAAGCATTGCAGAACAAAAACTTGTATTATTGTTTATAATGCGCAAAGCGCATATATTTTTCCTCCATATTTAGTACTTATTCAATTACTACTACTTTTTTTTGTAAATTAATAGACTTTGAATTATTGCTCATCTCGATGATCAAACAAAATAAATCATGTCATTATTGTTCGCTCCTAACAAAAAAGAACTCGGGGAAAGTTCATATGAACACAAAACTTGCTCTACAAAGTAGTTTTCCTCCACTATAATTGTTGCTAGCCTTGCAATGATTTTGTCGAGCACAAAACTTTATTCTTACGCATGATTGAATATTCCAGAGGGAAATAAGGAACAATAAACCTGCCAATAAAGGCGATAGCACCATACTCAATGTGAAGTTCACAACCATTGACTAAGTGGTAGGTCCATTTCAATTGATTGGTTACATCTTTACTTTTGAGATTTCAATTTGTCATATACTAAGAAGCTTTTTTCTTATCTACTAAAAAAAAAAAAGCTTTTTTCTTTTGTTTTCCAACTTTTTTTTTTTTTTTTTTCCTGTCTGCAGCAGGGGAAAGCGAGTTAAGTAATTGTGTTGCACTAATTCTCTGATTCCTCGTAAAATTACAACCTATGTTTCAAACTGTGCTCATAATTAATATGTAAGCACTCTCTAGAAGTCTATGTAATCATATAGTCGAGAAGTGTTGTTGCACCTAAATTTGGCTTAAAGTCGAATGTGCTTGTTTTTGGAATTTTAGGTTTTTTTTTTTAATTTTTTATTTTCAGTGATAATATAGTAATTTTTTAATTTTAATTTTAATTATGTTTTAAGATTATTTGATACGTGTTTTAATCTCCCAATAATCAGACAAGCCAAAAATGTTGAAGGCTTTGTTCCATCCCACATTGTGGAGTTGGTACCTTGCTTAGTTCTCGCATAGCCAGGGTGGCTGCATGTTGTTTGAACAGTTGCAACTTGCAACCAAAGGGTTAATTAGTGCTTACCATATTTTTTTATGGTTGGCTTATATTTGGAGGCTGAATCTATGTGTGTAGTCAACGATCTGTTGCACCTTTTATTCTTTATCTTCGTATCCTCAACTGTGATATCTTTTCCAATTTCTGTTACTAGCTTTAATATTCAAAGTATAATTTAGCCGTCTAATGACTTTTGATATCAAAAGTTAAAATAGACATATATTACCATTTACCTCTATATTAAGATCTTGATTTAAATGACTATAAGTCTAGGAGTAATTGGATTGGCATTAACCAATTAAAGGATCATTGTGCTTTGGAATACTAACGAAATATCATGATAGTTAACACACAAAAATATGTCTCTTGGAGTGTTGATGCACAAAGAATTCATTTTCCAGTGTAGTTCTTCCTTACAACAGCATTTCGTAAAAATTGGTTACTGGATATTAAAAAAATCTTCGAGACTGTTCTCAAACAAGAAAGGATGAGTGATGTGTGAACACTCGGAATTCTTGTACTTTTTTCATATACTAAAGTCCAAAGAACTTTTTAATCAAAGCACAAATCCCAATAGGAAGAATATAATATGTGTTGTTAATATAAGGCTTAAATATATTTTTGGCTCTATCCATAACCTTTTCAATTTTGACCATTCATTTTCAATTCGAACAATGAAAAAAGTTTTAAATGTATTCTTTTTATGCACAATCGTTTTCAAAAAAATTTCACAATTTTATTGCCGTTTTGACACTGTAAGATTGATATAAAATTATTGTGACGAAAAGGAATTAAAAGGAACCATGTCATGGAAGTAAATTTTAACTGAGATGCGACAAAGCAAAAGTGTTAAAATAGAGAATGAGATAAAAATAACCTTGAACCATTAATATCCTATTACATGGCATGATCAAATTAAATAACATATGAAATGATCCATTTTCAAATTAAAAATATGTATTTTTCGCTATACATATTACATAACACTCATTTTTAATTTGATTTTTACATTTCACTATTATATAACTGTAATAACTAGTATTATAACAATATAGGGCGCAAAAGATTAAATTGGAAAATGTTTTATATATAGAAATTAAATTAATTTTTTTTTATATAAAGACTAAATTAAGAATGAATATAGTGTAATAAATAAATACATAATATAATCATAGCTAATAAAGTAACAAGTTTTCATTGTCCCTTTTTTGCTCTAAAAAAATTACACAAAAATATTATTCAACGCTACCGGTTAAGCGCTGGTAGCATAGCACGATTGAAATCGTAAAGGCCAGATATTCACCACAATGTTTTCAGTTTCATGTACTTGCTGAAAGGTTCCCCCCCCCCCCCCCAAAAGCAGCTGCTCACTCATTAACGGTGGAAGTCCAGGTTCTATTTGTGGATGGACATCTACCGTAAATAATTAATTCAATTCGGAAAATTAAGTAGTTTTATATTATGAAGTATCGACACTTCAAAAATCCTGACGTGTTGTGTCTGACACTTCCCGACCTTCTCCGACACTCCAACACACATTATAGAAATTAAAAAAAAAAGTTAAAGGTTGTGTTGCGTTGAATTTTTAGTTCCAACTATTAGATTTGTTGGATTACGATTACTATTTTATTGAGTTTAATATAAATATTTGGGATACCTTATGTTTTTTTTGCAAAATTGATGAATATTATAAGTTTAATTTCATTTTTTTGTTAAATTATTGAATATTAAATATAATATACACTACATAAATTAAAAATATTATTTAATATCAAAACGTGTCCTAACGTGTCAAAATCTAATATTTTTTAAGCTTAACGTGTCGGAGTGTCATGTCGTATTGTGTCACGTGTCCCGTGTCAGTATCGGTGCTACATAAATTTTATATTTCTCAAATACATTACCTTTATTCATACATACGAGAGAGTTTATTATGCTTAAAAATGAATAATATATGCGTTCATTTATATATTTAATTATTTATTAATAAAATAATTTCAGAAGTATAAAACTCATTTTCACTTAATTCTTTATTCTAACATCATATAAACAATCAATTCAATTTAAACTCTTAAGTGTAAGCCATGTTAATAATTATATATTTCGAGCGACAAGCAAAAGAGAATTTTTTATTTTTTTTACCTTTCCGAGTGTTTAATGATCAGCGATTAGATTGGCCAACAATTTTCGAACCAAAATGCCAGTCTGAATGGATCGAGTTCGGCCTCAGAACATGTGATAAACCTGTTATGGGTAATTCATCATTAGGACTTGAATGCTTTAGCAAGGCTGTGTGTGGCTTAAATTGCACGTAAAAGTTAAAACTAAAGGGAAAGGCACCACTTAAATGATTAAGGTGGCGAAAGCGAACTCACAATTAGATGCAGCCACAAAATTATTCCTTTCTTGGTCATGGGTAATGCCGATTTGGGAGGCCTATAGCAAGTCCAGTACCAGTACCCTTTCCAAATCCAGTGTTTTGATTTGAATCATCAATGACAGTAGGTCTTGGCCTCTTTCGTGTGGATGCACCTCCACTTCGAACCACCAAACAGAAACATTTGCCTACAACTGCACAACAAGCTCATCGAAGCATAAGTTGCTGTTGACCAAATCCCACTTCTTCCTAACATTGATTGTCCGTATCTGTTTCTTGTGCTCCACAACCCCAACGTTACAAGCAAAGATTGACTTGATCCAATCACTCATGCCCATACCCACAATGTTATCCATTTGATAGGCAGGGTGATGGTGTTTGTACGTAGACCAATACATTGAACCTAGCCAATTGTATTATTAGATGTATGCTGGCATATATTGACTTCCAGTATGTTCGGTGTTGCATATTACCAATTAAGGTCACATGTTCAATATATATATATATATATATATATATATATATATATATATATATAATGTGTTATCTTAAAGATTCAACAACTATTTCTTGACCCCATGGGAACTGTTTATGCTTCTTCGTAAAAAACGTACTTACTGCAAATGAAATAAGCACCATTTACTGTTCAAGATTCCATTGATCATGACGAGTGGAGCTGAAAAGTGTCAACCTCATAAAATTAGATATTTTATTTTTTTGTGGCAATAGCTGAATCAACAAAAATCCAGCCTTTGGAGATATTAGTTTTTTAATGTTTCAAATTCCAAGCAGGTATGTTAATTAATTACCAAAAAAAATAAAATCAATGTGGATTGCAACCCAAAAAGAAAAAAAAAAAAAAAAAAGGAAGAGAGAGAGAGAGAGAGAGAGAAGGGGGGGGGGGGGGGGGGGGGGGGGGGGGGTTGGGGTTTTTACAAATTTAATTTTTCTTGATTTCATTTAATCACACAGGTCAAAATTCCTCATTTTATGGAGTGCGCACTGCGTGGAGAAATCACAGATTAATCTGTAGTCTTTACCACCACTCGGTTAGTTGCTCCACTGCAATGAACTCCATTCACTTTGCTACGTTATAAACAAAGTATTTTCATTTTTGAGGTAATGTTTCGAAGACACCTACACCTAACATTTTTTGTTCCAGATATAGTAATATGCATGGCTGCTACATGTTGTTTAGACGTTGTAATTAATTGGAGGCTTCTCACTTCAGTCTAAAAGCCTTAACAAGCCATGAATGGCTCTTCAAAAACGTATTGATGATAATAAAAGTGGGTATGCCAGAAAACAGTGAGAGAGATATCAAATTAATTAATACATGCTTTAAAAAGTAACAGTCGCACATCCAACTTAATGCTCGCCATATTTTTTTAATAGTTGGCAATGAGGTTGAGCTTGATGATATGTGTGAGTATTCTCGTTCCTTCACACTGATATTGCCAAGTCCTATATTAAAAACTAGTTGGGGTCGGAATTAAATGTTGATCCATATATATATATATATATATATATATATATATATATATGTATATGTATATGCACGGACAGTTAAGCCTCACAGGATTCCATCTCCTCCATTAAAAAAGGATTAATAATTTTGTTTACAAAAAAAAGAAAAGAAGAAGGATTAATAGGGTTTGTCCATTACATAGATAGTCAGACAGATAGCAGGTAACAAACATCCACGCACCACACACAATATAAAGAAGTGTGAGAAAACAAGAAAGATGGCAGTTGATCAGGCTGAATATATACTTAATCAAGCAAACCACAACTGAATCGACCATCTGAGAGAGACAGCTTCTCCGCTTTTGTTACCGCATCTAGAGGGAGAGGGCTAAAGCTTCGAGATGGCCCATAAAAATGAGGGAAGCTATTTGATCCATCCACAATTTCATACACCAAACCATCGCCAAGCTGAGGTGATATTGTAGCGAAAGACAAAATATTACTATTAGCAAGACAATATCCTGGCCTCATAATAAGAAGCTATACTGGTGCAAGCTACTATATCAGTTCAGAGCTCAACACACAAGAATAAAACCCTGCACCTGCATTTTAGCCTCTTCATTCATCTTGAAGTAATTGGTTGCTTGGCAGTTATTACTGCTAAATATAACTGTGAAAGCCTTAATTCGGTTGCATATTTGATTCTATCTGATTGAATTAATGAAAGTAATTTCAGTGCAGACATTTTAGATTCATTCTCCAAAAGCCTTAATTCTCAAAGAATGGCAATCAGGACCAGGTCCTAGTAACAACCAACGCCATTAAATTGCTATGGAATTAGTAACAGTTATCTCTTCCTAGTCCTACTTACACAAGGCTTCGTTTTTAAATATTTATATACACATGAAATGAAATCTCTAAGACCAGCAAGTAGTTTCCTTATCGAGGAAAAAACATAGTGAAGTATGTGCGAACCTTTTTAGCATCAATCTGAAGCAGGTAGAGTTCCTCCTTGCAGTTCAAGTAAAATTTTTCAAGCGTTGACCGAACCTGCAATGTTATTGTATCATAACTCGTATTTCAGCAACGGCATTCAAAATTCGGAAATGATTGTAGAAGTTCAGAACCTCAAAGAAGCATGCGACTTCCATAAATCACCAAATCAATTGGCATGTTATATCCGGTTCCTATAATCCTATTACCATCAGCAAACAGCTGAACCACTAACATCAACAACAACAACAACAAAAAATCAAATTAACCTGGTCGTGCTTGCTGAGATGGATGAAAGCAGAAGACTTGTCAAGGTCCCCGCCGAAAGTGGATCCATTAGTTTGCAACTCCTCCCACTCCTTCCCTGTACTGATTCTGTACACGAAATCGCTCATCTTCAACAACACCCTCAATCCAAATCGGTAACCGTCACTGTCATTTCATTACATTTACTTGTCAAAACGGGCCCGGCCCGTTTTACACCTTGAAAAATAAAATGAATTTCTATTGGGCCTTGTGGAACCCAATACAAGGCCTGGCCCATTTATTACATTACGGATTCCACGTGTCTTATCATTTTTCTCAGCAAGATCCAGGTGTCTGATCAGGGACAGGTGTCTTTTTACCTGTGACTTGCAGTACTGGTTACGTATAACAGAGTTGCAACTTTCAACATATGTCCTTCATTTTTTTAAAATTAATGTTAGGGTTTTGCAAAATTGCCCCTGAATTCATATCCCTGAGGCAGAACCCTTCTCTTCAAATTTTTTTTGATGATTGTTCCATATCTATATCTGAAGGAGATTTGTAGAAATTGTAGGTTGATGCAATGTGAAGCATCAGAGAGCAAAGTGAAGGATCTGAATGAAAATTCGAACCCGATAGGAGAGAGAAGAGTGAGGAAGTGAAAGAGAGAGAGAACGGAGAGAAACTGAACTGAATCCGAAACCTGTATTTCCAATCTGAATAGTTTGTATAAGTTAGGCTAAGATCTATGTGATCTGAACTGAAACTGAACTGAATCTAAAAAAAAATCTGTTGGAGGCAGTTATAACTGATATAACAGCTATTACAGCTGTTACAGGGTTGTTAGAATCTGTTTGCGAACAGACTTACCTGATCCCTGAATAAGCATGGACTACCCTAGTTCTAGTAGCTGATCTAACTCAGTGAACTGTATTTAACACGATGAACAAGGCTGAAACGAGAAACAGAGATGGATCGAGTGGCAAGGACTAAACATTAAAAAATGAAAACTCGAGGTTCAAAAACAAATATTAACATTTTACCCGAAAAATAAAGGAAAAATAAAATAAAATAACTGATATTTCTTGGCTGGAGAACGTTATAAAGCCTCCAGGGGTTAACTCTGTGCTTGTAAGTGTGTACTGTGGGTTATTCAGTGGAGAAGTGATGGCAGCGATCGCGAGAACGCACCTGTTCAGTGTTGCGAGTTTTCAGCTCAAAGAAGCGGAAATGCCTTTTGCAGGTTCCCGCGCAATCCACAAGCTTCTCGGTGATTGTCCTCATCGCAATATTGCTTTTAGATGCAAAGGAAATGCTATGATTCTTCCCAAAATCAGAGCCCAGAATACTCCTGGTGAGAATGCCTACTTCATATTCACTAATTCTCGAATTGTGTTTCCTAAATTTGTTGGTTGCTACTTGCTTCCTCCCAGACTATGTTCCAGATTCCAACTTTTACAAAGTGGAAGCGATTCTCAGGTTACAACCCTTTTCTTTTATGGCCGGGGGGAAGTTTACTGTGTAATCAGTTGAAATGAGTTTTTCTAGCTTCCTATTGATATCTTCGCTGCTTTTATGCTGTTAACTTTCTTATGGAACAGGCCCTGGCGAATCCCTCAGGTTTCTTCGGTAAGACATGACCTTTTCATTAGTATTTTTTGTTTTTGTTTTTTGGTATGTAAAATGCGAGACGAATCTTGTTTATTTCATTGGATTGGATGCATTGTCACAATATCGACGCATATTAAAACCAATGCTTTCTTAAAGTTGAGCTAAGCAGTAGTGTTCCAGCAGTTGGTAATTGATTCAAGTTCAAGGTTGCTTGTTAGTTGATGTTACTACTAATGATTTTTTGCCAAAAGAAACGAAAATACAGCTTTGATTTCTCACTGAGTACCTAAAATTATGGTGCCATCTTCTTTGGGATGAGAGTCGTGGCGTTTCATTAGTAGGTTACTTGCTTATGACCTAATTGCCAGATGCTAGAGAAAGGCAACTACATTCACCTCTTTAAAATAATTGGTTTGGCCAGTATTGCTCTTATTCTTTTCATATTGGTTGGCCTTGTGCTATCGGATTTACTAATCTTATTGACTGGTGTTGGTACTAAATTTTGTTTTTCTTAATTTGAAGGCTTTGTTGAAAATGGGAATTCGTGGTGTCACTGTATCTGATGTCAGGGGCTTTGGTTCTCAGGGTGGTTCAAAAGAGAGGCAGGGAGGTAAGTCCAACGCTGACCAGAAGAAGTTTAAAACTGAAGATATTTTTAGGTTTTAGTTATATAGATACTTTATGCATATGGGTCACATGCTCATGTACATTATTATCTTCTATTAATAGTTTATTCTTCACAGGGTCTGAATTTTCTGAAGACAATTTTGTCGCCAAAGTTAAGATGGAAATAGTGGTGGCAAAGGACCAGGTATGTAGATATTTGGTAGTAATTTCAGTGGCATGCCGACACTGTAACTGATCATGTACTTTTTGTGTTAATGTAATATCGTAAGGTGGGGAAAGAAAGAGTTCTCAGATCCTGTCAGCACGCCCTTAATCTCTATAAAAGCCTTTTCTTAGTGAAAATCAACAAAGCCTGTTGTTAATTGTTAAACGCTTTCCTTCATGCTTTACTTTTTATGCCTTAGACTTTCTAAAACTTCATTTCTAAAAAGCTTAATATTATTAGAAATAAATATAATAATGTCCATATCCCTTGGATCTGATGTTCCAAAGTTTTCATGGGTTTTAAATCCATTGTCTATGGATTGGGATCTTCTCAAGTTTCATCACCATACCTATTGGACGGAGAAAAGCTTCTAATTTTTTTTTAATGGATATGATAATTCCATTACCATTGGGTCTACTTTGTTCTGTCACTCTTACATTCTTACAGAACTGTTCATTCTCTGCAAGTGTTTGGATTTTAAAAAGATTAAAGAAACAGAAAATTTCCTTGTGGCGGCAATGGATATGGTAGGAGAAGTTGCAAAAAGCACTCTTGGTGGGGTTTGAAGTTTTGTCATATTAATGATTTTGGGATATCCCTGAAATGAAATTTCAGCCTACGTTAAGGGCAAAAAATAATGTTAATTTCTGCAGCATCTCTGATGCATGTCACACACTTTTGTAGGTTGAAGCAGTGATAGACAAAATTATTGAGGAGGCAAGGACTGGGGAGATTGGTGATGGCAAAATTTTCTGTAAGGCCTAAACCTACTTTATCTGAATTATACATTGTGGTCTATTAGACTTATATTTTGTATATAAATTTACATCTTTATTTTTATTTTATTTTTTTCTACTTTCACATAATGTAATGCCACCTAATAGGTTGTTATAAATTATAACCGTTTTGCTTATTAATAGATATATAGGTGTATTTCATTTGTACAAAACCTGTGCGTGAGAGTGTGATTGAATGAATTCTGTTATTCAATTTTTCTTATGTTTCTACCTTCTAACATGGTCCATTTGCATCTTTCTTTATTTTGTATGTATTTGGATCATTATGTTATGTGCTATTCTAGGGATATTAATCTGTCATTTTTAGTCAGTTATGTTTTCTCTCTCGTACGGCTAGCATTCTTCTTGGCGTCCAGGGAGAACAGATTATCTTGAGTCGAAATGTAGAGCTAAATAACTAATTCCATTTTCAATAATGATTTGTAATTTCTTCTTGCAGATAGGCAGGAATAAAAAAGCTTTTCAACAGAAAGAAAAAATTAAAATGAATTGTGCAGTTTGACATAACCAAGAAATGTTTATTTTTTTTTGGATTACAATGGGAATCGAACACTGTACACACTACACACACTCCACATCACTAGGCTAACCCTAGTGGTTACATATCCAAGAAAGTTATGAATTTTGTTTTCAAGGCAAATAATTTTAATCTTTCTTTCTGGTTATTGTGAAAATCCTTCTTCCAGATGGAAAACACTACCCGATGCGAGATGATACTGTTTGGAGTATACAATCCAGAAAATGCTTGTTTCCTCAAATGGCCTTCAGAGTTACATAGGACTAGAAACTTCTTAATATATTCTCAGCTTTCACTTTTAATCCTCTATGCTGCACTCATCAGAATCTTTAATTTATTAGATTGCCTAGAAACTTGGAATGTTCAAAACCTAAGTACCTGGATCTTGATGCACATTTCCTGTATCATGTCTCTACTAACTTGCCTAAGTTATCGTGATGGAAGACTTTGATGGAATAAGAATTAAACTGCAATTTCTAGATTCAACGAGTAAATATGATGGCCTCAATTCAGAATCATATTTCTAATAGATTTTATATTGTGCAGTGATCCCTGTTTCTGATGTTATAAGAGTTCGCACAGGTAACCATTTGCTTCCTCGAATTGTGAAAATTTATATTAAAAATAAATTGATACAAAAAATTATAATTTTTTGTAATCAAGTTATCTACACAAGTTTTGAATATTAATTTTTCAGGTGAGCGTGGGGAACAGGCAGAGAGGATGACTGGGGGGCGAACTGACATTTTATCTGCTGTATGATTGGTTGGAACAAAAAGATCAGCATTTGTCATCCTCTTATTACCATCTTTTACGTCCCCATTCTCCTCTTCCGTTGTGAATCGATCACAGTGATATATGCTTTATGTGTTTTGCACTTTGCTGTCAGAAATGTATGACAGCAGTATTGATAGGATAGTGTTGTGTAGCTGTTGTGAATGATGAAAAAATAGGACCAAATCGAACCTACCAGTTCAACTTGAAAACTGGTCAAGTCTGGTTCATTCAACTCAGAAAATCGAATGAACGAAGAACTGATGGAAAATCAGTCTAATCATAACTCTGTGAGAACTTATTTTTTTAATTTTTAATTTTTTTAATTCCACCAAAAACATTTTTAAACTAAATAAAAGCCTAATGGTAAGTTTCAAAGGTCCATAAATAAAAGAAAGAGAGTAGTCATTTGAAATTCCTCTTTGCGATTCAGTTTTATAAGAAGCTAACAAACAAAATGTGTAGATTTTTCTGTGATTACCTCGCTAGATAAATGATAAAAATAAAAATAGTTATGTGATAAAATTAAGAGCTTTACATCTCTCATCTAACATGAGGTTAGAAAATTTCCTACACACACATAATTTTAATGGATCTTACCATAAACAAAAAACAAAAAATAAAAAAATATTGCACGCAAAACGAACTCTCACTAACATGAGAAAACAACTCTCCTATTAAACGAGAAACTATTTTCCGTAAAATTAATGATTTTTTAAATTTGGTTATTGTCTCACAATATTTTGAAATTTTTAATTATTTTGATTATTAGTCTCAAATAATAAATTTTCTATTTTAGTATTTTTTTTAAATAAACAATTTATACATTATCTTCACATGATTTAACTCATTTTTATTTTTCATACTTCAATTTTATTTTCTGTCATATCTAGTCGTGATAATTTGCAAACAAAATCACATAAGAAACCTTTACTATGGGAGAGAAAATACATAATTATACTTTTCATCATAATTTAAGAATTATGTATTATAAATTAATTTTATACGAGAAAGGTTGTAGTTACTGCTTTTTTGTTATTATATCTTGTTATTAAATTTTAACCGTTGATTTTTGTTAATCTAATAGTTATAATTTATTGAAAATTAATAATTAATTAATATGTATGACATAATTAATTATAACTGTTAGATTGACGAAAATCAACAGTTAAGATTTAGTAGTAAAAGGTAGTAAAAAAAGATGTTGTAACTATAACTTCCCTATTTTATATATAAAAAAAGAGGAGGGTTACGTTTATAACTTTTTTTTGTTTACAACTCTTGCAACCTCAACTATGTTCTCCCGGTTGTTGTTCTCTCGGGAGAACATGTTGTAAGAGTTGTAAACAAAAAAAAATTATAAACGTAATATGTCCCTAAAAAATAGATAGATTTTTTTTTTTTCTTACTTTTGCCTACCATCTTCTAATACCGTTATATTAAAATCTTAATAAAAGAGAAAAAGATAAATGTTAGTGAAAATTCTGATCTAATATTATTTTAGAGTAGTAAACAAAAATAGACAGAAAAAAGAAGGTAAAATAACCTATATTAAAAAGAAATATCTAAAAACACCAAAGACGTTATGACGGCGAAAGGCGAAATTGGGTGCGTGTGGTATGTGGTGTTGTACAAATCTGCGAAACGGACACTCTAAACACCAAAACCAAACAGAAGGAGGAGAAGAGAGAAGAGATCTCATCTCCATATCGCACACAGAAATTACTTTCTTTCTCAAATCTCGAAGGCAAGTCCTTCTCTATTCTCCTTCCTTCATCATCTTTGGAATGCTTATCTTCTCTATCTCTGTTTCATTTCTATTCATTTTTTTTTCTTTCTCCATCCCGATTTCCCTGATCTGAATTGTAATTTACGATTTAGTTTTGGCCTTGCTTGATCTGTGTTCCGTTTCTTCAGATATTGATTTCAACCTCCATTCTCTCTCGCTTTTTTTTCAATTTGATATAATTTTTTTACATTGAAATTAGGGTAAAAGGCACTGATGTTTGTGTTACGGATTGATTCAGAATAGTTAAAAATGGGTCTGTCGTTTACGAAGCTATTCAGCCGGTTGTTTGCCAAGAGGGAGATGCGTATTCTTATGGTGGGCCTCGATGCAGCCGGTAAGACCACCATTCTTTACAAGCTCAAGCTTGGAGAGATTGTTACCACCATTCCCACCATTGGTAAGTTTCATTATTTTATTTTTTTCATATCTCTCTTAAACAATAAAACGAGTGCAATTTTTTGCTAATATATTTCATTTCGTGTAGGGTTTAATGTGGAAACTGTGGAATATAAGAACATTAGCTTCACTGTCTGGGATGTTGGTGGCCAGGACAAGGTTTCTCTTTTCTTTTTTTCTACTTTTTTTTTTGTTTTTTCATGTCTGTTGCTTGGATTCAATACCGTTGCTAGATTCATCCTCTTACCAATGCAGATTGGCTTTTATCTTTAGCCTCTTGCTATTTATTTTTATCTCTGAACTGAATTTTTTTTATTGAAATGTTTTTTCCTTCTAGATCCGTCCTTTGTGGAGACATTACTTCCAAAATACACAAGGACTTATTTTTGTGGTTGATAGCAATGACCGAGATCGTGTTGTTGAAGCTAGAGATGAGCTGCACAGGATGTTGAATGAGGTAATCCTCAAATCAATGAATGAATATATGATAATTTGGCTTATTTTAGATGAATTAATTTTTCCTAGCTTAATTTTGTGATTGTTTATGTATTTTATAATCATGTCAGGATGAGTTGAGAGATGCTGTTCTTCTAGTTTTCGCAAACAAGCAAGATCTTCCAAATGCTATGAATGCAGCTGAAATTACTGATAAGCTTGGTCTTCATTCGCTGCGTCAGCGTCACTGGTAATCTAAACTATTGCTTGCTGTCAAACAGTTTGGTTCTCTCCTTAATCTCCTGTCTCACTGCTTCCACCCGAACACATTGTCATATCTACATGTTCTTCTCGTGCAGGTATATCCAGAGCACATGTGCCACATCTGGTGAAGGACTTTATGAAGGACTTGATTGGCTCTCAAACAACATTGCAAACAAGGTTTAATACAGAATAATTATTTTCAGGGACTCGGCAATTTAAATTACTGGCTGACAGATTTCACGTGTAGGCGTTTAACTTTTTTCTTTTCTTTTCTAATTTGTGAGTGCAGGCGTAATGATTATAGTTATGGGTTGCACGAAGTTCAGTTGAGTTTACCGTCAGATGTTTGATGTGGTTACCTTACCCTGGTTAGAATTTTATCTGCTCTAGCATGTATTATTTTTCTTAAAAGAACAGACGGCTACTACCTAGTTTCAAAATAATTTGCCATTTTTTTTTTCCGTGTATAACCAAAGAGAATCTTATTACAGAATTTCATTAAATCATTCAAAGCTTTTTACATTTATACATAATATATTAACTATTAAATAAACAACCGTGTATTCAACAAAGCGATAGCAGTATGGAACGTTTGATGACCATGAACATCTTTTATTCTTCCAACTTCGGATCATGATTATCTGCATTCATACTCAAATGCGACCTTCTCTTATAAGAATGAGAATTTTCACTTGTTTTTGGAATGAAAATTTGGACAAATGTAAGAGATTAATGGCATCCGTATCCCCTAACAAAATCAATCTCGGACTACACTCTTTGTTGAGCCTTTTTTTTGTCTTTTTAAGTGGGGGCCACAAAAAAAAAAATGAAAACTACAACGAAATGTCTGAGCAAGAGGTAACTATATTCAAAAGATTAGATACTAAAAGCTGATGAATCTAATGGGGCAAGATGTCAGTCATAACTCTGGAAGCCTCCAGTGGTGTTGAAAGCTTGATTTGTTATCCAGTCAGCACAACGATTGGCCTGACGAGGAATGAAAGAAAGACGGACCTGCCAATCTTTCTCAAACCAGTGCGTACTGCTCGTTACCTTACTGCTCCGTCGTAGTTGAGCTTGGTCCAATGTATGTTAGGACATTTCCACTGTTCCACAGAGAAATTGTTGATAGGTGCCTCGTTAGCACTCCCCTTCGACAGAACGTTGCAAAACAAAAGTTGTACGGAAAGTTCTGATATAGTAATATGGTTAAGAATAATTTGGTTGGGATGGCCTAGATAGGAGAACTGAATGTCATGAACACCACTATCCCGAGTTCCATAGACACCAGCAACTAACAAAAGATATCCTTCTAGTTCAAATTAAACTGGCCTAATTGTTGAGTAAAGTTTATATCAAACCAATACTCTAGTAGGTTGTGTTATCAAAAAAAAAAAAAAAATACTCTAGTAGGTTGAGTAAAACTACGTCTTTGCTGTGCTTTTGAGCCAACTATCCCACACTATTCTGGCTTTGGGGCGATTCCTCATAACATGTAAACTGTTCTCTTGGAAACCTGAACAGTGATGACAGTGACCACTTCCGTGAGACCAGCTCGTCGTCCTATCCTTTATAGACAATCTGCCATGCCTAGCTACCCACAAGAAACACTTAGGTAATCACACTTAATTAGCTTGTAATCTTATTAGAGTGGACACCAAGGCAGGTTTTCATTTCATGCCATCGGAATTACCTGTAAATGGCTTTATTTAGTTAATTGACACCTTTAGAAAATATGAAATCGGTTAACTACTAAATTTTTGTAGTTTAAATAGTTCACATTTAGAAATCTTGCCAAGAATGTAAGGGTTCGATTCAATTTTAAATTGATAGATTATTTTTTCATTATCAACTTTTTTGTTTTATTTCTTACACTTAATAACCTAAGTTACTTCATAAGGCCGGGTAAAATGTTAAAAAATAAAGTCAAATCAAATCACATTCTGTTTAGTTCACTTCAAATATAAGAAACTGTTTTCAAAATAATTCAAATTCTTAAATAAGTTTGAAGCATAATATTCAAACTTCTATGACAAACAAACTATACTTAAATAATTTTAATTTTTTATAATTCCAAAAATTATATATATGCTTTTCAATCAAAAGGTTTTTGTTTCATCACCAGAAAAGAAAATTTCTCTCAAAATCTGGTGAATATTAATTGTAAACTTCATTATTTAAAATTTTGGCACTATACAGAAGTATTTCTCATCACATGTAGAACTGTCAAAAAGGGTTCAAGCCCTAGGGCCAGCCCATCAAGTCCTAGGGTCAGTCCTATAAAATTTTAGCTCTCTATGTAATGGGGCCATTTTAAGCCCATTCTTTTAAAGCCTTCTCATTATAGGGTTAGGTTGGGGCTGGCTCGCGGGCTACAATATTCAACCCAATTTACAACGAAAAAAATTTCATCAAAAATTTTGACGGACAAAAGAATTCCTTCAAAAATTTTGACGGAATATTTTTCGTCCAAAATTTTTGATGAAAATGTGAACCAATGAAAATTACAACGGAAATTTTTTTTTTTCAAAATTTTTGAGGGAAATGTATCTGTGAAACTTTCTACGGAATTTAGATTTCGTAAAGATTTTTAACAAAATATTTTTTTCGTTGAAATTTTTTACAAAAATATTTTCGTCAAAGATTTTTACAGAAATAATTTTCGTGAAAATTTTTTGACGAAAATGTGTCCGTTTAAAATTTTGATAGACATATTTTTTATCGAAAATTTTGTCAAAAATATTTTTCGTCAAAACTTTTTTACGGAAATGTGTTTCGTCAAAAATTTTGACGGAAATTTTTTTCGTCAAAAATTTCGACAAAAACTTTTTTCATCAAAAATTTCGACGGAAATTTATTCGTCAAAAATTTTGACGGAAATTTTTTCGTCAAAAATTTCAACAAAATCTTTTTTCGTCAAAAATTTCGGCAGAAATTTTTTCGTCAAAAATTTCGGCAGAAATTTTTTCGTCAAAAATTTCGGCAGAAATTTTTTCGTCAAGAATTTCGACTGAAATATTTTCGTCAAAAATTTCGACAGAAATTTTTTCGTCAAAAACTTTTACGAAATTTAGATTCACTACAGATTTTTGACGAATTTTTTTTTTGTCAATTTTTTTACAGAAACGTTTTGTGTCAAAACTTATTACGAAAAAATTTCTATGCAATAATTTTTTTAAAAAGTGACAATTTTCTAAAAACTATTTAGTTTTATTTTTTCTAATAATTTATGTGCACCATTTTAATATAAATATTTTTTTAAAAAAATACATATTGTTTTTTTAGAAGGCCCGTGGGCGGGCCCTAACCCATAGAGCTTTGGCCCGTGTGGATCTATATCATTGTGGGCTTTTTGGCCCTAACCCATTTGGGCTAGGGCTAAATGGGCCGGGCTGGCCCGTTTTGACAGCTCTAATTCACATGAATCAGCTTTTATAAGATTGGTACAAAACACATGAGAAGCAAAATAAAACGTTATGATTAAACCCCAACCTTTTTTTTTTTCAAGATTTTTGAGGGAAATCTATCTGTGAAACTTTCTACGGAATTTAGATTTCGTAAAGATTTTTAACAAAATATTTTTTTCGTTGAAATTTTTTACAAAAATATCTTTGTCAAAGTTTTTTACAGAAATAATTTTCGTGAAAAATTTTTGACGAAAATGTGTCCGTTTAAAATTTTGATAGAAATATTTTTTATCGAAAATTTTGTCAAAAATATTTTGCGTCAAAATTTTTTGACGGAAATGTGTTTCGTCAAAAATTTTGACGAAAATTTTTTTCCTCAAAAATTTCGACAAAAACTTTTTTCATCAAAAATTTCGACGGAAGATTTTTTGTCAAAAATTTGGACATAAATTTATTCGTCAAAAACTTTTACGGAATTTAGATTCGGTAAAGATTTTTGACGAATTTTTTTTTTGTCAATTTTTTTACAGAAACATTTTGTGTCAAAACTTTTTACGAAAAAATTTCTATGCAATAAATTTTTTAAAAAGTGACAATTTTCTAAAAACTATTTATTTTTATTTTTTCTAATAATTTCTATGCACCATTTTATTATAAATATTTTTTAAAAAAATACATAGTTTTTTTAGAAAGCCCGTGGGCTGGCCCTAACCCATAGAGCTTTGGCCCGTGTGGATCTATATTATTGTGGGCTTTTTGGCCCTAACCCATTTGGGCTAGGGCTAAATGGGCCGAGCTGGCCCGTTTTGGCAGCTCTGATTCACATGAATCAGCTTTTATAAGATTAGTACAAAACACATGAGAAGCAAAATAAAACGTTATGATTAAACCCCAAACCCACCCCCCCCCCCCCCCCCCCCCCCCCCCCCCCCCCCCCCCCCCCCCCCCCCCCAACCCAAACAAAACCCCCAAAACAATAAAACGTTATTGCTGGAACCAAGTAAACAAAATGAATGGAAAACCTACATGTACGATCAAATTATCCACTATTCAACTTTGTTTCAAATTTATCTTTTTTAATAGATCACGCATATCATGTAATTTGTCCTCTTCATTTCACATTTTTGGGAAACTAGTTAAAACCAAAATTCCCTCAACAATGATGTTATAACAAATTAAAATGATATTGCTTTGCAAAAAAAATAAAAAAATAAAAAAATAAACTAAAAAAATAAAAAAATGATATTGCTATGCGATCATTCCATCCTAAAAGATTGACCAACAATTCCACAATGAACACCGATACGCAGATATAATTATCCAAGACTATTTTTATATTGATGATTAAGAGAAATGTTATCATAAAGTGAGCGTATTGATAATCGACTAAAATACCCGTTCATTGTATAATGAACAATGTTTATTGATCATTAATACGAAATTCATCAATGTAATAATTGCATTTTTTTAATTTTAATTGATGAAATATTAAAATTAATTATATTTAATATTTCTCATAAAATATAGAATTATGCATGAGAATCTCCCACAAAGTCTCCACGAAAGTCACATAAAAAAACATAATATATACCGTTTGCCTAAAATAAAAATATAATAAATAGGGGGTGTAAATAGGTCAGATCGTTTGTCACGAGTCTAGTACCTAGTCCGACTTGCCTTGACCTATTTTAAAATAGTATAGGTTTGAACTCATTAAAATGCATATTTAGAAATCAGGTCATAAGTCCACAAGCCTAATTTAGAAGGCTTGGTCTCTAACTTTCTAGGCCCAATTCGTATTTTTTTTAATAAATAGCATTTATAATATTTTTTATAAAATAATATCTTTTTATTTTTTTAATTTTTTGTAATTTAACCTCTTCTCACTTGGCAAATACATTTTTTTTAATCCTAAATTCCTTTACGTGGCTCTTCCCTCCTCCGCCAAATTGCATTACTCTTCTGCCTCCTTTCTCAACTTCTTATCCCTTCCAAACCATCCATAGTTCATCGTCGACTTTCAAGACTTTAACATTTGATAATAAGTCTTCATGCTTTATATTTTTGCTCTCTTTTTTGTCTCATTGACAAAATTGTCTCTTTTCCAAAATAACATTTTATTTGACTTATAACTATTGTATGCATTTACGTGTTTTGTTCTTATTTGTTAAGCATGTGTTTATGTATGTGATTTATTTATTTTTACCTGTTTCTCTTTATTTATTTAATTGTTTTTTGTTTGAGAATTCTTAGATAAGTTAGTTAGTGGATATCTTCAAAGCTAATAGGAAGAATTATTCTTCATAATTCTTGCTCTTTTCTTTTATCCGATTGTCAAATTTTATTTCTTTACAAAATTTTCATTAAAAAAATAACATATCGATCATTTGACTTACCAGTGGTATATACATCTACATTCTTGTTTTTTCATTACTTTGTACAATAGCTGAAACGACAACCCAAAATATTGTCTAAGATCATATCTAGATGTCGGTCTTTCTTTCGAAAAAAAATTATGATATTTACTTTTGATAAATAAAAATTATAGAAAGAACAAGCACTTAAAAACTTAAAAATATAGGAACTAAATACTCAGTGGTAAGGACTAAGAAACAAATGGCTATAAAAAAAGTCTGTTTTTTCTGCAGTTACTGCAAATAATGCAATAAGTCCAATATGACGTCGTTTTAGGACGAAAATCATGATATTTTTGTAATTTTAATTTATTTCAGGCTTATTATAGTCTTTATAATTATAATTTTCTAATCTTTCAATCCCAAAACAATATCGTTTTAGAAGTAAATGCAGATAATTTATCTGCATTAACTGCAGAAATATTTTTCTGAAAAAAAAAAGACTAAAAAACAAACAAATAAAAATATGGAGAGCAAAACTAAAAAAAAATCAAATTGGTAAAAATACTAAAGACTAAAATTTACTTTAACCCTGTAAACATTTTCAAAGCATTTAATTAAGATAAATTATGATTTAAAAAATTTGTCTAGTGTATTTTCAGTAATTAATAAATAAATATGTGCTATTTTTTTTTGTAAAGTTTCTTTTTTGGTAAAGTAATATGTGCTATTTTATTATCTAGTACTCGTATTTTCAAGAAAGCATGTTTTCCAATTAATTACCTGTCCAGTGACATATATACTTTACTTTTATTGTGTTTGGTTACACAAATCATTGATCCAAAATTTTACAAACTATTGATCATTCTAACTAGTTTTTATTTCTCTCAATTTTTTTCTAAGTAACTTTTTATAATTCTTCTTTCTTGTATTTCTTTTTTATTGTATTCTATTATACTCTTATGTCATAGTTGTGATAAAGTATCATTAAACCGTTTTAATATTTATTTGCTTAATTTACATAGATGAAGTTTCCCGTGTAGATACGAGAAATCATGTCTAATAAATCAATTTCTACAATGGAATTTTTATTTATTGCTTTATGTTTTTTGACTAAGATTCGTTTTTTTTTTTTAAAGATATTTTATCTGTTATTAAATACGATATTTAATTGCATTTCAATCAATGTTGTTTTCTAATCTGGGCTAGCAAATTATCCCGGATATGTGCACATTTGAATAACCCTGATAAAAATTCGTTTTTTTTTTAAGATATTTTATCTGTTATTAAATACGATATTTTATTGCATTTCAATCAATGTTGTTTTCTAACCTGGGTTAGCAAATTATCCCGGATATGTGCACATTTGAATAACCCTGATAAAAATTCGTTTTTTTTTAAAGATATTTTATCTGTTATTAAATACGATATTTTATTGCATTTCAATCAATGTTGTTTTCTAATCTGGGCTAGCAAATTATCCCGGATATGTGCACATTTGAATAACCCTGATAAAAATTCGTTTTTTTTTAAAGATATTTTATCTGTTATTAAATACGATATTTAATTGCATTTCAATCAATGTTGTTTTCTAATCTGGGCTAGCAAATTATCCCGGATATGTGCACATTTGAATAACCCTGATAAAAATTCGTTTTTTTTTAAAGATATTTTATCTGTTATTAAATACGATATTTTATTGCATTTCAATAAATGTTGTTTTCTAATCTGGGCTAGCAAATTATCCCGGATATGTGCACATTTGAATAACCCTGATAAAAATTCGTTTTTTTTTTTAAAGATATTTTATCTGTTATTAAATACGATATTTTATTGCATTTCAATAAATGTTGTTTTCTAATCTGGGCTAGCAAATTATCCCGGATATGTGCACATTTGAATAACCCTGATAAAAATTCGTTTTTTTTTTTAAAGATATTTTATCTGTTATTAAATACGATATTTTATTGCATTTCAATCAATGTTGTTTTCTAATCTGGGCTAGCAAATTATCCCGGATATGTGCACATTTGAATAACCCTGATAAAAATTCGTTTTTTTTTAAAGATATTTTATCTGTTATTAAATACGATATTTTATTGCATTTCAATCAATGTTGTTTTCTAATCTGGCCTAGCAAATTATCCCGGATATGTGCATATTTGAATAACCCTGATAAAAATTCGTTTTTTTTTTTTAAAGATATTTTATCTGTTATTAAATACGATATTTTATTGCATTTCAATCAATGTTGTTTTCTAATCTGGGCTAGCAAATCTGATTGCATTAATACTTTCCGGATATATAGTGAATAGGGCGAGAGGCCTATAAACAGAACATTTTCTCAATTCATTTCACTCCAACATTCAGCCGTCTCTGACTAGTTTGTTCTCTCAATCTTCTAAAGGTGTTTGTATACCTCAGCCTTCATGGAAATCAATCGACACATGGTACACAGCTTTCATTTTTTATTTTATTTTTTGGTCTCATTCAAACAGTTTGTACATATATGTCACTTTCACTTTGGTCAATTGATGAATATGTACATCTATTCATGTTTTTTTTTAGAACTGCGTACTGAGAGTGGATACCCGATCTCGTGGGTGGGAGAATTCTATCACAAAACTGCTTAAGCGTGTCAAAGGTTACAGCTTTTTACTTTCTCATCAATATTTAGTAATTGGAATTTACTTAATTTTCATCATTATTTTTATAATTTTCGGAATTGGAATTGTAGATGTATCTTTCACCATTGATACGGAAAGTGGGATTATTCGCATTTCTGGGAAAATAGATCCGAACAAGCTATTAACTGACATAAAAAGGGCTGGGAAACATGCAGAACTCATATATGCTGAATGTGGTGAACACTCTCGCTACAACTATGGATCCGGGTATGGTTATAATGGCGGATATGAAAAAATGGAGCCCCAATATTCCTACCCGTATTATGAGTCCCAACCCCATTATGGGTTCAATGCAAAGCCAAGTCATGTTCATTTACTGCCACCACCAAGTGAACCAGCTGCACTGTGCTATGAACCATACAATGGAGGATATGAACCCAACCGGTTCAATGGTCGTCTTGCACTAACAGCAGGGCCACGTCATGTTCCGTTACTCCCACCGCCAAGTGCACCCCCACAGAACAAGTATAACCCAAATGATCCTTCTTGCAACATCATGTGATGATTTAGATCAATGTTCATTTGGTCTTTTTTGGTCTCTTAGTTCTTTTCTTTTCTTTTATTTTCTTCGAGTTTTTCTGTTTTGTTAAGACTTCCTTTTGTTTCCACTTCCTCATGTTGGAAAATATTAAGTTTTAATTTTGAATCACCTATATTCTGGATTTTGGCATCTTTTTGGATCTCACCGTGATACAAAAATTAATTTCTCCACGTTGATTTCAGGTTCTTAATGATCAATCATAACATTTCGCTTTTAGTATTGATTCTAGAAACTGAAAATTGAGGTAATTTATTATGCTCTATTTTTTTAAGATGGAATTGTAATGCGATGGACTTTTCCTTTTGCTTCGATAATGTAGGTGTATCGATCAGGTATAGCAATACAATCGAGCAAACTAAAATATATTAATCACGTATTGTATATATCAAACAAATTTTTTTATTTTTATACTTGTTTTTCTACATATGGCATTCTTTTGCGGGGAAGGAAGTGGAAATAAATATAAAGTATTAAATTTGGGGAATCGTGACCATACAAAGATGGAAATAAATATAACCGTTAGATCAATATAATCGATCTAACGGTAAGATTGATTGGTAGTCAATTGGTAGTAACACAACTTGGTTGTCACAATATCATTCTCCTTCTTTTGCATTCCCTTTTATAAAAAGGAGATAGAAAAATGAAATGAATTTATCTCTTTGCATTTTTCCATGAAAGCAAGGTACAAAAAATGCATGTAGAAAATAAAAAACAAAATAACATTTTGTATTGTACCATTACGAAACACGAGATATATCCGATACGTTAATTATAAAAAAAAAACGTTAGATTTCGATGTTAGGACACGTACATTTTGATATTAAATAATATTTTTAATAATATAGTGTATATTTTATTTAATATTCAATAATTTAACAAAAAAAAATAAAGCGAAACACACATCTCTTTTTTTTTTAATTTATCTTGTGTTTATTTAATTCCACAAAAAATATACGAGTGAAGTAGAGAAAATGATGCAAAAGAGTATGAACCTTTTATCTAGTATGAACCTCTTATATGGATCCATAAGAGGTATGATTTTGATTCTAAAGGTTATAAAAACTATACAATCCAAATAATGGAAACACGATAGTTATTCAAGATGTGGATTTAAGAAGAATAATAGAATTGAGGTCTACACGATGAAGACTACAACTTCTTTTCTTATCTTATGGAGGCAGACGAGATGAAGCAACCAAGGATGAAACAAGAGATGAGACTACTACTCCAACAATAACACTGATCGCAAGTCCTCAAGAGTTTGCAAGAACTTTGAGTTAATAGAGAATAAAGATAATCTCACTTTATTTTGCCTCTCAACTATAAATCTATGTTGCATACACACCAACACTATAGGTTCCATTATTCGAGAGAGAGAGAGACAACTATTGAGATTTTATATTGATGATAAATATAGATTTTATATGAAAAAGGAATATGTTCTGATACAACAAAACACTTTATTTCATAAAAAAAAAAAAACTCATTAAAGAGAAGTAAGAAACAAAAATTTCATCCACTTTTTATTTTAATTTTTTTTGAGGGATCATCCACTTTTTAGAGACAAAATATTTTTCCCTGTACGAAACAAAACAATGTAAAACAACAGTTAGGATATTTTTACTACTAATTTTTTTAGTACCAATTTTTTTACTATCACTCTATTACACTCTAATCACCATTGAAAAGAGAGAAAAGAAAAATAACTTTTGAATCCAATAATAATTAAAGTGATAGTAGAGTGGTAGTAAAAAAAATTAATAATAAAAATATCCTAGTAAAACAAATAGTGTAAACTATTTTCGGAATATAAATGATTACGAAAATTGACAGTTATGGAAATTTCATATGCTGTATTGTAATATTACCTTATAAAAAGAAGGGTTTTCATTTTATCCTTTAAAATAACACAATAAACTTTCTTACTCTCACAACATTTTATGGAGCCCACACTTTTTAAAACAAAAAAATAAATAAAAAATTAAAGCACGCAAAACGAATCTCTATAACATTAGAGAATCACTTTTCCTACAAAATAATTCTTATAAAACCCTAAAAAGAATGAGGAAATAATACACACATAATGTTATGCTACGGAATACCAACTTGCGAAAGCAATCTATCCAGCGTCTTGTTCAATCAAAGATTTGCTTTAATGTGGAGGACAGATGCAACGTGATGTCATTAGCTAAATTCATTCCACCCCCTACAATTCCACAGGAAACAGACAAGCCACCCGTTACACCATTAAATGGACACGTCATTTCGTTCAACTTTTGCTTTATCATTAAGTATTGCCACGAAATATTACAATTGCAAAGTCCAAAAAAGAAAGGCGAAGACAGAAATCACACTATACGTTGAAAAAAAGACCAGATAACAGACCCATCAACCTTAACAGACCCTAAAACAGAGGAAAAAAGATAAGAAAAATACCAAAAATAAAATAAAAAATACAACTATAAAAAGCTGGAGGGCTCCCTTCAATCTGTTTATGACAACCGACCGTTCCCGTGTTTGCAGAATGAAACCTCCCTTCTTTTGACCGCAAAGTCCTACACCTACCCGTCCTTGTTTCTAACCTTTTTTTTTTTTTCCATAGCTTTTCTTTATTTTTATTAACATCATTCTAGCTCATCAAATGAATACGAGCAACACCTGCAGCCCCATCTAAGCTGCTGAGGGCGCTGTGACATACTGAACTTGACCAACTTCTGATAGAGCATGCACGAATGGCTCAATGCCAACACCATCTACTGAACCTTCAGTTCCACTCAAAGTATTAGTGTAATCAAGTGAAGGGTCTTTGTAAATTTCCCACCATTTTTGCACCAGCATCCTTATGTCTTCCCTCTGCATATTCTCTTCCTTACCGGTATATCTCCATGGCTTCGAACCCTAAACAGGAACAAAAAATAACAAATTCAATTCAAGCGCTCACAAACAGAATAAATAAACCTTTTAATTAGTTAGTTAATGAGTTCGAGTCCCATACCGCTGCACAGTAGTGAACAACCTTGACTTTATCAAGGTCAACATTCTCCGGGTGACGCCACAACATGGCAAGGACGAGATTGTACACCAGAGGGATAGGCTTGTACATGTCCTTAAAGTACATGTTCAAGAAATCCTGTTCCGCAAACGAGGTAGGAGTAGTGACTTGCACTGTCCTTAGCAGGTCATGGTAGGTGGCCATGCTGGGCTCGAACAAAAACATGCCAGCATTGAAGTAAAGCGAAGGAGGTTGACCTAATTCGGTGGGCCATTGCACCTTCTCAGGGCATTGCTGACAGTACCCAACTTTGTATTGTGGGGTGTGACTCCAAGTCTTCTCACAGAAGCAATCCATTACAGCGTACAAATGACCATCAGGTAGATCAAATAGGTGATCTATGTTTTCATAAACTTGAATGTCTCCGTCCAAGTATATCATCTTGCTGTATTCTACAAACTGCATCAAATCCAAATCCAAATTCAATTAACCATTTTCCTAAAAGGGATTAATATTTCTTATTATAAGAGAAAAAAATACGTGAACATATTTTTATGTGTATTATTTCTTAATAAAATATATAAAACAATATTGAAAATTAACAAGGTTAAACTCTTCAAGATCTATCCCGAAATCGTAATAAAATACCCTTCTGACCTTTAGTGTACGCAAGAAATATAATTAGTGCATGTGTATATCCGTCAAAGAAAAAGACAAAATAAGAGAAAAGAATATACACGAGATGAGAGTAAAATTTAGTCACAGTGCGGAAATAGAAAAAGCCACGTCATTAGTATCCTAAGCGTCCACGCGTAAGTAACCGACCGACTTAAAGTTCTACGTGTAACGAGAAAACATTGGAGAGAGAGAGAAAAAATGACGTACCTCCCATATACGGAGCTTGGAGTAGTTGATGACGTAATAAGCCATGGCAAACTGAGTCTGGTTTTCCGGTGGATAAACCGGTTCGATCTCACGGACGATGCAGCCCTGAGACTCCAAGATCCGACGGTGCTCCTCCGGCACGTCAGGGAGCACGGCCACCACTAACGGGTACGCCGTCTTCACCTTCCGCAACCCTTTGGCGAGGCCAACAACTCCTTTCACGTAGTCACCGTTTCCAGCGAGAAATGTCACGTAGGCACGTCTTTTTGTATTCGCTGGCTTGGTGAACCCGACAGAAGACTTAGCAACGGTTGGAACAAGCTCGGGGGCCATGTCTCGTGTTTCTGAGGGACTAAGGTAGAGAAACGGTGTTTGTGAGTTAAACTCGAAGAGAACTGAGAACAAGTATGAGAATATATGCAGAGGATACTTGAATGTTGGAAACTTGGTTTTTAGGTGAGAAGTGAAAGGATGGTGGTGTGCATATATAAAGAGGAGGATGAGGTGGTAGGGACATTGTGATTTTACGAATTTGTTGTTACATTTCATTATTCAAGTTGGGAGGATATTGGGGCTGTGTGTCAGGCACGTGTACCGTGGAATGATCCAACGGTGAGGGACGTCTAATGGGAACGTTCTGGAAAGGGTGTCCCACAGAAATAGATGCATTTTGGCGGAAGACACTGGAACGGTCTGGGGCTCCCAATATTTGATGAAAGTTCTCGTGGAATTGAGATCACCTCGTAACGAGCAATCAAGGAAATGAAAAGATAATAATAAGTCAACATACTGTTGATGACAATTAAAAATAATAATAATTTGAAAACACTGAAAATAATTTCATATTATCTAAGTTAATGAATTTTAACATCTAACTTGATTAGAAGATTTGTTAATATATAAACAATTAATAGTATAAATTTTTTTATATTAAAATCGAATTATAAAATAATGATTAAACCACAATTCCTTCCAGGAGTGTAGTGGTAAAATGTAACAGTTGGTTAAATGAGTTCAAACTTATTAAAATACTTTCATTTGAGTTATACTTCTGTATGGACAAAATTCTTCGTAACTGACCCAATCCAATTCAGATTAAATTATCAGGTTGTCATGACTAGTGTTTATATTTTTTTAAAACTAAGTTTCAAATCTCAAAGATGATAGACGGAACACAAATAGCAAATATTAGATCTATGTAGCACCGATACGACACGTAACACGACACGACACTCCGACAAGTCAATCTTAAAAAATTATGGATTTCGACACGTTGGGACACGTTTTAATATTAAATAATATTTTTAATTTGTATAGTGTATATTTCATTTAATATTTAATAATTTAACAAAAAAATGAAACTAAATTAATAATACCCATCAACACGTTATAAAGATGGAAGCTTTAATAAAAAAATAAGAACTGAGATGAGAGAGATATAATATCAGATAGAGAGATCAAATCATATTAGAGAGAGATCAGAGACAAGGAGATACAACAAGAGCGTGATAGAAATTGCAACAATGATGCTGAGATGATCTCTTATCTACTTAAAGGAAAAAAGACAAAAAAATAAAATTGATATGATCAGGTGGAAGCTTTATTAATATATTTTATTTATTTATTTTTAAAAAATTTAAAACAAAAATAAAAAAATTACAAAAATGTCATTTGATCGTGTCGGATACGGTCAAATTCGCGTGTTGGAACGGTCAACGTGTCAGAAAAAGTTGACCGCGTGTCCGACACCGTGTCGGAGCGTGTCGGACACGACTCTCCCTGTTTTTACAAGTGTACGTGCCTCCTTGTATTAGATAACAACTACTATTATAATTTACTAATCAGATTTTAGTGAATGTTAATCAATATCAACAAATCATAAAGAGTAAATCATAACGGTCGACATTAACTGATATTGATTAGTATCTGTTAAAATTTAATTAATTAATGTAATATATACCGTTATAATTTATTAATTAAAGTCAATCCATTTTAACCTTTAGGATTGTTGTCTAGTTTGCTAATCAAATTCTAGTGAATGTTAATCAATATCAACAAATCATAACGGTCGACATTGATTGCTATTGATTAATATCAATAAAAATTTAATTAATATAACATATACAGTTATAATTTATTAATTAAATTCAATTGATTATTGTAATCAAATTATAGTGAATGTTAATCAATGTCAACAAATCATAACGAGTTAATTATAACGGTGGACATTAATTGATGTTAGTAATTTAGTATATGTTAAAATTTAATTAATATGATATATACCATTATAATTTATTAATTAAAGTAAATTGGTTTTAACCTTTAGGATTGTTGTCTAGTTTGCGAGCGAAGTTTGTGCATTCCGGGAGAAAAAAAAAAAAAAATTGGTGAAACTGAAGTAAGAGGAAAAGTTGAGAAGACAAAAGGAAGAAAAAAAATGAGTTCAGATATTAATTTTTTAGTAGAAGGACCATAGTGATTATAGACCATATTAAAAAATTTCCTAGTTTTCTAATCAAATTCTAGTGAATGTTAATCAATACCAACAAATCATAACGAGTTAATCATAACCGTCGACATTAATTGATTCTGATTAGTATCAGTTAAAATTTAATTAATTAATATAATATATACCGTTTTAATTTATTCATTAAAGTCAATTGATTTTAAAATTTAAGATTGTTGTCTAGAAACAGCAGCCCGACCGTGGAAAAGTTGATTAATAATTTTTTATTTAAAATTTAAAAGGAAAACATGAAGAATGATTTATGCTATTCTTTAAATGAAATTATACTACGACTTTTAATCACTATGATTTTTATTTTATTTTTAGAAATATTTCAATCGATTCATTCCTTTGTGATAAGTTTAATTCGAGATGAGTCTCAAGATTAATGCTTTAAAATCCTCTCTAAAACAGTATTAGAGAGGATTGAATATATGCTCTCATCCACACTTGTCAGTTTTTTTTTTTAATTTTCTTATTTTTATATACTATAAATTGAGAGGAAGGATCCCTTGCCACCAATTAAATTTACCACTTCTTGTAATTAAATCTTAACTATTGATTTTTTTTCAATACGACATGTTTATAATTTATCATATGACACTTAATAATTAATTATTAATTTTCAAAAAATTATAACTGTTAAATTCGCGGAAATCAACGATTAAAATTTGGTGGTAAAAAATGATAAACTTAATTGGTGGTAAGTATATTATGTCCTATAAAATGAATGTTAATATAATACAAGGTTCGCTTTTTATGCAGTCACTGCAGATAAGTTATTTTACAGTAAGCCCAATATGACGTCGTTTTGGACAGAAATCATTGTGTTTTTATAATTTTGATTTATTTTAGGGTTATTATAGTTTTTATAATTATAATTTTTTATTCTTTCAATTCCAAAACGACGCCGTTTTAAAAGTAATGCAGATAACTTATATGCTGTAACTACATTTTTCTGTTTAGTATATGTAGATAGATATAATTTTTCCTGCTTGACCACTATGATTATTACGAGATCATTTTTGGTACAACTGTCACATTAAAAATTAGATGCGAAGGTTTATTTCATACTATATATTATCAATAGTACATAGTATACAGTACAAAAATTATTTTTTTCTCTCTCCATAATAATAGCATCCGGCGTGGTACATTTCTATTCATTCATTATACCCACACCCGTAGTATTTCAGTTTTTTCGGCTAATTAGGCACAACCAATCTGTTGTAAATAATATTGATTTAGTTATTATTTAGTTTTTATTTAGTCATTTATTGTTGTATTGGGCCAAGCCCTTTGTTGTATTGGGCCAAGCCCATTAGGTTAAAAGTAGGTCAAATATTCTCTATAAATAGAGAACCCTTTGTACAGATTATTTACACAATTCTATAATATATTAGAATACCCTTTTTCAAGTTGGTATCAGAGCTCTCGATCTGAGGGCTTTGCTTCCGCACATATTATCTTCTTTTTTAACAAAACCCAAATTTCTTTGCCTCTTGCCGCCATTAGCCGCCACCGGAAAATTTTTCCGGAGACCTTTTGGACCAAGGGGACCATTGTTGACCTTATTTTTCCTCCGATCTATCATTCTACGCAGTGTTCCTCCGCCACAAACGACCGAAACACCTCCGATCGCCTCCAATCAGATCTGTCTTCACCGTTTGGACCACTTTCCGGCGACTTTTCAACCGCGACCACCCACAGACAGGTGTGCGCTCACCGGACGACCACACCAGAAAAATCTCAGCCGGCGAAGCCCATCCACGCGCTCTCACGCGCCGCCCATTTCCCGGCGAGTGAATCCCACGCGCAGCTCCTTTCTCCGGCGCGTGGAGGCGCGTGCGGCCGTGTTTTTGGACCGGACCACCACCATTCTTCTCGTCTTCTTGTCTTCTGTCTGGATCTATAATTATTTTTCTGATCAGAGGTCATTTGATATTCTGTTTGGTTGATTTTATCGCTGGTTGTTAACTTTTTTTGTTAAAGAATGGCTGAGCATGATAGTTCTTTGATCTTATCTGGTAAGAGCACACGTTCTATATCTCTTCTTGCTTCTTGCACTGATTTTAAAACCTCATGGATTTTGGATTCTGGTGCAACTGATCATATGGCTTGTCGTACTGAGTTATTTTGTTCTTATCATCCTACTGTTGGTAGTCATACTATATCCGTAGCTGATGGATCCCATAAATCAGTTATTGGTTCTGGTAACATTCAAATTCAACCTTCCTTGTTTCTTAAAAATGTTCTTTATGTTCCTCAGCTTTCTACTAATCTTATCTCCACTCAAAAACTTACAACTGATTTGAATTGTTCTATCACATTTTTTCCTTCTCATTGTCTTATTCAGGATCTTACCACGAAGAAGACAATTGGAGTTGCTAATGAACAGGATGGGTTGTATCATCTCCTTCCAGACCATGCTAGCAAAAATCAGTTATTAATGACACGTCATCCTTCTACTGCAGAGTCTATGATTTGGCTCCATCACAAGCGTCTCAGGCATCCACCATTTAGTCTTTTGAAGTCTATGTTCCCCTCTCTGTTTCTCAATTAGTCGGTTGAGACCTTTCATTGTGATGTTTGTGAATTTGCAAAACACCATCGAGTGTCATTTCCTTCTAGCACTATTAAAAGCAGAGAACCTTTTTCTCTTATCCATTTTGATGTTTGGGGCCCTTCTAAAGTGCACAGTGTTTCAGGTGCTAGGTGGTTTGTTTCTTTTATTGACGATTGTACTCGGATAACATGGATATACTTGATGAAAGACAAGTCTGAAGTACCAGAGATATTTATTCGGTTTCATCACATGGTTGAGACTCAGTTTGGTAAGGGTATTAAAAGACTCAGATCTGATAATGGTACTGAGTACGTCAATCAACGCCTGTCACAATTCATTTCAGACAGAGGTATGATTCATGAGCTCACATGTGTTGATACCCCTCAACAAAACGGGGTTGCTGA